ACCGCCATCTGTGAACCAATTGTCTAGTAAATGTGGGAACCTCGACGGATCACAATCCTATGGGCCTCCACGGCCTGTTACAGGGATAGCTTCATCTTTTTACTTACAGACTCCTGTAAGCAGACGTATAGCAGCAAGTGAGAAGGGTACTACGACAGTTAAGCGAATTTAAATCGAGGAATGCCTGATTAAGTGCCACAGAACTACATTAAAATGGCCTGGTTGTTTCGTGCTGGTTTTTATTACACAGGAACGCCAAATACGTACCTGTCAAGCTCAATAACAAGTTCAATCAGGTGTTCTAATTCACAGTACAGGATATGTTTCTGACCTCCATGACAGACGCCTATAACACACACTCAATCCCGGACAAACCCACAACGCTTCAAATTGTTCCGCCGTGCCACGCGCCAACACCACGTGCTAAACACGGTATGCGCCAGTGTGGGGGGAGGGGTAGCTACAGGGACCAGCTGTCAGTCTTTGAACCTGTCTTACACTTTTACGCGTTCTTTATGCAACACAAAAAAAACGCCTTATGTGCCGGCCATGACTATCCCGTTTGTGAGCTGGCATCAGCTCCTGTACTTAAAATTCTATGCATGAAAGACCTTCAACAAAAGTTGTCAGGCAATTCCAATTTTAGGTCATATTGGCCCGATTTGCATGTCATAAATTAGCTTTCACACGTATCCATCCTATAACCCGCTCGACAAATTTTCTTTTAGTTCGATGCTGGAGCCTTCCAATAAAATTTGCCGCGAAATTCGGACTTTCAAACATAACGATCCAACGGCAGCCTGAACAGACTGGTGACTTATCTGCCTTCCTAAATGCCACCTACTCAACTGTAAATAGCAGTTTTCAATTTTCGTATTTCTGACATCCAATTTAACTATAACATGACTGGCGAGGCATTACTATACAGCATTACGAAGTCACACCCTTGCCAATCCCGCTTCTGGAAAGCAGAGTGACCACCAGTTCGTAGGGTTCCACTTAGTTCTCGCCTCTCTTAAATGGAACCTCTCATTCGTGAACTTCAAAATCGCTGTTTTCTCACTTGTATTGTACATCACCAACAGGTGAGTGCAGTAACACTTGTCTGAAACGTAATCTTGGTTAAGCGGAAAAGCTTCTTTGATACAATCTTCTCGGGTGATCAGCCGTGTCAATGCTGAGTTAAAAGCACGTCTCCATGATCTGGGCCGATGTGGTGAATGACCGTCCGTCACTGATATGTGTAGGTGTGTACACACCAGTCTGTCAGATCAATGTCTTATCCTATCGGCTTACATTACATCTTTATTGGATATGTTCTGTCCCCAAGAGTATGAACCAAATACAGAATAATTACCTCCATCAAACAAAAGGCAAAGGGAAGACAAGAATTTCACAGAAAACAATCTGCTTGAATAGGCATGTATCATGTTCAAACTGAGCAAGATGTCTCGAGCAGCAATGCTTCTGACATTCCGGAGATGGTGGTCACTTCAAACGTCGACCTGGAAGCCGAGGTTTGTAGTGGTTTTACTTTTCCCCTTCAGGCCATTGCCGGGACGGAACCTTAAACTAGGACATGGTTGGTTCCTTTCATGTCGCTTCATTATTCATTAACCATCCTATCACTTGACACAATTCGTGCTATAAGTTACTGGCACTGTCGTTAAATAAACTACAAATACAGCTCCTGAAATTTGTCAACTTTAGCCGATAGACGGTGTCGCGGGGTCAGCGCAACGAATCTCCACGGTCGTTAATTTCGGTTTTCTAGACCAGAGCCGCTATTTCCTTTAAGTAGCTCCTCAATGATCGTCACGAGGCTGAGTGGACCCCGTTCCAGGCCCACTACTTCTCAGAAATAAATCTGGTAGCGCCGGGAACTGAACCCGGACCTCTGGACCACAGCAACTTCGCCGACAACCGGCGGTCGCTCGGTCGGTATAGCTCGCTTGCGGACTAAAACCACCGAGTTTGTTTTTGTTTTGTTTTTTGTTCCTGAAATTTATAAGAAATGGAAAAGAATTAAAGATAACTGAGGGCAGATGTCTGCTGAGCGTTTTAGTGGGCCAGGAAGGTAATGCACCCCAACGAGACTACTCCTCAGTACGAGCGCAGTGCAGAGAGAGAGAGAGAGCATGTGACTGTATGTGCAATATTTTGAATCAAAAACACGTGGGATATGCAATCTTCATCTTCTGTAAGTACCTGCAATAATCAGAAACCTGCCTGCAAAAAAAAAATAAATAAATAAAGCTGAGATTCCTTTGGATTCCACTACAAGCAGGTTCAATGCATATGTGGGAGGGGAGTTCTGGATAGCATCAAGCTTCAGACATACCAAATGCTTTACCAGTACAAGAGCACTTTGTGCAACATAAGCACAAAACGTCTGTTCATGTCTACAATCTCTATACAACACATAAACGAAAATGCCCATTTTGCGAACCGATACAATGAAAAATATTTACTTAAACTGGACTACGGTTTTACACAGCGTTTTCAGTGCAATTCCTAATGGAAACAGCATGAAGAGTCTGTATTGCATTCCTCTTAAATTACGAAAGCAAAGGCATACGATGATTACGAGGCTGTACTCCAAACCGTATAACGATATGTCTCCAAAAACGCGAAACAACATTCATTCTTTCAATTCTGTGCCTAGACCAAGGACTGCACACATTTTCTGAACTTTTCCTTAATAAAACATTTCATGCCAAAAAGAATGGACGCTAATTACAGGAAATATGATAACAAAAGTCTTTAAAATTCAAAATATGATGAGATGTGTGGCTGGAAGGCTACTTAAATAAGGAGAATGATTACACCTAATTCAAAATATACTCGAAGTTTCATTATATGAACTATTACACTACTACAAATACAGAATAACCTCAGCACTCTTCAATAATGTGTGTAACTGGCAAAGAAATGAGGTTCTCAAAGCAGTAACTCTGAAGGGTTATCTCCTGGGATGAGAAACGTGGACTGGTATAGTAAGTTTACTGACATTTAGGAGAAACACACTACCTCCATGTTCAGGGTCAAATAGCATGCCATGCACAGTACTTTCACCTTGAAAATGGAAACAGTTTGTTCGTACTATACATCTGTATACTCCTGCCAGACTACATGGCCTCACATCCCAGAAGACACTGTGATTCTAAAATAAATTTATCGCTTAACAAAACAATTTCACACCATAATATGTGTATATATGTATTGATGATACATACAAGAGTGTTTATATATATATAAACATACACGTCTTTGTAATATTTTACATTATGCCCAAATGAAAAATGTTTTATATTCCGCTAACATTTAATTTGTCATACAATCATAAGTTTAGAACTGCTAAGAACTTTCTCAAAACAGCCTACCACAGCACTACAGTAATGAAGTTACACTTTCAGTTCTCTTCCATTAGCAGCAATCTTCAAACACAAATAACCATTCCTCTTAAAAGCAGAGATGATACAAGCATCCCCATCCAGCCCTTTCAATACTTCCAAAATGACAATGAAACTCACATGCTGGTCCCTCTCTCCACTTTTTGTCTGTTAGAGTTACTATTATTACTATTACTACTACTACTACTACTACTACTACTACTACTACTACTACTACTACTACTACCACCACCACCACCACCACCACCACCGAACAAACATCGTTGTCACGTCAAAACACAAAACTGCTCTAACCCAGTATTTCTGCGCTACTAAAGAAGAACTCTTTGCAGCACACACGACCCTCAGATTAGCAAATAACTGCCGCTGATAGTGGGGTCAGGTATTTTATGAGTGTGTCTCAACGTGGTTTATGTATGCGGAGCACGGGGCGAGGTCATGTTGCAACATCGCATTTGGAACTGGCAGCCGGTACTGTGTTTCTTTAATGGTCCGATTGGGAGCAGCACTTTCTTGTCAGTTTCTCCATATCGTGTGTGTTGAAACATCAGTAAACGTCGGACGTATGTGTTTTCACAATATAATGACAACAATGTTAAGACACTACATTTCAACATGAAACAATTTTGTCCTACGCAGTAAATAACGCTATCTAAGCAGTTTACAAATTTACCGTGTCCGACTACATCTTCTTGGAGAGTTTGCAATATTTCTTATTTGTATATATACTTTTCCTAGCCTGCTCCATATACGTACACTAACATAATCATGTTAAATGAAACCATCAGAAATAACAAAAAACGGGCACAAAAAATAAAGAAAACACCAAATAATTCGTTTGCAGTTCACGCACTTTTCAACAATTTTGTTCTCTCATTTACGAAATCTGCGACTTTACTAAACATTTGTGCAAGCTTTAGGTACAATATTATAAAAACATGAATATTACTTTTTCTTATTTATAAGAAACACAATCTGAAATGTCAACAACGTGACTTTTATGGAAATAAAACAAAACGCTGTATTCATCCACACGAACAGCATCCGAAATTACTAGTTCATCGTACGTGNCCCCCCCCCCCCCCCCCTTAAATAATAATTTTTACGTACGCGTCCGCGTTCAACCCGCTAGCAGGTGATGACTGTAGAAGGCAGATGACCTTTAACGTTCAGGCCAGCCTTCTATTCCATTCAAATTCTCAAACAAACGTATACATTTTAGCGTACTTTCATTATTTTTCTAGAAATGTCAACATTACTTAACATTAATAACTATATCTCAGTGTTAAAGGAGCCCAAACAGTAAGGGGACTTAATTCTTTACTTCGTCGTTGACAAATTGGGGCACTGCTCCAAAAATGTGCGAATTGCGTACTCTCCTACCGGACTAGGCGAAGCGTGACACTATAGACAGATGATATTTCAATATTCTCCAATAGCAACAATAATATGAAATAAATAATTCCGGTATCAATTTTTTTTAAATATATACTTCGTCTCTGTTTGATAAAATGCTGTCAGTGTGTCATCTGTGGCTGTAATTTGACTTCGTTTTCTAAGGCTACGATAGTTCTGAAATCATCTTACCAGAGCGAAGAAATTTGTGTGGCAGTCCTCCAAACTTGCGCCGTTTGTTTGATGATTTGGATGCGTCATGGTTTCTCCATCATCTTATATTTCATTTAAATCACTAGCCACACGATTTGCGTACTATTAACCACTCGAAATCTGATAATATACACGATCACACAGAACACCTTTCAATGGCGACTGCAAAATGGCGGATAGGAAACAACAAGCGCAGAGACTGTAGAATTTCTATTGGTTAACATACATCACGTGGTAAAACTGAGATGGTATCATGGCGGCACTCATAAGGCATGGACTTCAAAAACGAGGACAAGAAATAAACACATGTAATAATATACGAAAGGTTTGAAAACATGTCATATTTTATTACTATACACGTCATATTTCAACAGTTTTCTCGTAGTAGTGATTTCTACCTGGTCTAGATAAAAGGCATATTCTCTGATAATACTGTAATTTACAGATAATGTCAAGGAACAAATCTGACAAATCTGACAAATCTGGCTACAAACCATCATACAAGATGCCTTATAACAGGAAAAAGAAGCAGCCCCCAGCTATACACTTTGATTCCACTGGACAGTCTATTGCGGCAAAAGGGTACAGTGAATGAGAGAGCCATACAAAGCCACAACTTTTATGTTTGTTATTATCAGAACAGCTGAAATGTTATTAACTTCAGTGATGGAAAAATGTGTAAATGGTACTGTTATTACTAATGTAGAATTTATGTCTTCTTCCAGTTTTCATCGTCCACAGAAGCATTATGATCCACCAGAAGATGCTGCAGACAGAATAAATTCCATATATAAATCAATAACAGGCTTGACCAGTGTTTCAGAAGCGCCCCTAAATATTCCAGAAATGAAGTTCAGGATCCTGAATGCCTGTTTTCAAGAATTTCAGTATAGTGTTCCAAATTCCCTTCTTTCTACCATACATACTGTAGGTAAGAAAAGCTGAATTTTTTATATTGTCTGAATTCTTGCTGAAGGATGGATTGAATGTGAATAAGCTTGTTCTTTTAGACGATGTTCTGGAATTTTACAAGACTCCTGTTGAGAAAAGAGCTCCACTTGATGCACTGAAGACCATGAAATTACCAGAAAACGTCCACATTCAGACTGAGTACCATCGCTTCCATCCAGGTAATTTGCCATTTTCAGTAGCACTATCAAGGAATTAATTGTTCATGGTGTATTATCACAACCTACAAATTTTAATGTTTATTATTCTTAATATATTCTTTATATTTTGAACTGAAAAATTAATAGTATACAAGAATACCTATCATAAGTGGATAGTTATCTTCACATCCATTCTGTTTTGAAATATTCTTCTAGCAGTTTAATGTGGTATGCTGTGCAGTATACTGATACACATGTGATTCTGTAGATTTTGTCAGAATGGGATCATGAAAAATGCCCTCCTAAGAGTACACATTGGACATTGTCACATCTGGAGCATGTAAAGCAATTCTGTTTTTCTGGAAATTCATAGACATGCCCACAGTTGGCCTGGTTATATGGTTCCATGTTGTGCCCTATTTAGTCTGCTTTCCTTATTTTGAGAAAATAAATGGAGGCTTATGAGATCACCTAGCTGTGTGCCTTTCTATCTCCTCTGATTTTTTTTATGTAGTCCATGCCATATCAAAGGAAAGTAATCAGTTTGTTCTTCCCAGAAGTTCTTGTTCAATATGAGTTGCATAATAAAACATTTTCAGGGTCTTTTTGCTATTTTGCTGTCACTTAACCTGAAAATGAGCACATGAAAATAGACAGCCATGTCATGTAGCAGAATCCATTTAATATTAAGTATACTTACAGAGCTGCTGTCATCCTTTGGGCTTGTCATTCTGTCTTAACATTCATCGGGACAAAATTTTTGATGACAGAGTTGCAGAAAGGAAGACATCAATAATTTGTGTTCTCTTACATTTCAGAAACAGATACAATGTTTGGTGGAATTAGTGCATTCCCAAAAAGTTCAACTATTGTGACTGGTCTAAGATACAAGAAGAAATATAAAGGATATGATGCAAGGACACCATGGGCCAAGTACTTTTAAGTGTATGGAAACTGTAGCATTTACATTAAATATATTATTTACCATAATTTCTAAGCCTGCATATCATGCTAACATCTGTAATGGAATATGCTTATTTATCAGTTATGTAATATAAGCACTGTTTCTATTAGATTGGTCCTGTTATAGAACATGAACATGCTGATGATATAGAACATTTCGCATACGCATGGAATGTTGTTCCTTATACTCAGAAACTCAGCCTGTAGAAGCCACATGTGTTAAAGTAAATAAACCGCTAATGCATACAAAGCGCATAAGAATAGCTGTAATATATTATGTATTGCTTTTTGAGCAAAAATGCATATCATGCAGATAGTATTACTAGATTTCTGGACTTCATCCCTCATCCAGTATTCTGAACTAAAAGGTACATTTCAGGAGTTGGATCTGCTTTCAGCTTTGGGTGAGGTAGTCACTTGGTTCCATTAGACAGAGGTTTTATTGATTTGGATTAGATGTTTCTAATGTGGCTCTCATCTGAGGATGGAAGCAGGTACAGCTCTTCAGAAGTTATTTTTTTCTTTAGAATCTAATAACACTCTGTGAAATACAACATTGTCAGAGCCTTTGATGATTAGCATATACTCTTATATTAATTACAGCTTCATTTGTTTTCAATTTTCCAGTTATGTGCAGAGTCCACCATAATAACCTGGTGAATTTTGAAATACAATTAGGTGGTGAGAAATACTTTATGAAGTAGTACAAAAGCCAAATTTAAGCATTTCAACCCAACATATTTGACTTTCTGAAAACATGTTGCAGGTGGTCTCCATCTCCACCCGACAGCAAGCATGCCTCCAGTTCTCAGCTAAGGTTTTTCTGTCACTCTTTGTGGCATATCTGTTATGACTGTTTGAATTTCTTCTCAACTTTGATCCTTTATCTCAGCGGTATTCTGAGGATTAATAATTTAAATTTTGTTTTTGACATACCCCAACAGGACTGATTCAAGCAGGAGGTGAAATATTACAGTCTAAGATCCATAAGCTAATTCTGTTTGGAATAAGAAAAAATGCCTGATCAGTGGAAGGAGTTTGTTAGTGTACCAGTTCACAAGAAGGGTGACAAAACTGGCTGTAGTAATTATCGGGGGATATCACTGCTATCAACTTCATACAAAATTTTATCTAGTATTCTCTCAAGGTTAAGTCCATAGATGAAATTATTGGGGATCATCAATGTGGGTTTCTACATAACAGATCAACTACAGATCAGATCTTTTGCATTCATCAGATATTGGAGAAAAAATGGGAGTACAATGAGCCATTACCTCAGCTATTCATAGACTTCAAGAAAGGCTATGATTCAGTTAGAGGGAAGTATTGTACAATATTCTGATAGAGTTTGGGGTACCCATGAAACTAGTTAGGCTGATTAAATGTATTTAGATGAAATGTATGATAAAATCTGTATAGGTAAACATTTGTCTGATAATTTCCCTATCCAGAATGGTCTAAAACAAGGGGATGCTTTATCACTACTACTTTTCAACTTTGTTTTAGAATATGCCATTAGGAAGGTCCAAGAAAACAAGGTGGGACTGAAATTAAATGGGACACATCAGCTGCTGGTCTGTGCCGATGATGTGAATCTACCTGGTGATTATATAAATACCATAAAGAAAACACACAAACTTTAATTGACGCAAGTAAGGAGGTTGGTCTAGAAGCAAGCGCAGAGAAAACTAAGTATATGTTGCTATTCTCGTCGCCAAAATTCAGGGAAAAATCATGACATAAAGATAGGAAAGAGATGTTTTGAAAATGTGGCACAGTTCAGATATATGGAAACACCAATAACAAATCAAAACCTGAGGAGACTGAACTTTAGTAATGCTTGCTACCATTCAGTCCCGGACCTTTTGTCTCTGGTTCTGTATGGGTGTGAAACTTGGTCTCTAACTTTAAGGGAGGAACATAGACTGAGGGTGTTTGAGAACAGGGTGTTGAGAATATTTGGACTGAAGAGAAGTGAAGTAGGAGGTTGGAGAGAACTGCATAATGAGGAGCTTCGTACTGTTCTCCAAGTATAATTAGAATAAAAACATAATGCTGGGAAATTCTTTGAAGAACTGCACAACTGGCAGCCTCTCAAGAAGGGCTGTTCCATGAAGTTAGTTCTTCAGAGATGAAAATACTGAGGAGCTGTTAAAAGCAGTACGGTTACATTGGCAGACTGGAGGTGAAGATGCGTTTCAAACTCTTTGCGTTACCCTTCTGGAAATGGATGTTCCTGTTCATAAACTTGGTCCTCATTACAGATGTCTCTCCAGTCATGACTAGTGAAAAAGTTTGGCTTAACTGAGCTCTGTGTACAAAAGTGATCGATTTTCAACATGTCATGAGTGTTGGATCTTAAAAACATTTAACAGATGAAATGGATGGCTAACTTGATATTACATAATGTTGTAGTTTAGCGTCCTGTTGCACTGACTTTCGTCCATGATATGTATGCAGTGTCCGTCTTTTAGTGCACTCAATTTCACTTGTTATTTCACAACATGTTTCAGCACTATAGTGCCATCATCAGGTGCAGATAAGATAAATAATCTTAACAAGTTTTTAGTATATAAATATTTATTATAATTGATGAACATTTTTAAATACTTTTTAAATTTTACAATGACATAATGGCAAGCAATGAAATAGATTAACGTAAATGGAGCACCTGATGATGGCACTATAGTGCTGAAACATGTTGTGAAATAACAAGTGAAATTGAGTGCACTAAAAGGCGGACACTGCATACATATCATTGATATTACATATTGAAATCCACTGGTTGAGTAGAGAAAGTTTTACGTATACAGGTTTCATAACCTTCTTCCAGAAATTGAGTTTCTCAGGACAAGCAGTGATTTCCTCCACGATTAAAAGATTCTCAGTGGTTGCTAGATCTTACTTTCCTCACATATCTTACCACTAAACTGAGATGGATACTGAGCTCCAAGGCAAACACAAGACCATTTTCAAGGGAAAACTGAAGTTATGGAAGGCTCAGTTGATTAATGGTGTGCTAACCTACTTCCAACATATTCAAAACTGCACCGATGGTACAATTGGTATGTCTGTCCACATTCTGTATATTGATAAGCTATTAAAGAAGTCTGAAAGATGATTTGAAAACTATGAGCACATGAAGTTTGTTGTGTCTTTCTTTACTAATTCATTCACAATGGCTGAACACTGTAGGAAGATGATGTTTGCTTCTGCATTTTGAATGGTTAAAATCACACTATTTATTTCTTGCTTCATTTCTAGATTATATGGCACAAAAATAAACAAACACATAATAGCAGTACAGTAATATCACATTTATTGCATAAATTACTTAAATATTATTGACTTAAATATGAGAAACTTGACCACTCAATAAATTATTCTGCAAGTACAACAGCCTGGAACAATCTCAAATTATTGTTTTGTATTACCAACCAGTAATGGGAAGTGCCATTGGAGAGGAACAGAAGTGAGCTGATAGGGGACACTGTTGTGGTGAACATGTAGTGGGGTGCTGTGTGCGCCCAGTAAATATATTCATAAAGAAAACATCAGACCATTCTTATACATCTGTGATTAGCATGTTCGCTGTAGTGTCAGCATGGTTTCATTTTCTATGGACTGTTCCAGTCATGTCAGAACTTTACAAGTGCTACTGTACACTGCAAGGAAAGAGGAATGATTAGGAAGGTTATCCAGCACTGTGACAAAAGGGTATTCGAAGAAGTTTTAATTCTTCCATTCAGCAAGGAAGGGGTGACCCATTATTGCACAGCGTCACTATGCACTCATGAGAATATATGTCCCAAATGGAGAATTATGATACTCAAAAAGGAGAGTACCTAGCACAGGGCCTCCACTTGACAGTTTATTATTCTGGCATGGTGACCGCCATGAGTGATGCTTCAATGGACCATGAAGTTCAACCTCAGCCCAGCTGTATTACGAGAAGCTTAATATGAAATCATTGTAAGAAAAAGAAAGAACATGAGTTAATACCATGAAATGCTCTCAAAGCATTTACAGGAAGCACGACCACCCTGATAAGGCATCTTCCAAACACAGCAATGCATATCAAATATTTACAAGCAGTATATACAGAAAAGCGAGATGAATAATACATAACTTATATTAGCAGAAAGTTGTTCAAAGAATCTAAAACTAGAACCCTTTACATACTTACTTCCATCTTTAATGCAACTTTGTTTACAACTTCTTAATTTAAGATACGGCCACACCATAGCTCAAGCAGTTAGTTGCATGTAGCAATTTAATTGTAATTTTAATATATTTTAAATTAAGGAGAAATTGTAAGCAAAGTTGCATTAAAGATGGAAGTAAGTGTGTAAAGTGATACATATATGCAACAGGATGATGAAATACAATATTCTAAAACTGGAAGCCAAAATGTCCGATTCTCACCCACATTCATTCAGTGTCAACCAAATGTACTCAAACGTGGTGGGAAAAGCAGCAAAAAATACCACTTCTTAACCAAAGTTTCTCTCAAGTATCTGGCCTTTCCATACAAGTAAGACATTGTTTTATACTGCAGGAAATGTAGTGACCACAGGGAGAGAAAATGGGACTTCCCACTTATGTTAAAAGCCTTACATTATTACATTTGAAATGTTTTAAGAAAATAGCGTTCTTTGTGTGTGTCTGTGTGATGTGTATTGTTTACATAATATGTTATAAATGCTAATCACAGTATATCCCTGATTATCTGACCTTCAGTTATTGAATTTGTCTTGAGCACCCACAACAGCACATAAGCCCCTTTAAACAGTAACAGTAACAGAGTTTGTCTCATTTATAGAAGTTCAGTTTTGCATTTCTTTTTTAGATTGCTGTTACTAACTAAAATCATTTATATGCCACTGTTTGATGATACAGTTACAAACCAAGTGGTGTACATATTTGCTCCATGCTTTTGATGTTACTGTATTATCCAACATTTTCAATTATTTATACTACAGTTAAGTTTTTAGCCTGGGCAGTCAGGGTTCTATGGTATAACAGGAATAATTCCTTAAGAAGACACTTTATGATTTGGCAACAGTGAAAGGATACTGATTTTCTCAACTAATATAAAGTTGTGTGTCAAATACCCTACATACTGAAATTACACAAAATGCATTGCAGTCTTTAATATTAATTGAATGTTTCACATAATAAAGATGAATAAAAAGTTCAGAGTTTGAAATCACATGAATGGTGAAATTCGAGTAAGTCAGGTTTTAATATATCTACATTCACACATCTCTACTTAATGGTTGCAATAAGTTATATTAGAAATATCTTTACTTTCATTTACTTACAATCTTCTGTACATACATACACACACACACACATACATACATTACAGTGACACAGCAAATGGTCTAAATCATGAAGAAGGTTTAAAAAATGAACATACCACATATAATCACATAAGCAGATGACATACAACAAAAATGTGCATAAAGACATTGCACATACTTTCACATATATGGTTGACCTTGACTGTGTTACCTTGAAAATGAAACTTCATTGCTGCTTGGTAAACCACTGTTTGTTACTGAATACCAAACAATAAAATCTATCCAAGTGGTAAACCCAGTTTTAACAAAACTTATATTTTTCATTTTGATCCCTAGTGCCCATACCACTGTTTTCTTGAAGATAACTAATTGGTTTTTTTCAGCACGCCTTACTTAAAATGTATAATATTGAAGTAGTTTTCTACTCTTCAATTTGTACAACACTAATGAACACTGGAAAAAACAGAATTATGTAGCATTTTGTGGCCCATGAATGTGTTATGCCTGCACGTTCATCCACTTTTCAGCAATGGAAGACAAAAAATGTGCAGGAATGTTATTAAACATATATTATTGCAAATTTACAAATTCATCTGCTACAGGACTGTCCCACTAGTTTTTACTGGCATCAGTTAAGAATCCTGTTTCAAGAAAACATATTCTTATTGCCAGAGAACTGTGTTCTGAACATGGTTCCCCAGTAGTATAAGGAAACATCCTTGCCGACACACTGTTTGCAAGAGAACTAAGTTCTAGAATTAAACTTCATGACTGCTAAAAAACTACACATTCTTTCAACTGTGCAGAAATGTTCAAACGAGGGATGTTCAAATTAAATCTCTTCTGGACAAAACAGTCCCCATGCGTGCTGCGGCAGGGAATCCAATGAAATACCATCTCATGAATTCCTTACATGAGGGAATCCTTGGACTCCAACTGGAACCACTGCATCACAAGACCTTGACGTCTTAGTCTGACTTGAATCTATGGCCCTTTCAGGCAAAGAACACATGACACCACACACAGTGACAGAACCAGACTGTATATGGGATGGGATGACACCAGTGAGGGCATATCACACAGGGGCAGGTGCTGTCATGCAACATGGTGACACCTCTCAGGATCATGGTGGGATGCTTTCTCTTGATGGTGCTACAAAGGTCTCATAGAGAACCACAGCAGTGATGTGTACTGATGGTAACTTCCAGCAGCAGGAGCCCTGGAAGACCCTTGTGGAAGGGATCTGTCACCTAGTGCACCAATGGCATAACTGTCTCAGTACCCATGGGGATTATTTTTAATGGCCTCTACTCCTTTACCCAGAATAATCCTTGAATGAATTTCATTTGAACAAGCCTCATATAAATAAAAATTACGATAATACTACTTGTCAAATTTGACAACTGAACATATCAAATGATCTAATATAGAAATTTGAACATATCTTTAAATAATAATAAACCTCAAGTAAAAGCATGAAATGCTTGTACCAACAATTCACTGTGCAAGAAGCATCACATCCTAAGGCACTTAAAATGCTTCTCTGCTACCAGCAAATTCATCATATGTCACAACAGCATTAACATTTCTAAAAACTACTCAAGTGACATCTGTTTCTACTATTATGTACACCCAATTATCTTATTTTGGTAAAGAACAAATTCTTAAGTATGGATCACTGCACTCTTCTAATTGTGCACTCAGGCAGCTGGGTAGAAACCATCTTCATTTTGAAGAGAATTTAAACATACTCCTCTTTAAGCTCTTTGTTTCTCCTGGCTGTAAACAAAAGGATCATTTTGTTCAGCATCAATAAAAGTTTTATCCGAATGGTCACAGTTTACTTACTTCAACTGAGACACCTGTATGTTCAGTTTGGTATTTATCATGGTAAAAATTATGGAATAACTGACTGAATGAAAAAATCTGCATGTTATGTCCACTTTAAATTAATGGCTATCTGGTATGCCAAACTGATTAATAACTGTGTGGCATTTATAGTATATGAACAAAGTACAATCACATTTGTTTTATCTGAATCAGGAGTACAGGATAATTATATTTTTCTTAAAGTCTGCCTCAGGAGAAGTGTTTTCTTATTAAATAGATACAAGAGCATAGAGAACATACACCTTCTTGCATCATAAAAGTTTCACCCACTGTAATATTTTCTGACTGTACAGCCAGCCCATCAGGACTGCCACTTTATCTCAAGGCCTAAAATATTTTGCTACATACATTCATAATGTTATATTTTAGCGTCCTGTTGCACTGATTTAAGTCCATGATTTATTTCAACCGTCTTCCAGTGCATACACTCATCTATCTCCTCCTCTCACTCGCANCGAAAGTAGAAAGAGTGCTCCGACAGAAGAGGATAGGTGTGACTCGCATAGTGAGATACGACGTAGGGATGAAAAATCCTGAACAATTTTAATATTTTTAACATTTAACATTTATCAATATATATGATAAATATATATTTTAGTTATTTTAATATGAAGACGACAAGGCATACAATGAACTAGTTTAGCGTAAATCGAATAAGCACCTGAAGATGGCACTTTTGTGCCGAAACATGTAGCGCGAGTGAGAGGAGGAGATAGATGAGTGTATGCACTGGAAGACAGTTGAAATAAATCATGTACATATTTCAGATCAAATATCAAACAAATGTACAACTCTGTGAGAAAAAGCAAACCAATCCAAAATTAATAAAGACGGGAACTTCTGGATCCCAGGGGCATGCAGTAGTGTAGCTGGTTGAGGCACTATGGTACAAGCCAGAAGGTTGTGGGCTGGTGTCCTGATGAGGTGAATTTTTTCAGTTCACCTAAACCTTCCAGCCACACTATGGCCCTGGAGTCAATTCAGCCTCACCAGGAATCTTCCTGGGGTGTAAAGGATGGCCAGTGTGTAAGGCTGACAACCTTACTGCCATCTGTGTGCCAACTGTCTAGAAAATGTGGGAGCCTCGATGTCTCAGAACCCTATGGGCCTTTATGGCCTGTTACAGGGATAGCTTCACCTTACTTCTGGATCTCTCGATCCATTCATCCTCCAATGACGAGAAGGCGAGACAGGTTGTGGGTAGAACTGGTTGTCCTTGACCATTGCATTCTTCACTTAAGGACACACTGAATTTCCGTGTACCGACAGCAACAGTAAGAGTAATCCAAAAATCACATCATGCTGATTTTTCACCTTGCAGAGTACACTTGGTAACTGCCCCACCTTCTCTTCGTTGGAGATGGTAGAGACAGCAATATAAAGCACATCTGAGCTGAACTAATTGTTGGTAACTATAATATCTGAAGTGAGATTCATAATAAAAAACACCTCTAATTTGCAAGTATGCATAGGTTTGTTCTTACCATTAATCTGGATCCAAACAACATCCTTGCCTTATCTTCCTCCTGCGGAGATGCTCCTTCATCAGATGGCCCTCTATTCATTTTTATCTGTAATTTCTGCTTGATGGCCTGTAATTACAATTATGTTTAAACTGAAGTACAGCATTACTGTGAAGTGTTTCTGGTATGTGTAAACACAAGTTCCTTTGTTAACAGAAAGTTCAGAGAACGAACATGGTAAATGAGACGCATTGTGTTACCTGGTATGTTCAGAATAAGCAGTGTAGTCTGCTGATGTGCGGCCTCACCTGAGATAGAATCACACGTCTGGTGTCACTCTTCATGGCCAGCAACAGATCAAGCCATGTCCAAGTGACATTGTGGTATTCCAGAGTGGGAATAACCAAGCTAAAGTCTCGAATGTCTTCTAGATTCTTCTCCTTGTTCCCTTTGTAACTAACCCTGACAGGAACTTCTGGAATTTTTATGTAAATAAACAGTTTGTTCTTCTCAGCTCGCTCCTATTGGGAACAAACACTGAATGCAGTATCACAATAACTGAGTACAGGAATTCTGTTAACTTTCATACAGAATTTTAGTGACCTTTTGTATCAGTGTTACTTTGAAGACCAAGGAGAGGGTAGGAAAACATGATGGATTTTAGGGGAACAGGCTGCAAAGAAGCAGGTCTGATGGAACTAATTCACAATTCTGTTCAGTCCCAGGCTTTGGTACTAGCAGTGCTGAACCACTTGGTTCTAGAAGACACTTGCTTATATGAAGGATGTGTATTTAAAAATTTTCAAGAGACGCAGAAAGGATCTGTAGGTACAGCAGTGGCTCCCAGTCTCAGACTGGTTGGTTCTTGAGTTCTTAGAGTGGTGAAACTTAAAGACTGTAGCCTTCAAGGTTATAATATGCACAGTGTTGTTGCATTTTGTGCAAGAGATGTGTTTCTGAAGACCTCGCATAATTCAAGACAAGCTTTGAGAGACATGTGTAATTCTTGCTGAATTTTTTGCAATTCACGTTATTTCAAACAGTGAAAAACTACTTGAGTCAGGGGTGTCAGTAATCAGGTAAACATTCGAAATGGGTACCTCCTGAACACATGCTTAGAGTTACCACTACACTTAGCTCAGGTCATTATTGAAATCAGACTCTTCAAGGGTCATGTAAAAATTCTTTCTCATTTTCAATGTTGAGAAGAGTTCAAAACCTTGAACCTGAGGAGAATGTCAATTTCTGCACACACATGCAGCACGCAATCTTAAAGTGAAACGTGTCTGTGTGTGTGTGTGTGTCCATTCCACAAGATGAGTATGCAACTCTGGGTAGGCCCATAGCACCCATCCAACACATAAGGACATTTGTATAGCTTTAAATCATTACTTCATCACAAACAAGGACATTTGTACAACTTGAAACCATTACTTCATCTCATTTCCTCCTAATTGGCTCTTGACCCTTTCACACATTCAGGTATCTACCCCTTACAACCCCCCCACCTTTTGTCATACTGTACTATAATATCTTCTATTCCAAGATTACTTCATCCTTCTTGCGCTCAAAGCTGTTTGTTCTAAAACACCCATAATTTACAGTTTTCCTTCAGACTTAGAGACTGTATTTCACAGCAACATAAAAATGGTGAAATGGATGACAGTCTTTGCAATGGAAAAACAAACAAAAGGGTTATAATGTAATAATACGCTGGAATTCAACACATGATGATTCTCTGCTCTGCTGGCAGTACATAACAGTGCAGCTGTAGCCAAAAAGGCTTACAAGAAACAAACACTGCTCGAAAAAAAAGACATTCAAAGTACAAGAATTGTTAAGTTCAATATTTTTCAACGTCTTTGAAAGTGCATCTGCATCGGCATAACCGTTTTTGTTTTTATGAAAAATAACCTATATATGATTAAACTTGAAAATTCATACTATACTCAATTTGCAATTTTGAGGGAAGTGTTAAGGAAGTATCTTACCTTCATCTTTTCAACGTCATCTTTCTGTTCTATTGGAACATAGAAATTTGTTTCTTTATTCTTCTTTGTTCCCTTGAGTTTCTTCCCCTTACTGTCAGCATCAAGATCATCAGATCCATCTCCATCTATGGTGTCAGGATCACGCTCAGGAAAGCAGAATTTCAGCATAGTATTGTAAAATTTCTTTGTGAGCCCTGAAAAACAGAGTAATTACAGGCTTACTCTAAAGGTTTTGACTGTAGAGGAAAGGTTCTATTTAGTTGTGGACCAATACAAACCTATTGTAAGAGGAACTACGTTGATCTCAAAGTGTTCCTTCACGGATATACCGCCAACTGGTGCCTTCTCTCGGCAAAATACACGAACAGCACGCTGAAACATTCATTCCACAATCAGCCTTCAGTTTGAAGACCTCTATTACTAGGTGGTACTCAAACAGTAACAACGACACGCTACATTTATACCTCAAATGAGTAATGCAATCTTTGGTATTAGGAGCTCAAATCAATACATTACACTGGGTTTTCATTTTAAATCACAACACAGAACATATGCTGTAATTTAATACTCTCTACCCAAGGTCATTTAAATGTTCCAGTATCATAGAGTCTAAACAGCTACATCTTGTGGAAAAAAGCTTCATAAATTTTACAGTTTTACAGAAGACATTTCTTTATTCCCTACCCTTAAAACTGACAGTACATGCAGGTTCTTTATGGACTTCTTTCAACATATGTGGCCTTTTAAAATTAAATAATATAAATTTAATTTAATAATTTGCATAAAAAAGACATACAACTTTAGTAATTTCATCCTGCTTCCATGCTGAGTGACATAACTGTACACAAACAGGACATGTGTAATTAGACATGTAGCCTCAGAATAAAACATAATTCTATTCATGCAACACCAGAGCCCAACATTTTGTTGTGGTTACTGATTCTTAGTCGCTGACAAATGTAAAAAACACAATTATATGTGACAACTGCATGCATATAAAGTCTTTTCAGGCAATCACTTGTATACTCTTACACAAGCATAATAAAACAAGTGACAGCCACTAAAAATCACTGTAAGGAAGGACCAATAACAATAACAATGACTGACTGGCTATGTGACTTCACCCACTGTTCTCTAAGTGGTATGAGTCAAGGACACTGCAAATGCTCTTCTTGAGCAGCTAAAATTAATTATTTTTCATTAATTAATAACACAAAAGTATGGGAAAGTAGCTATTTGATTACTTTGTTTTATGGGCAGATAGCTCTGACCAAATTTACTGTCCTGAATATCCAGTCCCAACTGCACCCAGTGCACCTGTATTCTCTAACCAAGCAGCTCCTTCCATCCCCATGGGTGATGATGGAGCAGTTCGAGAAAGTTCTTAACACAGCATGTGATGGCCGCCCTCCCCTCTGGGTTGATCAGAACGATGTATATACTTATAAAAAAAGTAAAGCTATCCCTGTAACAGGCCATGAAGGCCCATAGGGTTGTGAGACGTTGAGGGTCCCACATTATCTAGACAATCAGCTCAAAGATGGCAGTAAGGTTGTCAGCCTTACACGCCGGCCGCGCTTTACCCCAAAGAATATTTATGGTACTCATTTCTGTTAGAGGCTGAGTCAACCCGAGGGCCATAGTACAGCTGGAAGGACTTCATTGGACCAACGACCTCACTGGTACTTGAACCCGCGACCTTCTGGCTTGTAGCATAGCCCCTCAATATATGTTTCAAAATTATGAGTTTAATAGAAACATGGCTAAATGAATCCTTTACCAGTCTCCATTTCTTTCCTGAAATGTGTACTGTTTATCATGCCAACAAGGTATGTGACACTAAATTAGATGGGGGAAGAGGTCTAGCTGCTGTTTTGGAAGAAGCTTCTGGTGCCAAACATACATCAGATTTGGAATGTTTTTAAGAATGTCTGGGTATTTGTTGCTATGACTGATGATCACAACTTGCTCACTGGCAATCATTATTTTTCACCTGATATTAACACTGACATTACGAAGTCATACTTTAATTCTTTATAAAATATCATAGATACCCTCAATTACCACATAATTTTGATTTGGGATTTTTATGTACTGGAATTACAGTTTGCCATTCTGTAACTCCCATCATTACATTAAAGAGAATGGAGATGCAAATATTTCTGCCATTTGTTTTCCTTGCTTAAATCAACATAATTATCTTCACAGTGGCACAACTTGCTTGATAATGTTTTTACAAATTTTCAACTGATCTTGCTCAAAACAGTTTTATTCAACGCAAAACCATGGTAAGGATGCCACAGCCAGATTCAAACAGTTAACGAAGTAAATATTATTAGCAGACTCCCACAACAGAAAATGGAACTTACCTTCCTGTCAACAGGCATGTTACTCTGAATCTCAGTGGGAGATAACACATCTTTGTACACCTGGTTCGGCAACAGGTTTGTCACGCGCACATAGCCCAGTTCAAGTAAGTGTTCTCCTGAATCATCACTCTTGGAATTCTTTGTGTATCTGGGCAAATAAGAAATTTAAGTTGATATACATAGTCTTACTGACACTTATCGTCAGGTGTGCATTTTGTAATGGCCAACAATTTTCAGGATTAACAAGTTTCTGGACATTTTCCATTGTCTCATACTCTGTAGGGACAGAATATTTTTGAAACGCAGTGTGTTACCATCCTCAAGTTAAAAGATGGGAAGGCCCCTACTCAGGTGCGTCTGCTAGAAAAATCTCTCTGGATTCAGTGACTGAAATCAGCACTTTTTAACAGACTCATCATCTGAGTTAGTATCTCCCCACTATTTCACCTGAGAATGGAAACAGATCAGTTCCTGAAACGTTGTGTCCTTTCAGAATAACAGATGATGGACAAAGGTCCAGAAACTTGGTAATCCCAGGTACTACATACCATCTTCAAAACCCTTTACAATTAAGATAAAACATCTGGCAGCAAACTGTGATTTGAAATACACAGTAAACTCTTGACTGAGTGGGACAATATGAGAGAGGAAGTATACATAATCAAAACTCAGTACCTTTGCTTACATAACAACACTTTTTGAGCTGCATAGTTTACAAAGTGCCAAATGAGAAAATGATCCTGAATGATGACATGGGAAGGATGTGAAAAGGGTGGACATGGAAAATGTTAAGACAATATTCATACATTCCCTGGAGGGACCAAGAAAACCAAAAGAAACCTCCATGGCTATGATGGAGAGAGCAATTACATCTCAGAATCGTGTTGTGTTGTATTTCTATTGTACTGGTTTCTATCAACCTAACTATTTGCATAGAACAGAAAAATTACAGAAACAACAAATATGACGATAGTAGTATATATATACACAACTTACATGTATGGGTTCTCCCCTGCAATAAATGTACGGAGTGGTCCAAAAGTCAGTTAACCTAAATCATTGATGAGAATGTTCAGATTTAAACCTGCTAATACTGGTATGAGTCAGCTCCCACATTTTTCTTTCTCTTACATGTTTTACCGTCATTTCATTTTATTTTCCCTCTTTTTACCTACATTGTTTTGTTAGATTCTTTTCCCCATTTTTTGACAATTTTTTGCCAGATCACTGTCTCCTCTGTTTCTCCCCCACTTCCTTCTCCCAGTCTCAATTCCTTTCATCTTTGTCTTTGTTTAATTTTTTTCACCACATACCTTCCACCTTCCTGTGCTTATAAACTTGCCCCCTTGGCATCTGCACTTTGAAAACAGCTTCTGTAAGCCATGATTTCTGTTGAATGCTGAGTGCACTGGTTTTGACCCTCCCTTCCCTACAACTACATCATTTTTCCCATTGCAGCTTACTTTTCCATCTGAAGACGAAGACAACCAGTTCTTCTGAATGATCTGCATAAATATGGCAAAGTACATGGTAGCACAGAATACCGCAATCTTGATCTGATTCCTACAAGAGCATCAAAAATGTAGATTTCAAAAACCAATCACTGCAAACCACTGCAGCAATCAAGGAATGGGTGGTGACACCAAGTGAGGAATGATATAAAAATGAGAGTGAGAAAGAATGGACATGGATATGAGCGAGAGATTAGAGAAGGATACAGATCAAGGAAGGACTGTCAGAGACGATTCACCCAAACAGAAACATCAACAGGCAACAGTATCTAAATTTTACTTACAGAAAATTGCTCAGTACAAGATCTGCGATTCCCAACTGACCATCAGCTTCTGTGAGTCGCCACTGAGCATGCTTGAAGCATATCTCATTGGCTCTGACAGTTGTGACAGGCTTGTCACCACGCATGGTTGCTAGCTTCTGGTTGGCTGACAATTGTGTCTCTTTGTAGCAAGACAGCATCATGTCCAGCTCTTCACTGTGACAGTTGAGGAGCTCCTTACACTCAAAAACCTGGTAGCACATCATATAAGTATATTACAAAACAGAGCCAATAAAGTTTACATTTCACTCTATACTTAAAATGGAAGCCGGGATAGTGCAGCCAATATAGTGATGGACTATGGGCTGGGCGACAGAAGGGGTCAGAGTTCAAGTCCCGCTGGGGTCCAGAATATTTTTTCTCTCCATGTCATCGAGACCTGTGCTGGGGCACACCCAGCCTCTATCCAACAGGTACCAGGGGCTCTTTCCCCAGTGGTAAAGTGGCTGGAGCGTGAAGTTGACCACTCACCGCCAACTAGTGCCGGCATCAAGACAACGTGGATCTATACGACCATTCCTCCCCATGCCTTCATGACATAGTGCTTAATTAGTTAAGCACAGGGACAAAATTACCTTTTCACCCTATACTTAAAATAATGAGAAATCTTGATGAAATAATATACACTACAAATTCTGATCAAAACATTATAATACCTAACTTGTGTCTACAGGTAAATCACACTGTGCAGAGTTGTATCTCCAATGAACATGTGCTGACATGTTACAGTATGTGCCAGCATATTTACAGTTCATTCTCCTGTCACAGTCATTTGTGATGAAAGTTATAGAATCATGCAGTTTTGACACACATCGAACTAACAATGTCAAAGAGTGGAGAACACTGCGCCCACATGAAGATCAGAAAACTGGCAACTGCACCTTATCAGTGGATGCACTTGAGATACAAGAATGAGAAGAGCATGAGTCGTTTCCATTTTTGAAGTGGGGCAAACATCTTGTCAAATGTGATGAACATCCTGCATACCTGCAACCAGCAGAACTGTAGAAATGATGAAATGGTAGCTGAAACATGTGACTGAGAGCAAAATGACAGACAACCGACTATTTGGGAAACAGCAGACTTGGGAATGATGTCTTGTCAGACAAAACTATTCACCGCTCTGGCTCAACACTTTCCATTTAGAAGAGATAGCAATATATCACTGCCATCTGCAATAGATGCAAGGAGCACAGTAAGCCACTGTTTACATTTTGTACCATCATGGCAAGAATCTCCTCAAAAAGTGAAGTTTTGCTAGGCTGCAGATTGAAAACCAGACCTGTCTCATCAATATCATACTATATAAATACGTAGCACAGAGGTAAGAACATTGAATTTCTTGCAGTAGTATCAGCATGAAGCAGGCAACAAGCAACTGCTTGCTGCCTGCATGAGTATGAAACTTGGTCTCTCAGTACAAGAAAAGAACACAGACTAAGTGTTGAAATTATGTTGTCAAGGAAAATATCTGAAACAAGGAAATAAGAAAGGAGAGAATTACATAATGAGAAACAATTCTGTTGGGGTAATTATATCAAAGATGTTGGGAATACAGAGTTTGCACATCCAGGCCCTGGCACGAGTTCCTTGGCTGCTGCTCCAGATCCTCACATCCAGCAAGGGAATAATCCGAGAAAATGAATCTCGGTACTGCTGCCTCCGAACCAAGCACTGACCTGCCTCTCCAGATCATCCATCTCTATCATTATTTCTTCATTCAGTGGGTCATCTGCAAGAGCTCGCTGAAGTAAATGAGTTTCCTTCTCAAGGCGGCGTAGTTTTGATACCAGAGATCTAGAAACGAAAATACAATCTTTGTGAATAAGCAGAATGATCTAAAAGCGATATGCTGCTAAGAAACAAATATCTTTGGTATAAAATTAAATAACTATATTGTGATGTGAGGGCTCAAATCCAGAACTGTGGAACCAGCAGAGATGGCTGTTGCTAGGGAACAGCCCTGTAAATATCATGTGACAGCTCGTTATTGTGGCAACAGGGGCAACGCAATAACAAAGGACTTTTGGAAAAGCTGTTTTCTGTGCAGTCCACTGCAATGGCTGTACACTAAACAAAACAACTGCAAGAATAGATGTTTTCTGTGCAGTCCATAAAGAAGCTATATAATGAGGACTAGCTCCCATCATGAGATAGTTTTGAGTCAGCAGTTAGGGAGTGCAGTTCATGAGCCATAAGGGTGTGAGGGAGCTCCGTTATTAGAAGAATGTAACCAGGAAACAGCTAGTGGAGGTTGTAACAAGTGAAGAAAGCTAGTGTGGAGTACAGTGATTTGTGCAGCATTATAATTACTTGTAATTCCAAGTTGTAAGTTTGCGATAAATCCAATTACAAATCGAAACCAAACTTACAGTAACTTAACCCATCACAATATTTAAGTTTATACTAACAGTAAATAAGTTTTAATAAACATAATGCTTATGTAACATTATGAAACATACATACAAGTGAGAACAGTACCATGTGTTTGATGTGAATAAGCCATGTACCTCACTTTTTGACACATATTTTTTATGAAAAATGTGTACAGGGTATTCAAGAAAATACGGTAATACCCATGCCAAAAATAGAACACAATTAGTATCTATTATCAATCATATGCAACACATACTACTGTATGCCATCTGCAAGTGTGCTCATAGAGTGTTCTGTGATCATTAACTGTTGATATATAAGACATATATTGTGGTCTTCTGGTAATGACACTGTCTAGCCTGGTATCAGGGTACCGATGTTTTTCAGGAATATACTGTGCTTCCACATTCAGGGCAGAAGACAGACAAAGCAAGTCCCTCCATAACACTCCTACCCATCTACTATGCTACATGGTGTCACAGCCAAGAAGACCACAATATGACTCTTCACCACTATGAAAACCTATAGTCTTAAGGTAGCTTGCAACAGTTCATGATATCTGGGAAGCAATGGCAAATGATTTATGGGGCCTAATATTATTTATGGGATATGCACAATTTCTGGTAATTTCCTTCCTTCTCTTCTTCTTCTTCATTTCAGTTAGCTTCTAGGAAACCTAACCTAACATGTGAATTTGTCCAGTAAGATTTGTGACAGGTAAGGTAGTCCATACTTGCCAATAATATGTCTCATTCAAAACAGTTGTGAATTATCCTTCTGGCTTTTTATTTTTCCTTGTCATTCACTATTGTCAGCAAAGTATTTCTTCTGTACTGTTTAGCTAGCTTGTGTCAGTGTTTATTATCAGCCTAGGGTTCATTCAAGTCTCTAAGAAAAAGGCAGGTTGTAGCAGCAAGCCATTGTACACACATAAGGAGTAAAAGACTGTAGTGGCCCAGGAATCCTTTCCAACATCTCCTTGATATTCCTCTCTTTCTCTGTCCCTTAGGCATATCTCTCGATACCTGGACTGAGTGACTGATTGATTGACTAAGTCATTCACTCATTCTATCTACATTACTTTCTATACTTATCAATTTCAACTGTCTTATCAGCCTTAAGTTTCTCATGCACAGTAAACTCTTGCTAATCCAGTTACAGCTAATCTGGATTGAAATACGAAATATGAAAGATGCTGTTTACAGTCAAGTACATGCCACTTAGAAAGGCAGATGAGTCACTAGTATGTTCAAACAAAACTTGACAGCTTCTTCAAACCTGCATTCTTACAGTAAAAAAAAAAAGTACAACTTCTGAGTCTTCTATCGATGAATAAATGTACTGTCCTTTTATAGTTTTAAAATAAAGGCTCTACAGTGATATTTTTCTATTCAGTTTCATCAGCACTATTTATATCATTAAATTTTCCATTTATTTGTGTTCTCAGTTTTTTGTCTTTTAGGGCTACTTTTTGCTTCACTGATCCAGATGACATCTCCCCTCCCCAGTTACTCTGGATTAGCAGGGGTTTATTGTACTGTTACCTGCTAATACAAAGAACGGTGAAACACAAGAATGAGAGCAGATTCAGAAAAGAAATGTGCTGAAGAATACTGTCTTCTGGGGTCCAACACTGTGTAGTATGGAACAACTTCACAGACACTTCTGAGGAACACTGCTGCCATCTTCAGGGGCAAAGAGTATGCCACAGAAGTAAGCAGCAAGAGAAAATTATGCATCAGTTGAAAGGTTACCAAGGAGCACTTTCATCTCAATCATAATCAGCAATCTGCATGGTGAAGACTACCGGTGGGAATATTCATATCATGTTACCACCATCAAATTTCCCACGGAAATTAAGTGCCAGCTGGAATTTTATCAGGAGAACTTTCTTCTCAATGGTCCTCAAGGATCCATGTGGTGAAAGCCATATACATAAGTATCCACACTGTGATGCCACATCACACTGACATATAACTGCCTGAATCTAGATGTATAAAATCATATTCTGAAAAGCAGAATACATATATTTTATGTAAATAGGGCAGAAGATCATGAAATGAACAATGTCACATACCTGACTTGATTCTGCATTTGTTGAATGGGTCTCCGTTGGTCTTCCACGCTGTGCAGCTGCAACTGGAACCTCATTCGCTGTAGTCTCTCAGATGCCTCCTTGCGACGAGGTTCAACATACAGTAGTAGGTTGTTCACTATGTCCAGTATCATTGCGTACTGGGAAAAAGAAATACTATTACGGTTTGATATGTTTTGCTGACGTGTTCTTTGCAGCTGATCACCACATGTGCCAACATCCAAGCACACCACAGCATTAATGATAAGAAAGTGGGGGTATGGGTAAACAAAACATATCAGCACATATCAAGGGAAAGCTGGATATGTGATGTTTTGTACTCCTCACCTGGTACTGGCAGGATGTGTAAATCAAGAAGCATGAAATGTACCAGAATGTGCAAGAGGAACAGAAAATGTGAATCTCAGAAAAATACCACTTAGGAGATATACACACAAGATTAAGAATAATACTAAATTGATTGTTATGGTCAAGTAAATATGATTTGAAGCTTTCATGGTGACATGATTAATCAAGTCTTCTCGGACAATTAGTTGTGTCACTGTGCAGTTGATGTCTGACATTTCAGAGACTGTTGCTGACTCCATCATCTGGGGTTGATGCAATGAGGGCTGTGTCCGCATGCTGTTGCCTGTTCCAGCCTGGAAGGCATGGAGAATGGTGGGTGGTGTCAGATAGTACTGCCCTGTCTGAGGACAGAACACATGGAGAACAGGCAATCTGGCATTGGGATTCATGTTGCTTGTCACTGTCATTTAAGGACCATCATAAGCAAGGACAAACAACATGCAAAATGAATTCTGATAGCTGACTGACCATTCCCCATGCAGTCTGGCCTGAGACAGACCTAACTGACTGCGCCCATCATTCCCCACTCATTCGAGGCTGGGCCACATGACAATTCTATGTGTATAAATACGGTACGCAAACCTTGATCATGGGGACAGAGACAGAGTTTCTGAAATGCTGCACACTAGCTTCTTACTGATACAGCTGAGTGCCCAAGCAGACTTCGCTCTACAAGTAAACAGTTTATGTGGATAACAATTACACTGAAACTGGCCAGAATGAGATGTAATTACAATCTGGCCAAGACAGACATGAACGTCATTGTTCCACACCAGCTGAAAGTCATTTGAATGCCAACTTTCCAGCTACATTACTACTACACAGCTCAGAGGTTAACATAACAATGAGCAAATGGGGCTCCATACCTGCAGTGAGTTGGTGCATACATCCAAGTCATGATGCATTAGTGTGAAGGCATCCATTGCCCTTTCCTTCCTTTCCCATGGACCCCCTTCATCACTCGGAGGAGGTGGCACTTCATCCAGAGTGCTGGGGTCAATACTACTCTCCCCATATGCAGCGTAGAAAAACTCACACTTGCACCGTGACACTATGCGCTGCAGCTGAAAAACAGGCGCAGCAACAGTAAGTACAGGGCAACAGTAGTTCGCACTACACAGCATCAGATAATGGGAAGGCAAATTAATAATTGGAAATGATGTGGAATTAAGTGGCAATTGTCTACTTTCAAGTAATATCCTGCTATCTGCCCAAAGAGTCTGGGGAAAACAATGAAAAACGTTGAAGAAAGTTAAAAATGTTACATGTAAAGACATTACTTACTGGTACTAGATTAAATATAAATTACATGACAATTAAAGAAATATCATTTTGAAATATAACAACCCAAACTTTAATACACACACAAAATAGAATTTTCAAACAGTAATATGTAAACAAGTTACCGTATTTACGCATGTATAGGCCGCGTGCGTGTATAGGCCGCAGCACAATTTTCAGACAGAAATTATAGAAAAAATAATTTTCTTGGAATATTATTTCAGGAGTATTACACCCTGTATTACTAATTATGAATATAATTTTTTTAAATGAAGTGTGATTTCGAATATTTCGAATATAAGCCGCACCAAAGTTTTCCTCTTGAATTTTTGGCAAAAAATGTGTGGCCTATACATGCGTAAATACGGTATGTACTTGTAGCTGGTATTCCAAAAGTATTGTAAGAAGAAGCAAGGCCTCATAAAGCCAAAAGTTCAAATGAAACATATATTCAAAGAAATACTATGCATATGTTTTCTATTACAAAATGAGTTTAGGGTAGAGCACCTCTCCTGAGTCTCTGCTTCTCTTCTGTGTTGGAATTCCATGAAGGAGAATCATGAAGGGACAGAGGGAGCCAAATTTGTAGACAGATATTACAATAGAGGGGACACACCCATCAATGTTGGTTGTGAGGGGCAGAAGGTTTGGCCTACCTGTATAGGAGGATTTTCACCGATGTTGCTGCTTGCACCCACAGTCTCGCTGACAACACCACCCACAGACTGTCCACTGCCCACCAGGTGTGGTAGGTCAGGTAAATCAGCAATTACTGTCGAGTCCTTCTCTTGAATATTCTCAACAGTCAGCCACATGATGTTTTCTGTGTGAGATCATTGCTTATTAGTGTTTTCTGAATCATTTTGATTTTATAAAATGGGAAACTGCAAGCATGACTTTTGTCAGTTCAAGACAAGATTGAGATGAAAAATTTGAAAAATTTTGAGCGTACAGACGAAAATGAGAGCTTTCTCTAGTGGACCAGTCTTCTCAGTGTACTAATTTGTAACACAGTGCCTAATACTTGCCTAAATGGAAGATGATTCTAGGTGCAAGAAAGCTATGCAATAGGAAACATGTCTGCACAGAAAAAGTGATTTTATGAATTGATTTCAGAAGCTTACTACAAACATGTGAAAGAAAATAAATATCAGAAAACATGTTATATAATGATATTGACTTGGTTTCCTCCTTAATGTCATTAGCTTTTTTTTTTTGTTTTGCAAGTTTAATCACCATATTCTTAAAATTTGAACCATAACTGCAGCATCTGATACCTTTCAGCATGTTATTCCAGTTCACCAGTACTTCTCTTCTTAACATGACCTGCAATTTTTACATCCAGTGACACTTGTGTTACCACAGAACCTCGTGATATCATACCTTGGTGAATTACCACCTTTATTTCATAACAATGATAGTACTTTTGGCAACCCTGTGGCAGCTCATGGTCTCTAACCTTGAAACAAGATTGCTGTAACTGTTACAGGCAGGTTCTGAATACAGGAGTATCCTTGTGATTCAATAATGGAATGCACGGCCATATGGACAAAGGGATGGCCACTGCAATGTGACACTCAGGTAATAAAGATTAATTCTGCCAGATATGAACACAGACTATGGACTGTGGAATTCCAGACCCGAGGTTCAAGAGATGGAAAAGCGGGAGGCAAGGAACTGAAGGATACTATACATTAACATCAAGTTATTTCACCAATTCATGTGTCAATACAAGCCCAAAGACAGTAAACAGGGGTATGAAAACTGTTTTGATCACCTGCACATGCTAACAGTCTTGTGAGTGCTATACTCACCATCTAGGGAGTCATTCTCTCCAGCACTGACTGTGGCGTAGTACTGCATGCACTCAAGGGACCCAACCCATGTTGTCTTCGACACTAATGTCCTGTCTTTCCATGCTGGACGATGAACACATTGCAATATCTCTGCTTTAGCAGCACTCAGGATCACATAGCCCTTGGTCTCGCAACCCTTAAGAAGGACTTGGCTGTTCACTAGTGCAACTAAAAACAATAAAATACACTGATGATAAGATATTGTGGGTTGCAATGCTGGGTAGTATCAAAAAACATCAATTTTTTAAGGGAACATGTCACCTCCACCTTCTGGGTCAACAAGTAAGCCAAGCAAGAAACCAGTAAGAAGTAGATAGTAAACAGAGTTTGGCTTACTTATCAGCTCTGAAGATGGAGGTGATATCTTCATCCAAATGTCAGTCCTTCCCTGAACTACATGGCGCTACAACCCAAAAGATCCTTCTCTTCTAAGTCATCACTGTGAGACCCTCAATTTGACACAATAAAATATATCCATCAAAACTTTCAAAGCATCTGTGTCAGATAAAATTGAAAATACAAATGCAACTTGTTTTGTTTGTGCTGGAGAGCAGAAAGGAGACATAAAGTCATGATACAACTGTCATCAATAATCAAAAGCCTTCTGTGGATGGGACTGGAGCACCCAAAGCAAAATCCTACTGTGAAGGAGATGGGTCAGAACTAAAGCAAGAACCTACTGGGAAGGAGATGGGTCAGCACATAAAGCAAGAGCCTACTACAGAGGGGATGGGTCAGAGAAGAGCCTACTATGGAGGGGATGGGACAGAACGAAAAGCAAGAGCCTGTCTCAAATTACCTGACAAACTTTTGTGTAGTCTGGCAATGGAGCTCTATATGAAGTTGTCACACTGAATTTAACATTTGCTCATTTAGTCATAATAACCCATACTTGAGGCTTCTATCAAACTACATCAATTTTCTCAAAAATAGCTCATCGTACAACAGAGACAAGAATTTGGAAGAATTTTGACAATCAACACAAGACTTTTCTTTACCAAAACAATTTTTTCATTGTACTCACAAAACCAACCATTTGTTCACAATGCACTGAAGTGTACTAACTATCCCTTGTGATATGAGACCCCTTTAAAAAAGTCATAATCACTGGCATCTTTCTGCATAACTGTCAGAAGGACGGGGAGAAAGACACACAGAAAGAGAAAGATTATGCATGAAACTGATTCACACTACACAAATATTACCAGCCACTAAGATTCTGATGGACTGAGTACCAGTAGTTTGTGTGCTACTGCAAGAAGCAAAAGCGTTTACTTGAAAATTCTCAGAATTTAAGACCACATATGCTTATTTTAAACACACTCAGCATGGTGAATAGAGGAAAAAATAATATATGTTTCAGCACAACACACTGTCTGTAGCATCCCCTACAAATATCAAGGCCAATGCATTATGCAAAATCACAAACAACACATATAAAAAGGATATGTATGTGGTACAGCTTCATGCTCTGGTTCCAGTCATTTGACACTTACTAAGCCAATTCTTATGCTGTATGTTGTCCTCCTGACATGCTGCAAGGCCTTGCAGATGCTGTTCTCTGGTTTGTACAGACAGGTCATCACTGAATACTACTGCTTTGTTATCTGCTTCAGCAATCAGTTGCTGAAGCATTGTCGCTGCATGGCCAGACTGCAATTTTGTCATTGGTGACGGCGTTGCCTGCACTGCTGCAGGGTTCTGCGGGGTGGGAACTCAAGCACATAGTAACACAGTCCATTCCTTGATCAGAAAACATGTTTATGGGAACACAACCATACAGAAACATAGTCTTATTACCAAACAGGCTTAGGTACTGGACACTGTTTTGACAGAAAAGATATACAACACCTCACAAGTGCACGTGTTTCAGTCTTCAGAAAGTAGTGGTATCTCCTGGTTGGGGGTACCGGATAAAGCTCATCACTGAAACAGACCTACCTCTCAAACATACTTTTATTTAGCCAATGTCCAGTGAAGGTATTCCCACAGCAATACGAGACCATGCACACCTTTACAATTGCCAACATGTATTAATAAATGCTGCACTATCCACTCCTGACACAGATACATTAGACTCATTTCCCACAGTACACATGTCAAAGGCTCTGGAACCCTTATGGTATGCATCTCTGGTTACCTGAACAAATATCTCTGACCCTCTATTAAGCTGCTAGAACTAAGAATGAACAAACTAGCCAGAATGTATTAAGTGATCCTCTGAATCGTCCTGATTTTCCCCTGATGATTAAGACATACAGAGGAAAAAACCGAAAGGACAGAATCAGAAATGAAATATTTAAAGAAGCTGGAATACAAAATTAATTAACAGAGTTAGAAGAGAAATGATTACAACAGTTTGGCAATACAGAGAGACTGGATGGAACAACGATACTACAACGGATATTAGAATTCGATTTTAAGGGAAAGAGGACCTATCAGATGACCCAGAACAAGATGGTTCTGCAGGGTACTAAAAGATGTCAAGAGGAGAGGAAAGAGCTGGCAAGATATCAAAAAAGGAAAGAATGTGTGAAGATAGTATGAAGACAAGAGACTTGGGACTTCGCATACATCAACCTTTATAAAATGGAAATTATACCATAAAAAGTCCCTGAAAAATTTGTGTTCATTAAGGAACACACACAAACTTGAGGCAACACTCCAACAAAGGGGTAACTTCCTTGTCTCTCACTTGCAGTACACAATGTCAATACACAGTTCTCAGAAACTTAAACTACAAACATTTAGAAAAAAGATCTCATTAATAATGTCATTCTATCAACAGACATTACCTGAATTGTATTGCCTGATGATGGAGGCACGGGTCCTTCTGGTACACGTGTACGTGATTTGTGGGGTGTGGATGAAGTTTCACCTCTAAATCCCTTTAATGCTTCTGTTGAAAGATTTTTTTTCAATTGCTGTAACACATTTTCAAGATATAGTTGTAATCAGTGAGGCTGATATGTTAATATGATGGAAACTACAGTCTTCTGGGTTGCAATACCACGTAGTTCAAACAGCGTGATGTTTTGGAGAGGTTTATCACCTCCAACTTCATGGTCAAAGAGTAAGTTGAGCATAAAACCAGCAGAAATACATAGCATAACAACCTATGAGACTGTACTCTTCATAGTTATTGTCATGAGAACTTAAAATCCAATTATTTTCCAGAGTTACATAACTCAAAGAAACACTTGTTCAAGAATGAGACACACAACGAAGGACCCAGCAGGAAGAAGCACAAAGCTATAACTACACGTGTGCATCCGAGGGACCTACACATGTAATTGCAGCAACAACAGAAAGTAACACTTTCCCCATTAGATATACAACACCATATTGCTCAAAACATGTTGTGGCTATTAAATTAAAACTTAAACTTTTAAGTTAATAAATAGTTGCACATAAGATTGTAAATAAGATTTATACAAAAAAGTAAATTTGCTTCTTGTAGTTTATTAACAATGCTTCATTCACACCACATAGTGCTGAATACATGAATGATAGTGAATAATGAACTTGAAAGGATGTTGAAGGAACCAGTTGTGAATTATTTTCTTGCATAATCCAGGTATTAGCCCAAAGCAACTGAGGAAAATCACAAAAAAACCTGACAAGCGCTACCTTCTGGGATATGTCATCTGGTCCACTGAAAGCCAACCAGTGTTTTAGAGGAACATGTCACCCCCATCTTCTGTGTTGACAAATAATACTGCCTCACACTGGTTTCTTGGTTGGCTTATTCTTTAGACCTGAAGATGGAGGCAACATGTTCCTCTGAAATGAGAATCAACTTTCAGTTGCATACATGGCATTACATTCGAGAAGACAGAACTTTTCATAACGACCGCCGCTAAGAATCTCAAATCCTACAGAAATAAAACTTGTTATGACAGTTCTTTACCCAACACAGATTGAAACTGGGACCTCCAAAGTACAGGGCAGAAGCATTACCACCTAAGCCAGCTTTCTCAGTTGCAAACATGCAGAACTGCTAAAAAGAAGTATGATCTACCCATTTCATATTGCACCAAACATTGCAGTCAATTGGCTCGCACTCCTGCTTTTGATATGCAAGCTCCCCTCCAATACTCACCCAGTCCCTCCAGGCAAATGCTGGGATATTGCCTAGTCATAGTCCATGACCACTTCCTTCCAGACACTTTCCAATTCATGCTACCCAATCATCCTCCCATTCAACACTTCATAACTAGATGACAACACACAGCTAAATAAATTTAGAAAGAAAGAAAAGCTTCCTGACACTTGAGATTTTCACTGCAGTGAGTTCTGTTTCACATTGACATTGACTGACTGCTAAGATGTAATTTACCTTCGTTTTCATAAACGTATCAAAGAGCGCAAACGCTACATCTCTGTTACTTTTTGTCCAGGCTCCCTTAAGGTCATACACAACAAGCCGATGTGTCGGTGTGTCCTGACTGCTGCCTGCACACTCACTAGTGTTCAGAAGATCTCCACGAGTCGGAAGGAATGTTTCCCGACCATAGGACACTTTGGCGACACTCAAGCAGTAACACTTCTCAACAGGCTGCCTCAGTGACACGTGCTGCAGACACACATATGTGCACTTAGTGACTTCCATAACACAGAGATCAGGACATTAAACACAAGTGTCAAAAGCACTCACTGTCAACACTGTACACTTAAGGTGGTCCCCTGCCTTCAAAGCTTTCCTACAAACATTTTTCTACATGCCTGTGTTTTCTCCCATGTGTACTACATGCTCAGTCCAACTCATTCCCCTTGATTTAATCATTCTAATATTTAGCAAGGAGTATAAATTATGAAGCTCCTTCCTGTGATGTTTTCCCTTGACTCCTACTATTTCTGCCACTTTAGGTCCAAATATTCTCCTGAGCTCCATTCTCAAACACTCTGAATAGAAGAGAAGGACTTATTTAGACGCATTTCTCTTATAACCTCTGAAGCATACAGAAACAACTTCAGTACAGATGGTGAATATTTTTAAAAGCATCATAATGTCATGCAACAATGTATTCCCCCTTGGCATACTACAACTATGTATCATGGCAAAAGTTATCCCCTTTCAGCAATAACATTTAAGACATCATACCCAACAAACATTTTATAACATTTCTTTTACCTATTCCAAATGAAAATTTGTACTCAATTCATAACATCATCTCATCAAAAATTATGCATTGAGACACATGTTTCAAGCATAATTATATGTGTATATTTTATGAATATATCAGCGAATAATTTTTTTCTCACATATCTGCAAAACAGTTTTCTCTTCAATTTACTTGAAACCATACTTAACAACTACAACAATTCTGAAACTTGTCTAACTGCTTAGAAACCATACACGTACAGTGTGTCAATTGTTGACAATTGCAGGACCTATCTGTGATGCAAATGACAAGCTCAGTGTAACTGTTACCTCCTTCCCTGGTTCCTGCTGCAGGGCACTTTTCAGCCAGATCTCAGCATCATTCAGTTCACAGTTCATGTACATGATGGACCACTCAGCTCGTGGTCGATGCTTTAATCCGTCATCCACTGGGACCAGAGCCAAGATGTGCTCTGCAAGCACAAGCACAGCAGCATAGAGGAATACTCAGTCTTGCCAGAACCAAACTTTTCCCAGGTTACATGCATGTGAAGCACAGTAATAATGTATGTAACTTTAATCCAGAAGGTCCCTAGTTTGGATGTAAGGTGCAGCACTAATAGTCCAAAGATTACCATGGTACTTCTTTGTCCTTTTACATAAATTCCAGGACGGCACCTCTGAACTTGGCACAACTGCTTCCTTTCCACCAGATGCACTATTCACAGTCATTCAGACATCTCATTCAACGTTAAGCAACTTCTGCAGATGATTCAGCATTATTTTATGGAACCCTAATGTTCAATGCTGTGTTTACAAAGCCACACTTTTGAAACTTATCCTACACCAGCCCCAGAGTAGGTAAATGTGGCAGGTTATACAGACACAGGCAGAAAGAAAACTCATCACAGAGTAAGGGAATGTGGCAGGTTATATAGACACAGGGGGAAAGGAACAGGTCATAAGAGTATGAGAATGTGACAAGATATACAAGGGGGGAAGGGAAACTGGTCCCAGACTAAGGGAATGTGGCAGATTATATGTGTACATACATAGGAAAAAAGCAAACAGGTTACATGGTATGGGGATGTGGCAGGTTATTCATATACTGGGAGAAAGGAAACAGGTCACAGAGTATGGGAATGTGACAGGTTATACAAACATATAGAAATATAGGGAGAAATGAAACAGACGATAGTAAAAGCATTATTGCAGGTTATACATACACAGGGAGAAAGGAAATGGGTCATAGAGCACAAGCACATGGCAAGATATACAGGTAAAGGGAGATATGAAACTGGTTCCAGAGTAAGGGAGTGTGACAGGGTATATAGACATAGGAATAAAGGTAACGTGTCACAGATTATGGGTATTTCCAATCAAAATCTGGGATGTTTAATGTAGGAAAGGCCCATGGACCTACTGGGAAATGCAACCCGGAAAAATTCACTGTTCTACGATCAGAAAGTTTTCTGGAACAAGAGCATTTTGTTCCTTTTTCTAAAGCAACCACCTTTTTCAGGGCCAATCTACCATACCGTAATGGACTTACTCAAAGCATTTCTAGACAACGGCTTGGTAAACACGTTCCAACTTGTAACAGTGGAAGATGTGTCTCAGTAGACAAATGTTACAGCTCGTTGCTAGGCAACAGTCAGTGCGGCAATGAACTCACCGGCTAGGAATTACCTGACTTGTGTTTCTGTGTTGTCCGTGAGGAGCCTATGTAACAAACACCTGTTGTAGCTTAGATAAGTGAAGAGTGCAGTGCAGTGTAGTGTAGTTAAGTGTAGTTAAGTGTAGTTACAAGAGAAGACTTTATGTGTAATATCTGGAGTGTGTAATTCAGTGAGACTGTTCTAGTTCCTGTATTTCAATTGCATTACCATGAGATGACTGGTTTGTGTGTGTGTAGCAGTGGATTATAAAGTGTAGAAATAGCAATAGTGCTATAATTACATGTAATTACTGGTAGTGTGTATAAGGAGTAAACAAACCTGTTCATCCAATCCACAGCCCATACTATTAGTCACTAATACACATGACATAATGCACTGAAGTGTACTACTTATCCTGTCTGATATTAGATCCTTTTTCAATAAAAAAATTTCATAAATCATCTTCAAAAAAATTCAATCCTAGGGTGATAGCTGTTTTTCCCATTCGTTGAATCTGAAAATCATCAATGTTGATTTCAGATCTTTACTCACAACTCACTGCATCTACTATGCTAAACAAAAACAGATGTCTGAAATTCATCAGTGGACAAAACTGAAATATCAGGGCTCTAATCAAGATTGATTTCCTTCTTAATTTGAGCTTGAAAATTGAAGAATCACATATTCATATATTTATTATCATTTCAACAATTCATGCATTGTTTTGTATAAATGTAAATGTCCTGCTCATAAGGGACAGAAGTCCAAAGCAGGTGCAGTAGTATCACAATTCTCTTACCTGAACAAGAAGAAATGCGTCCTCCAAGAAGTTCAAACCCTCTCTGCATGGCAAATGACATCCAGTAGTAAACCTGAAACTTGTGAAGGCCCAACAGAAGATGCACCTTTCGGTAATGGCGACTTAACTGAATCTTACGTGGTCGCAAGTTTTGGAATACTGCACCACGTCTGGTCGGTCGAGTCACGCCTGACAAAATCAGCTTCAAATTTTCAAACCATCTGTGAAAAGAAAAATCTATTTATTGTTTAAGTACACACAAACGAAAGTGGAACTTCTTGTACAGTCTACTTTTGAATACAGACTTTTAAATTCATTACTTACAACATGAAACAATGTTATCAGCTCAGACTTCAGTCTGACACAAACATCTACCCATTTACTTCATTTTTAGCCTACTTCCTTCCTAAGAAAAGACTGCAACCTTAAGAAGTTTCCTGGGGGTTAGATGTGTTGTATGTTAAAGTGTTATGGGGTACACTGCAGTGGCCTCATATCTAGGACACTGTGGGAGTAGGGGTGTGGCATGTGTGCACATGGTGCTAACCAACAGGATGTGGGATGGTGTATTGTATGATTGATTTGTATGAAATCTGTAAGTAGTTAAGTTTCATAGTATTGCCGGCTCAGGTATGATATCTAAGTTATTTTAATATGTAGTAATTGACTTGTTCTATATTTGGAGGTTGTATCTCCAAATATGGATTCTCGAAACAAATAAACTGACCAGGATCATGTGTGTAGGAAGAAACGTTGAAGGAAAGGAGGTCAAACCTAACTACTGACTTTGTAGACATCCTCATACTTTCAAAGTATTTTGTGTGCCAGTGTAATCCATGGTAAATTTAAACAACTTATGAAGGCTCAAATTGCAACGTGAGATGTTATTTATTTACTTCATGTAAGTGATAACCTAGCATCAAGCTGCCCCTAATGGCATTCTGATGTTAAAACATATCAGTTAATAAATTATGTTAAATGAAGTAAATAAATAACATCTCATGTCATGACAGAAATACAACAGCTTACAATTCCATACTATTGTTTTTTGTCATATTAACCTTATACACACCAATAGAATAAAAATATCACCTCAATCATTCACATCCGTGAAACACTACCATTACATATGACATGAGAACTAATGTTACACCAATGTCCCCTCCAAAAGACAACGCTGGTGTCATCATCATGGGGGGGGGGAGCATCTGAAATGATGGCAAACTGGAAGATGGTCTGCCCATGCCAAGGTGTGAGGCACTGAGGTGGAAATTAGCCAGCACCACTTTACTGAGCCCCGTGACTACCAAGATGCCCCTTTAAGACACTACTCTTCATTCCAAGTGTAGGATTGTTGTAAGCTTGAAAAAGGCAGGGATGCACAATAGATCACTGATGGTCACAGTGCAAGAATCAGTAAAGACCCATTTCTTATCCATTCATTCACATGTCCACATCAGTAACTGATGTTACAACGGAGGTCATGGAATTTTTAAGGGCAGAGAAATTCAGGGAACAAGTCCTCCGGGAGGGACTTTAAGCCGTGGGTCCCATGTCGTAGCTTTACGGCACGTAAAAGAACCTCATATCTCCTAAGGAGGTCACTGAGCAAAATTCAAGGACATTTCCCGCCCAACAGTAGTCTCTAACACCTCTGATAGATGGGGGAGGCATTATAGACACTGCTTAGCCAGTAGAGGCCGAACTCGCTGGCTTGGTCGGGACTGATGGTAAGCACCAGTATCGGTAGGGTATAGAGACTGGTAGAATATCATAGAGGGAAGCACAATGGACCAATACTGGTCTAAGTGCATGGGGAAATCCACCCTCTCCAATAACTAACTAACTAACTGATGTTACAAAGCCATTATAAGCATTGACAACTGCAGTCATTAAGAGATCCTTCAACCATTTTCCTAAGGGTCATTTTAGATTACATGTAGTCAATCATATGTATCTCTATATCAGTTTCCTGAATTTGCAGATATAAGAATTATTTGTTCAAGTTTATGAGCAGCTTGTGCTACCACCCGCAGACTTTTACATACTGGACTACCTACGTCACACTCAATGTTTCTGCCGAAAAGGATCGCTCCCTTTCAACTAATTCATGCCTCTTTCTATCCTAGTTGAATTTAAGCTTTAGTTTAGCCACTGAAGATGACCTAGTAAGTTAAAACATGTTGGGCAACGCATAATGTAACAAAGAATATTTACATTTTTAATGCATTGCATTAGGTGGTTTATATAAATTTGAAGCAAAGACAGAAATAACCAACTTTCCAAATTTCTAAAACCTAATAACAACATACCTCAATGTACTGCCATAGAGAAGAGCTGTAGGGCAATCAAATTCCTCTGGACTTCTGTTTGTCACTGGCTTAGTCTCCAAAGCAATGCTTATATTCAGATTTTGGGACCGGAAAGAACGAAAAGAATCATGTTCCTGGAAAATGATTATTTATCAGTATTACTATAAAGTAACACAACAAGGCAGTGCTTTTCATAACAAATGTTCAAGATTTTTCTCTTCTCCACAGAGTCCAAACAAGCAAATTAACCAGGAGATGAAGCAGACCACTCACCTCCATCTTTTGCCAAAGTTGAGAATGCAGGAGTAAAATAACCACTCCCATAAGTCTTCATGGTGTGGTACTTAAGTACAGTCACACCTACACCTTAAGTTCACCTGTTACCAAATATTTCTAAAGAGATAACTGAAAGGAACACACGTAAAACTGGAGAGAAGCATAGAGCATTTCCCACAGAAAAAGCCAGAGGACACAAGAAGAGAAGACGGGAATGCTATTTCAAATATAGCGGTTATGGAGCACTGAATGAGATGGAAAGATGTCCATGCATGGTAGTTAAATAAGAATCTGGAAGAAGGCAGTTGTGACCTACATCTAGGTTACTGCCTCAGCAGTTACCTTAAGTGACTGAGAAAATCATGAAAAAGTCAATCAAGCCAGCTCAAATGTAATATTCTGGGACTGTATTTGTGCAGGGCTAGGTTTGAATTTCAACTGCAACACTAGGTAACCTCATCAAAGAGAGAGTTTTCCTTACTTCCTTCAAACAAACAGATCCAGGATGATCCATCCCCTAGGTCAATGAATTTGATCACCCTCCAATATCATTCATTGTCAAATAACTTCACTAAACAACATATCATTCATGTATTCATTTTTATTATTTATATTTTATTTAACAACACTGTAACATATATGGCAGGATGAGTGTCAATAATGAATTGGAAAGGATGCGGAAGAAAGCAGTTATGGCCTAATTTGAGGCACTATCCTGGAATTTGCCTGGACGGACTGCAGAAGACCATGAGAAACCTCAGTCAGAATAGCTGATCTGTAGGCTAAGATCTGAACCTATAACTTATACAAAGTCAGGGTGCACCTGGCCTGATTGGGCCATCCAGTCCCACAAACTTGCCACAAGAAACTTAAGTCAGGACAGCCAACAACAAAGCTAAGAAATGAACAGAGTTGGAAACTTAATACTCAGGAGGATGAATTAAATGTTCAGTTCACATTAAGAAAAAATTTGGCAATGTGGCAAAAAGGGGGAGAGGGGGAGAATGAATGAAACAATGTGTGTTACGGCAGTCAGCAAACTGAAGAGTATGCCAGCATTTTTTAAAACAGTCATGTACAAAGCACCAGCCAATTACCACATGCCGACTTCACCTCCATGCTATGCGTTATCAGAAAACAAAAGCACATACCTGATTGCTGGAATATTCTGGCAACTTGTCCAGAGCACAGGGCATTACACTGTGATGATCATTTGGGTCCCCAAGACATATCCAGTTCAGCTTGATTGTAAGCTTTAGATTTGGCAAGTGCAGGAGACGGCAGTCATCATACTTTGATGCTGTTCTCACATATACATTGAGCTCACCTTTGAACACGACCTTTGCTGGAACAGCCAAATTCTATGATACTTCACATGCAGAAATGACAGGACACAGATTCCACTGTGACTGATAATAAATTTCAGTTTTCAAAATATTCTCAACATCATAACACATAATATATTTGAGGTTCTCAAGGCAGTGACTATGACTCCATGATTATACATTTCAAGCACTTTCAGATGAAAAGATGTATGGAGTGGGTATTTTTACAAATTTTTTAGAGTGTTAATGTATTGATCAATGCCTTGCCAATGATGCCCTTGCTCTGATGGAACAGAAATGCTCCCGAAAGCCGGATATCAGTCCTTATCATGAGCCAGCTTAATTAAGTTAACCTACACACTCCATTTCTTTAAGACATCCAGTAAGACCTCACTAATTTGTACCAATTGGGAGCAAACCCTTCTCCAAATTATAAAAGCGCTACTGGAAACATGTTCAGGGAAGTTATAAAATGGACTTCATGTGACTTTTCAGGCAATACAACTTTATTTTGAAACTTATATTGCACATCATAAAATAAATCTACAGGTAATGAAATGTAAAAATGTAAGTTTTGACTTCAGTCTCAAAAATATTTTAAGTAGCCTACATGTATCTACTGTCATCTATGCTAGCATTACACATGGCAGTTTGCAATCACTAATTACAGCAATGTGATCATCAATGTCATAATGCACAAACAAAAAGTTGTCCAAATTATAGTAAATTCCAAATTAGTGAAGTTTCACCGTATTTTAATATTAGCCTCCATGTACATCTACATCTTCCAATTGTCCTGTTCCTCTGAGGTTCTCCAAGAATTTTTTTTACATTAATACTGAATCCAAATTATCTGTATAAACCACGTTTTCTGTTCTGAATCTGTAAGCTGTGGATTTTAATCTCTTTCATACATGAGCATACAAAATATAAAAGAGAATACTCCAGAAAATACCAGAATCAAAATTCTTAGATGCAACCTGGAATCTGGGTTTTGTTGAGCCCCTCATAACATAAATTTATTCTGTTATTTATCTCACTGTGAATTGTGTTGCATAATAAGGGCACACACCATCATCATCACAAATTGGGGAACCCATACAACAGGAGTCAACTGAAATATCTCAATTATGCAACAGCACAGACAAGAATACAAATTGTCTGCTTACCATTGGTCCAGTCCATAGCAAGTTCACTCCATGTGAGTTCCATTTCTTCAGTTGTATTGTAAGGATCAAGGGAAGCATGCAGCAATATCGTCATCTGGCGAATACACATGGTGAGGCGCCCGTGGAAGAGGAGTCTCATTTTGTCCCAGAACGGCAATGGAGGGCTGGGATCTCGTGATGGTGCCAATATCTTCTCAAAACCTAATGCAATGAAAGAAAATGATAAAAAAACATGTGGGCCATCTGTTAGGGATCAGCCACACTGCAAGTGAGATGCCTGGGGAAGTTGGACTGCAGCATAATCTGTAGTATAGTGAGAAGTAGGTATGTCCCCAGCACACCTCAAGGTGGAAGGGGGAGAACAAACCTTTATTGCTGGAAAATAGTTTTGAGATTTCACAATTCTTGCTCTAATTCATGTTCTGTGCATGAATTGAATTAAAACAGATGGTAATTTCAGCCGTTTCACCACGTACGAGTATAACAGATACTGTCACAGGACTGAATGTGACTACAGACAGGGTTTGGATTGGTAATCAGATTTACTGGACGCTTTAAAACACAACTTGTGACTACTCTTTACAAATCAGTGTCACACAAAGACTAGTCTTCTTGACCACCATCTTCACTGTGCTGATTGGTAACATCTTTCAACTGTGAACGTTCATCTGCTACCAAGCTCACGTCCTTGCAGGCTGACAGTCATCTCACACCAACCTCTTACTCTTCTAACTGCTGTCGCAAGATTGTTCTGTGATGGCAGCTGGTCCTCATCTTATAGTCTTGGCATGGACTGCACAGGAAATGTCTCTTCCATTATTGCATGTTCCCTTATCGCCAGGGAAACAACAAATATACAGAGCTGTTGTACTGTTGCTAATTTGCATAGCTGTTACTTGGCAATGGGTCTACATGTCACAATGTGTATGGAAATGCAGTGACAAATTATTTAAGTACATACAGATGTAAACAGCCATGCGTGATGTTCTCTTTGGGAATCTGAATGATAATCTCCTGAAAAAGACGGCAAACTGCTGTAGACCAGTATCTCTTGGAGAAAAATTGCTTATAACTGTGAGACAGGGAAAAATAAAGAACTGGATTTATTTCTGTAAGTTTCAGTTTCAATCCATATAAGCTGAACACGTATTAATTTAATGTGCACTTATTCCATTCACAATAATGCCACACTTCCAGGTGACAATTCATGTTGGACATGATAGCAGAATAAGCTTAAGAAATATCAGAAACTTTTTTATTTGTTTTAATTCCTGAATTCTCAAGCCTTTAAATTTGGAAAATAGAAAAAGAAAAATTTAAAAACTTGATAAACAAAAGCAATAGATGACGGTGATGACACTGTGCATTAACCACCCTTAGATGCATTTCTGGTCTCATGCTTAGACAACACAATATACACCACCAAATTTTTTTAATACTTTGTTCCATGTCTATGTTCATATTTATGCTCCTTTGATAAACCTGACATACTTATTCATATGTCCTATGTGTTACGGATGGACAAAGCAGTTCATGGTGTGGGGAGGTGGAGTTATATCTCCTGCACAGCAGTGAGCAATCTGAACCAGCATGACTGCTGTGGGAGAAGTATGCTGAGTCTCAAGGGATGCTAAGGCCAAAATTGCATTGCCATCACATTTCCAACCTCCAAGCAACACACTTAGAGTGCAGCTGTATCCTCACACTTGTTTCATTTCTCCTGCTAGTGACAACCAATAAACTTACTAAGATTGCACTGGGCTATAACTGGCTCCCAGCATGGACCAAAAGCATAACTGTAGTGTTCCACTTCACAATTGAAATCATGGTAGAACTTTAGTGAGGTCATGCTTCTCTCAACAGTGACATCTCCCCAGGGTTCACCTAACTCAATCACAACACCACGTTTTGCTGGAATCATGAAACAAGGAAAGAAATTATCTTTACTTATAAATTACATAAACAGTCACCACACTATGTAACAAAGTAAGTCAACACATAGTAAATGTAAACATTGGAAGTGACTGAAAAAGAGAAATAGTCTGACAAAAGCACTACAGTCAAAATATGCAGTGAACGGTAAAATATCACACACACAAAAGAACATATATACAGTGACATTACATACAATTCATAAACGAATGAAGGTAAATTACATTACAAACAGAACATGCATAAGATGTGAGGTTCATCCAGATGTGTGACACTGCTGTAGTTTTGTCGATCTTTACTGATGTTTCAGAGGAACATGATACCAGAAAGTGCAGCATCAAATTCTACAAGACAGCTATATAGAAATAGAACAGAAATCAACAAAAAAATTTAACTTTCACTCTCTACAGTAACTATATTATATGAACCAAATTTATTCAGAAACACCAAGAATGACATTTTGTTTTAAACAGCAAACAATGTACAGAAATTACTCAAAAGAGAAATGCATGACCACTGACTATAAGATTTAAAAAACACATCACAGCTATAAAAAGACAACAGAAAAGACTCCAAATACCAGTATGCAATTCACATATTTACACATGCATGTATAATAATGACTTTTTCAGTTCAAGACAAGATTGAGATGAGGATTTGGAAGATTTTCATGAATCAAGGTGAGAACAAGAATTTTTTCTACCAAACCATGCCTTTTACACATGGCTTGCTTGCTGCATAATTCCCATTGGTTAATTGCATGGGTAGCTTGCTCTTTGACTCTGAAGATAGGGGCTGTATTTTCTTCTGAAACATTTAACCAGACTCTATGGTAATAAATCCCAGAAGGAAATAATCTTTTTTTTTTTTTCAAATATTTGTTTGAGGTTTCATCCCTACATTTGGAATCTTAATTTGGTACATACTTCATCAGACTAATTAGTATTTCAATCAAGTTTCAACTCACATGATAAAATATTAAAGTACAGTAAGTAAATTCCTGATTATTCATGTGTGGATTTTCCACACACCTTCTTTTAGGTGCATTTGCAACTTAGTGGGGTGTCCATTCAATTTATTCAGTCCACCTGCCTGTCTGCATCTATAAAACAACTGGAGAACCACTGGAGAGGTTTTCATGAAATCTGATACTGAAGAAAGCTATATAATTGTCATGCCACTTTCATTTTCATTTAGACTACCCAAAACCACTTTACTTCAAGACCTGCATGTTCTTCTGTGATAATCTCAAGTGTAACTAACTAAATACTTACCAGAGTGAGAAATCTTTCAAATAAAAGTGCAGAGAAAATGAAAACCACATTTTATGTCCAATAAATTTTATCATTAAGTGTTATAGTGTCTCTGATAATTAAAAAAAACATTCACTATGCACACACTTCAGAATTTCCATATTGAACAATTATCAGGGCTTTCCAGTGAAACCCAAAGATTACCACTAGATTATCTTTGTTTTCAGACTATTCATAAACCTTCTCCCCTTCAAATATGCAATATGAGAATCAAGGCTGTGAACCTCACTGCGTCATACCTCTCCATGTAGCTTCCTGCTCAGCTCCCACAAGTCTCCCCCAGATGTGTAAATCCTTGATGTCCAGCAGTGGTTGTGGAAAATCCCTCAGTTGAAATTTCCACTCCTTGCAACTTGCACACACCGAGCGACACCAGAGGGTTATGAACTCCAGTCCTTCCTCTGGCCATGGACTACAACAGACACGCAACACACAACCTCGCTTCTCATGTTTGAAATGTCATCCTGTGCAGTTTGAGCATGAAGACTAACAAAGAGATTTCACCTGCTCACAGCAGAGGCTATGAATATTACTGTCTTCCAGGATATGATGCCACATAGTCTGGTACATCTGTAGCTAACTTCCTGGCAGATATTCATATAATATCTCCCAGACTACACAGTGTCTCATACAAGACAGTACATTTCTTTTTAAGATTTCTTTGGAGGACTAATAGATTTGAACACTACATTGAGGATAATTTCAAATGGGAGTTATTTATCACTAAGTTTATTAACTTAGGATCAATAAAACTGGGAGTTAAATGGGGGAAAACATTAAGCTGATGAGCACTAAATGGGAGTTTTGCTGTATATAGGCTGACAGCTATTGTTATAGCAATTGAACATATATTTAATTATACATTTGAAGTAGTTTAATTTTGTTGAATATAGACATTCCAACCTGTCAGGATCAATTTCCGTCATGGTCTTGACTGCATTCTCTGCACCGTGAACAGACGGATCTGCCAATGACAGTATTTCAACATCATTTATGAGCCATGCAAAGAGTCTAGTTCTCGCAGGTGCAGCACGACACATCTGCTTGGACCGCTGCACATAGATTTCAGTGTTGCACTTATTAAGGCTTGCATACAACTCTTCCACCTTGGCTGCTGGCAGCAGAGGATGAGCCTTACGTAGTTCAGCAACCTTCACATCCAGCATTTTTTGTCTCTTCAAACTCTCCATATATTCATCTTCCAGCAACTCATAATTGTCTCGAAGGCGTACCTCAAATGGGTCATCACTCATCTCAAACAGGAACTCCTTAACCTGATGAGATAACAATATATACAGGTCTCCACTGTTCCCTGTACAAGTAAAGAATTCAGCACAACAAGGTAACAGGTAACAGGTAACAGTGTGCATTAACTATGGCAGAATATTTCTTAAAATATTAATACAGTGAAACTTTGATCTTACAACCCAGGGTTTTATGTTTTTCATGAATTTACACACTTTTAGCTTGGCCTAAGCCAAATACCCATAAGAATAATGTTAAACTTTAACGGATTTCATGTTTATGCAATTTTATGTTTTCCCTGAATTTGTACTTAATTTTTTAAGCCCTAGTTATAAAAATGTATCCAATTTTGTTTTGTAATTCAATTCTCTGAATTTCTTATCCCAGGAAATGGCCCAACTTCCTTAATAGCAGTCGCAAATAGTTCAGTTTGCAAATATGTCTTAACGAGTGTACCAAAGAACAGACACTGCAGCACAGTGACCAGTGTACATATATTTGTAAGGGAAACATTTAACAGAAATGCAGCCAGGTTAAATTATTCAATTTTTCCGTGCCCATGTGACTTTATTTCATAAAAAACAGATTTTATTATGGCATAAGAAGAATTTCACAGCAGGAAGATGAAATATGGACAATAAAAAAAACAAACCTACATCAGTCACAATAAGAAATAAAAAAAAATATTTCACCACAGGTTTATGCACATAATAGAACCTATGTTGAACAGGCATCACGGATGAGACTTTCAGTGTCCACAACAAACATTATTATGAAGAGCTCTCCAGTGGGTGGATAGACAGATTTACGAGGAGGCACAACATTGTTTGCAGGACTCAAGTGACTGAGAGCAAGAAAAATTACCAAATACTGCAAAAAATTAAATGTTATTACCTCTGTGCTATATACACACAGAATGATATTGATGAGACAGGTCTATGTTTCAATCTACAGCCTAGCAAAATCTTCACTTTTTGAGGAGATTCTTGCCATGATGGTACAAAATCTAAACAGCGGCTTACTGTGCTCCTTGAATCCAGTGCCAATGGCAGTGATATACTACTATCTCTTGTAAATGGAAAATACAGAAATCCACGTTACTTCAAGAATGACAAGAGACTGCCTGTAAAACATGAAGCCAATACATATCCTTGGACGACCATCAATGTTATATAAAGATCGCCTCACACAACTAGATAGAAAACTTGGTGCCAGAAATTGCAAAATATAGCGTTCATTGATCAGTCTCCTGATCATCTCAAGAACACAACATTTCTCAGAAACATCAAAGTTGTACCTTCCACAGCTCACTGTACCAGCCAGTTACAGCCTTTAAACTTGGGAATCATCCATGCACTCAAATGTCATTAGAGAAAGCAACTGATTTTGAAGACTGCAGATACAACAGATGGCAGACTATTCTAAGATGGTACACATATGAAGCTGGATGGGTTGTCTGCAATGCATTTCACAGCAGAAACTTGAAGGCTGATAACATCTACTACAATCAAGAACTGCTCTGTTAGGTACGGTTTCTCAAATGATCATGTCAGCAGCAATGATGGCAATTCAATGAAGATGAAGAGGATGGCTGGCACAGTTTACAACCTCTTGGAGTGCACTTCAAAGACCACACAATATGTGACAGTACTCTTGAGGACCATGCAACCCAGAGTGCTGACCAGGTGTTAGATTGACATGTGACTAGGCCAGAAGATCAGGAAGTTGCAGATGATAAGCAACATTCTTGGATGCAAAGTAACAAGTGGAAGCAGCCAGCAATTACATGTGTCAATTTGATACCAATACTAATAATATTATTGTAATGTGTAACACAGTTGAAAATGAACTATACAGGCTGAGCTCTCAGGGAGAAAATTAACAAAAGACTAACTTCATAACTAACTTTCATAAACGACACTATGATGGCGAGCAGTGCAATAGTTTCATGTAAATAACACACCTGAGGATGGCACAGTGATGCCGAAACATGTAGTGAAGTGACATGTGAGATTGAGTGCACTAGAAGACGGCCAATACATACATATCATAAAAGACTAACTGGTTGAAGAAATAATGTAACTAGGTATGTATCAAGTTTGTCACTCTCTCTAGGTGGATGCTGCGATAGTGCCTTGAAATAGGCCACGACTGCTTCCTTCAACATCCTTTCCATTCACTGGTTGTAATCATCAACTTATCTTACTGATACTACATAACTATAGCGGTTGTAAAGCACTGTCAACTAAACCAAAAACCATTTTTGCATTTGCATGTATAATCTCAGCATTCAAACCCATGTATTTTAAATTATTTCCAAAGTTATGGTACCTGTACAAAGTAAACCACACTTTTCCTTATGTTATATCATATATTTGCAACAATTTTATATTTGTTTTAGGTGGTTCCTTAAAAAGTGTAAAATTTATGTTTCAGTGTAGCTACTCAGCTGGTCAAGAAACTTTTGCTTCATGGAAACGACATGAATTACAGGGATGACAGAGTTTTCCTTGAAACCTAACTAACCTTGTGCCACAGGGTCTTGAAAACTTGATAGTTAGTCATCTGATCAAGGAACTAGCTGCCTTCATGAAACCTAAAGGTTCATTATCATGTACACAAATATCTGCCATTGTACCTTATCGTTTGTCAGTTTCAAAGAGTCCACAACCTCACATCCTATTCATCTAAGATCAATTTCAATACTATCTTTCCATGTTCCTACAAGTTTTTCTGGCCAAAAGTTTGTATGCTTTTCTCACATTTCTATGTGTGCCATATGTCCTGTCCATCTAATATGCCATGGCTTAGCACCAAGAACACAGAAGTATATTACTGAACCCCATCATAACCATACATCTACAAAATGTTTTCTCTTTAGTCAATTTTAATGCTTTCCTCTAATATATATACTTCTGATTCCTCTGGGTGGCCCTGAAGTATCTTTAAAATTCTGTATTTCTTTATTTTCCAGAGCTCTGACCACTATATGTATTAAAGCGACTAACTACAGACTAGACAATGAACTGGGGCAGACAGCTCATTTTTCCACCATGTCCCAGATCAGCTATGGGGGTCCACCCAGCTTCATAACAAACGAAAGCCAGTAGTGAAGAGGCTGCAGCCAAGGTCCAGCAAGATACACTGCATGATATAGGTTAAAAAATGTACTGCACTCTAAAACCAGTTGAGTTTTGCACAAAGAAATATTGCCCAGTAGGCTAAGCAAAAGTGAAAGTGAATTAATCTACTGTAAGCCAGTTACTAAGAATTTTTTACCTTAATAACTAGATCTGCTGGAAGAGGACTATCTGATGTAAATGGCTGCCTCTGTTTCTTGTGCACTAACTTCAGCCACTTCACAACACTCACAAACTCATTCTGCACAGCCTCGGCAAAATTATGCTCATATGGAAAACAAGCTTTCAGTGAGCTGATTGTTATGTTCCTACAAGAAAAACCATATTCAATGGTGTTGGAAACAGGAATATGCTTATGTGCTTATATTATTGTGGGTCATGTAGCTAAGCTGTGAACAAATTCACATATAAGCTGCCTAATATCTGACCATCTATTGACATTAGCAGGACATTCTGCAAGACCACACAATTCAACATAAACTTTAATACCAGCACAACAACTTTCATTCTATTCCTACTTTCATTCCATTATGAACTATGGATTAATATTTTGGGGGAACTCTTCACATAGTGTAATAATTTTTAAAATACAAAAGAATATAATTAGAATCATTACAGGATGTAGAAGTAGAGATTCATGTAGAGAATTATTTAAGAAATTAAAAATTCTACCTCTTCAATTGCAATACATATTATCGCTTCAAATTCAAATTAAATTCTGATGTCTATAACATGAATACTAGACAAAAATATAACTTCCACCTACCCTCATCAACTTTATCAGTATATCAAAAAGGAGTCTACTTTACTGGCATAAAAGTGTTCAACAATCTGCCACAAAGTATTAAAAACTTGGGCAATGATACTAAAAAGTTTAAATCAGAGTTAAAGAATTATCTACATGCTCATTCCTTCTACTCTTTAGATGAATACTTCAATGTAAATAGAGAATGATGTAAAATTAAGTTATATTAATTTTTAAGCTAAAATTGCCTGTACTTATGTATGTAACGTTTTTGATTTGTTCTGTATCCAAAGGTACTAACCTGCTTAGGATTTATAGAATGTAAATAAATTCAATTCAATTCAATTCTCCCACCAGGACTTTGTTCAAATTTTCAGTGTATATCTCACAAGTCAAACTGTTTCAGTCAGTGACAATTTATTAAAGTTTCTTTGCATAACACCACCAGAACTTCCAGAAAGATTAAACAATTTTTAAATTTCCTGTTCTCTTTAAATTTACTGAAATGACATTTCATGCTTTCCATGATGCCCAATGTGTCACCTGTCTACAAAGCCATGATGACTTTTATGTTGATGTACATGAACTACGTGCTTTCAAACCCAGCTCAACAAAAAACAGGTTTCCTGGGGTATTACTGGCTGATGTGAGAGTGACAGAAGCAGGAAACTGCTTTCACATCATGAATGAACACATGAAATTTCAATTGAATATTTCCTTACATTTCACTGTATATATATACTGGTTATTTTATCAAAAGGGTAAGTTTTACAGAACTCTACAATTACACCTTTCATTCGTCAATAATAATGAACATTTGGGTATCATAAAATTCTGGGAAGTTCTTGAGTAACTGCACAATTTGTGGCTTCTCAAGAAGGGCTCAGCTCCATGAGTGAGGGAGTGATTATTCAATAATGATATCATCATCAACAATATCACCACCACTACCACCACCACCACTTCCAGAATCTGAACCTACCGACATCACTGGTATTATAAAAACAGACTCCTTTCATCATGTCAGAGATATTTCCAAATTTCCTTTTCCAATTTCATGCATTAGCTTATAAATAGAAAGCACAGAAACTTTTTCACTCTTAACACATGTTAGTGAATGTTGCAGCTGAATTGAATTGAATTGAATTTATTTACATTCTATAAATCCTAAGCAGGTTAGTTCCTTTGGATACAGAACAAGTCAAAAGGTTACATACATAAGTACAGGCAATTTTAGCTTAAAAATTAATATAACTTAATTTTACATCATTCTCTATTTACATTGAAGTATTCATCTAAAGAGTAGAAGGAATGAGCATGCAGACAATTCTTTAGCTCTGATTTAAACTTTTTAGTATCACTGCCCAAGTTTTTAATACTTTGTGGCAGATTGTTGAACACTTTTATGCCAGTAAAGTAGACTCCTTTTTGATATACTGATAAAGTTGATGAGGGTAGGTGGAAGTTATATTTTTGTCTAGTATTCACGTTATAGACATCAGAATTTAATTTGAATTTATCTTTGTTTGAATAGTTAACATTCCTGCTTCCTGTTCAAGAGTTCCGAAATTTCAATATGGATACAGGCTATCATAACTGAGGTTTGCATGTTCTTTCTGTCCTTCATTATCAATTCTGGAATAGTACCTTAAACACCAACCACCACCAATGTCCCTCCCATTTGTCCCACAAGCATCCTTCAATCTAACAGCAAAGAACATAAGCAACTTCAAAAGAATCATTAAATAAAACAAGAAACATATTATCTTCTAAGTGTTAAGCACCAAATGCAATACAACTAAATCTTCACAACAGCACCAAAACAGTTAACTAGTGACTGGGATTTTACCTGCATTTTGTAAGCATGGTAACCTTCATAAATTGCTAACACTCTGCACCTGTACTTGGTGAATATTATGTTAAAATCTCAGCTGTTTAACAGTTCTCCAGACTGGAGTGTCATGATTTCCTTAAGCCTCCCCAGGAGAATGCTGGGACAGTACTTTAAACACACAACTACCTCATTGTGCATCTTCCCAGCTCACTCAATTACACATAAACTTATGCAATGCAAAAAGTGGCATTACATATCCCAATAATCAATCACCACCAAGTCAGAAACATTAAGCCAATTAAATCATTTCAGTGTAACAGCACATAAAACTCATTTCTAGAATATATTTTATAATTCCTCTTATCATTATAACTTGGGTGTAATTTATATTTTTTGTGATCAGTGGTGATTATGTAGAGTTTCATTACATTGTCTATAGTTGGAATGTTGTAATGGATATGGATGTATCATGCTATTCAGGATAATTCAATACAAGACTTGGAAGGTATTTCTCAAATCTGAAATTGAATTTATAATGATACAATCCTTAGGATATCCCATAACAGCTTGATATGTGCATCCCATTGTGTACTGACACTATGTGCAACATGTATTTCACAGCAAACTGTTTAAACGAAGCAATACACACAGTATGTTTTACAAGCTATATCAATTTCACACACATCTTACCAAGTCTTGTTCCAGGGTAAAATAAAGTGTTCATTATTCTTCCTTTCAATTCTAACTTCCTCACTGTCTAGAAGGTTTGCTATTCGGAAGCCATTTATTGAAAATATATCTTTATTATCAATGGCTATGTTGACTGACACTGCTTTCATCTCAACATTGTCTCCATTCACTGACCATTTTAGGTCATCTGCAAAGAATACATGCACATATTTCAATTATAATTCAGTGAATCATTGAAATTGGACAGTTTCAATATTTGAGTTCTTTATATATCTAATGATTTATATCATTACTATTTAGAGAAAAATCAAGTACATAAATTAATTGAATCTGGAGAAAATTAAATAATGATACAGCTTACTTCAAAAGTTATAACTTTATTTGTGTGATACCTGCAGAACTATAGAAAAACATACACACATCATATTCAGTCATCCACCTCCACTGTTCATTTCTGACACTACTAAATGGACTTCGTTTAATTTAGTAGAAGTCCAGATCACGTGGCATCACATAAAGAGCTTTCATTCACACTGGTTTAATATGACCCTTACTTTACTTGAAGCCAAACTCAAACTATAAATGTTCTCAAAAAATGTTCTCTCAGTACTAATATCCAATGGTCTTCACCTGAAAGATCTGTATGTACAAAACACTGAAGAGAGCCTAATGTTTTTGCTCAATCTGTCTGACCATGTGCATGAAAAACTCGAAAAACACTAACAGATTTTCATGAAATTTGATACTGGATAATTTTACAAAATACTGGCAAATCATTTGAACTCTCATTTAGATCAGACTAGTTTAACGACCACTTATATGTGTTTCTGTGCATTTCATCATATTTATCGGACAGAAAAATGTTTCAAACAAAAGAAACAGAAAAAATTTAAACATATATTTTAAGTTCAACAAACTTTATCACTAAGTTTCTCACTTTCTGACACAATTAAAAGAACAGGGACATGAGTATATTTCTGAACTCGCATGTTCAACAATTAATCATGTGCCCTGAACAGAATTCTGCCCATCAAAAGTCATCTTGAGCCATTACACTTCTTAAGCGTAACAATTTTAATAGGAGAATATAAAATTATTATATTTTATTTTATATTTCAGCATCCTGTTGCATTGAGTCATTATCCTTATTATTAAAGCATCCGTCAATAATGCAACAATATTTTTTTTTAACACGGGGGAGACAGGAAGTGTGCAGATTGGAAGAGGAGTTCGGCAAGGATGCTGTTTATCACCAATTCTGTTCAACTTGTACAGCGAATGCCTTACCAAGGAAGCTCTGGATGGGCTCGGTGACTTCAAAGTAGGAGGTCAAATTATTCAAACTGTGAAATATGCAGATGACCTTGTGTTAATGGCTAAGGAAGAAACTGTGCTACAGGGCATGATTGATAGACTAATTGAAATTGGAAGGTGCTATGGCATGGAAATGAATGTGGAGAAAACAAAAGTAATGAAAATTTCGAGACAACCAACCCCAGTCACAATAAAGATAGACCAAAAACAAGTGGAGAATGTGAAATGTTTTAAATATTTGGGTAGCTTGTTAACAGATGATGGAAGGTGTACTTGTGAAATTAAATCCAGGATTGCCATGGCAAAAGCTGCATTTAGCAAGAAGAAGAATCTTTTTACCAGCAAATTGGACTTAAATTTGAGGAAGAAACTAGTGAAATGCTACATTTGGAGCATAGCTCTGTATGGGGCTGAAACATGGACACTTAGGGCAGTAGATCAGAAACATCTGGAAAGTTTCGAAATGTGGTGTTGGAGAAGAATGGAGAAGATCAGTTGGACCGATTATGTGAGAAATGAAGAAGTGTTAATTAGAGTCAGTGAGCAGAGGAATATCCTACATGAAATAAGAAAACGGAAGGCTAATTGGATTGGTCATGTTTTACGCAGAAACTGCCTTCTAAAAGAAGCTATCGAAGGAAAGATAGATGGGCGGATAGAAGTGACAAGAAGACGAGGAAGAAGACGTAAGAAGATGCTGGATGACCTTGGGGACAGAAGAGGATACTGTCATTTGAAGGAGAAAGCTCTAGATCGCATTAAGTGGAGGAATTGTTTTGAAAGAGACTGTGGACCTGTCGTCTTGACAGATTACTGATGATGATGATGATAATAGACATCTAAAATATGCTTCTCACTAAAAGTGCAACTTTAATACTTTACGATGTTGTTAAAATCATAAAATGTCATTAAGACACTAAAAGTATAACATACACTAAAAGTGGTCAAATTACTATGGACACACTGGACGTCATGAGGACTGGAAGGAAAATCAAACACTCAAACACACTAGAGGGATATCATATTTAGAAAGTTTACTAGATAGCACTAGATATGCTACCTAGGAAGGATATATAAGCAGAAATAACTACACTACGTTTAGTATACAGGAAGACCATACCAGTAACACATATACAGGAGAAATATGACACACAAAAATGTAAGTACATAGAATTGTAACATTTGATATCTGATGGCAACATGATAAAAATCATGAACATATTTATACTACTCATACTAATACACATTATGCATTGCAGTACGGTGGCTGCAAAAGAGTACAATGACAGCGTTCTAGTCATGAGATAGAAACTAAACAATGACAATAGACAAGTGAACAGTGCAGTGGTCTCCCTGAAAACAAAAGGAAAACTGCCTGATGATGGCGCATGTGCGGCCGTAACATGTTGTACAGTGAGAAGAAACATATGTAAAACTAAAGACATTTTAGTTATTTGATGTTCACTTTTAGTGCCTCTGCTTATCACCTACTTTCACACTGAAGTTGGAGGTGATATGTTCCTCTGAAATATCACTGACTTTCAGAGGACTACACAGCATTATATCTCAGAAGGTAGTATTCTTCATCTCCAGAAATTTTGTGTTATGGACGATGTAATTAAGTAATTGCTAAATACACACACGTGAAATTTAAAAAAAACTATTTCCTCAAAGTTGGCCACATTTGAGTGGAACCATTAGTAGTCAACATACACATATTCCATTGTTAAAGGAAATACTTTACATGTATACACAGACCTGAAGTCACGTCCATATGATGTCTGGATGAAATTGTGATCCCAAAACTGACTTGGCCCTTCACTTCTAAATTCAAGTTCCTATGCTTTGCACTGCGATTCCTTGGTCTGATTTTATTGAACTCCTCAGATGAAGTTGCAAATGCTGCAGATTAAACACAGTTTATTGAATGCCTTCCAACAGCCTGCTCCTGAACTGAAAGATGAGTCCTAGTCACTGATTAAAGCTACACAGAAAGCCAGCTGGTGTTATTAATGATTCTGTATCATGTTGTGCAACAGAGAAACTGAGGGATTCAAAGATAAGAAGACTGGCAGAACCACATCTTTCTTTTGTAAAATATGGTATCAAATTCAAATACCTACTTGAAATACATATTTGTTAGAATATATTGGATAGGATAAGACAGAACAGAATTTACTATTGAGTTTATTTTCATAGTTGTGTGAGAGTGCGCACAGCCCAAGAATTTGCTGGAACACATACACAACAAACTTCTCTTTTCAATCCCGTAATCTGTGATAGCAGATTGTGGGATAGAAGTTCCCAACTTTGTCTGTCCTCTCACAATTTCAAAATTGATATCCAAATTTGTTAACATACCTTTAATACTGGACACAAATTCGCCAACTTCCTGAATGAGTGTGAGCAACTTCAGGTGCAAGTTGGCACTCCACTGAGCCTGTACCTCATTCAGCAGCTGAACACTGAGAGCATGGTCCTTCCGCTTATAGTTCAGCCGTGCCAGCTTTATGTGACCAACAACTGACTGCAACAACCAACAAGAAATGCAGTGCACCACAATTACTGTACGCAATGCCTCAAAGTGTGAAAATGTCCAACTCAGACACGTTTTGCCATATACTCAAAATGGTTCCTCAGGGGGAAACTTTTGAACGTTCAACTTAGCGACTGTGATTCCTTCTGGTTATTTAAAGGTTAAATAACAATGACAAACCAAGAAGATGTTTATATATTGCGACATGATGTCTGAAATCCAGAACAGTTCACTGCTAGGCAACAGCTCAGTAAAAATGTTCCTCCAAAAATGAACACCCAAACAACAATAGAAGAACTTGTTTCTAAGCAACAGGTCAGCAAACATACAACTGGGGTATTGTTGGAAACAGTATTTTATACTTAATCTGTGCAAAATGATTATAAAGAAGAGTTCAGTTGAGAATAGTCAGTCGAGATATGGAGTTCCAAGTGAGCAGTTAGTCGAGAGCTGGGTTCGACAAGGAGATGGCAGTAGATGATGAGAAGACACCAAATACATAAAAGACAAACTGACTTCAGTTCAGTTAGTGAGTGCAGTGAAGCAAGTTGGTTGGTCAGCAATCAGTTAGAGGATTGCTGCAGCTCAGCTGTTGTAAGCTGTTGCTGTTAGAAGCTGGTAGCTCAAGCATGGAGATAGTTCAGAAGCCCAGAGAAAGGGGAAGGTCCTCCATTGAAAGCCATTATCAGACAATGGCTGGTGAAAACACAGCAGCCTAAGATTTAGTCCAAGTTGCAGTGAATTGAAAAGTGTGTGAATTAGCAACAGTGCTATAGTTACTTGTAGTTACACTCAGTCAGTGGTCAATAAATCCAATTACCAATCCAAGCTCTGTCTATCAATCATACACATGACAATACAATGGACTTCATAGAGGGGTTCTGTTTGCATAACAGTCCCATGCCCCAAAAAGGCTAAATAATGAAATGAACAACCAAAAACCTAATAATTTCAAAGAATGTTTGTGAGCTGGCCTTCTAACTAAAGGATGTATAGGATGGCTTCACCAAAGAAGCGTAAAACCACAAAATTAAAATATGGAAGATATGGATAAAAATCAAGAGGAAACTGGAACTAAAATTCACATAGGAAAAGACCGCAAAAATTTGCTGAACAACAAGTAAAATGCAGCTAATGATAATTTATGAAAGACCAGAAAATACCATAGAAAATATTAAAAAAAAAATATGAACAAATCAAACAACGTTTTAAGATACGAGGTGGTATCAGAAAGTTCCCAAACTGTTACTGTTGTAACTGCCTCGGTAAAAGAAGATGAGAGGGGAGGCCAAGGTCACACTTCTGAAAGCCTAGTGTATCAGTCTGCCACATGACACCATTCTGTGAACACGCACTGTTTCTACATGAGTACTTTTTCAATTTCGTGTTTCATTCTGCCTGTGATGGATGGCAAAATTGAGCAACGTCTCTACATCAAGTTTTGCATGAAGCTCAGTAAATCCAATACCAAAACCCTTGAAATGCTTCACGAGGATTTCGGAGAACATTCTTTAGGCTGGACAGCGGTTTTTGAATGGCAGTCACGTTTCAAGGCGGGTCAAGTGTCAGTTGAAGATGACAAAAGTTCAGGGCGACCAGGCACACGAAAAACGACAGAAAATATTGAAAAAAATTTGAGAACTCATCCATGAAGACCATCACCGAACAATCCATGAGCTCACAGACACTGCCGGGATCAGTTATGGAATTTTCCAGGAGATCTTAATGGAAATTTTAACATGTGCCACATGTCCACGAAGTTTGTTCCCCGACTCTTGACAAATGATTAAAAGCAGCAGCACATAAATGTGTGTCTTGAGCTACAAGAGAAGGCTAATAAGGACCCTACTTTTATCTCTAGGATCATAATGGGTGACAAAAGATGGATTTACAGTTATGATCCACAAACAAGGCAACAGTCGTTGCAGTGGAAGAGCTCACCATCACCAAGAGCAAAAATGGCTTGGCAGGTCTGAGTTCAACAAGGAGCATGGTCATTGTTTTTTCAATGTGAAGGGCATCGTTCACCATGAATTTGTTCCTTCTAACACCATGGTCAAGTCTGACTTTTTCTGTAACACTTTGAGACAGTTGAGAGAAAATGCGGGATGAAGAGGACCAAACTTTGGTGCAACCACAACTGGCTCCTTCATCATGACAAGCCCACCCACATGTCCCCAAAAACCACAGTCTGTGACTAACAACAACATGGTCATCATTCCCCATCCTCTGTACTCGCCAGACTTAGCCCCCTGTGATTTTGCTTTGTCTCCCAAATTGAAAAGGAACCTGAAGGGATGATGTTTTGAAATAGTGTCCGGCATTCAAAGGGAATCGCAAGCGGTACTCAACGGCATTAAGGAAACGACTTCCACGGTACTTTTGAAGCATGGAAAAATTATGGGATCATTGTATACGTTTGTAAGGAGACTATTTTGAAGGAGATGACAGCCAAAATTGAGTATGTTAAACCAGAATTTCTTTTTTGACTTAGTCCAGGAACTTTCCAACAGCACCTCATACATACTCCCTGTCAGTTATAAAGCTACAAAGGAAACACCCTGTATATTCACCAGAAACATCTGTACCTACCTCTGAGACTACACAGTGTCATAAGGCAGAACAGCACAATAACAATCTTCAATGCTGGGAAAACTTCAATTCACATATGGCCTATCTACTGTATATGCAATTCAGGACAAAGATGTTACTGAGAGAAAAAAGAGTCCTAACCGACTTACCTTAAGTTCTTCGGCCCTCAGACATGTGTAATGGCTTTTAGTTGGACATACCGATGTTAGTTTTGCTCCTTCAAGGGCCATAGTTAATTTTAATGCTTCACTCTCAATAGATGTAGAGTCAACTCTTGCCATGATACAAACTGAGGGTGAAAAAAAAAGTTCATACATATACTAAAGGGGCATTATGTTACTCCATGGTACAACAAAGATTTCTTAATTTAGTTCTGCCTTCCTCTGTGATAACCTTATGACACCAATTAAAATAACAGCACTTCAAACAAATGCCATTGCAGCAGCCAAATATTTATACACAGCAGCTGCCATGAAAATTGACTTTAGTCAGCATCAAGAAATAATTATTTCCTTTCACTGTATCATTAAACTTCATTCACTCACAACAAAATATGTCTGTTACACTTTTTCATATTTTTACCTTAAATTTACATTAACTTTAGAAAATGTTGAGAAAACAATATACAGCAAAGGAGCTAACACTTTCAGATTTACCATCTCCTAACACAAGTTAAAAATAAATAAAAACAAAATAATACTGGACACACAAATATAAAGCTCCATCTCAGTGATGGCACTGCATCATGAAACTTTAATCACCATTCACTGCTGTGAAAACTTCAAATCTTACATATTCAGAAAGGCTGAATTTACTAATACAGTACATTTTTGGTTCACTACTTAGCATGCGCATGTGCTGTTCATATCTGCATCATGCACCATAAAAAGAATTCTGAGTGGTTCATGAACACAATATGGTAAAGTAAAGTAAAGTAAAGAAAAGCCATCCCTGTAACAGGCCGTGAAGGCCCATAGGGTTGTGAGACGTCGAGGCTCCCATATTACATCAGCTCAAAAATGGGGGTAAGGTTGTCAGCCTTACACGCCGGCCATGCTTTACTCCCCAGGAAAATTATTTAATTAATTCCTGGTACTCATTTCTGTTAGAGGCTGAGTTGACCCCAGGGCCACAGTGTGGCTGGAAGGATTAGGTCAACTGAAAAAATCCAATGACCTCATCAGGACTTTAACCCACGACCTTCTGGCTTATAGCATAGTGCCTCAACCAACTACGCTACCGCGTTCCCCCTGAACACAATATGGTATGGGCTGTATCTTCATATTGGGGAAACATTAGCATAGCAAACAGAAATGACACATGTTTTGGGATGAACTATTATTATTTTCATTAGACTGCTGCAGAAGGAACAAATGGGCTCAATGTACTTCAGATCATTTAAAAGAGTTTCTGTAACTGGTGAATGAATGCATGTAAGGATGGCATTTCCACCAGTGTCAGGCCCTGAAGAACACAGTAATGAACTTCTGGGTTCCAGAAAATACTGGAAATTTCCTGAATGGAGTTAATGATGACTTTCCTAGGATGGAATTAGGAAATGAAATATCTGGAGTTGTTAACAAATGACAGAACATCCATTGTATATACTTCATCAGGAAAAAGAATGTGATGGCAGAAGTTATAGGCTTGCAGAAATTGGTGTACCTTTAGAGAGCAAAATTTTTAGAAGAAACAAAAATGGATCAGTACTGCAAAGCAGAGTTTAACATATTAGGAAAATATTACTTCTGAACCAAAGCAACAAGGTAATTTCAAATAAAAGTATGTTAATACAGTGAACACTCAATATAATACCAGTTTCAGTAGCCATGTTATATGTGAAATTTACATACACAGTATGTAGTTGTGTTGGGAGACATGATCATAGGCACAGTATATCCGAATCCATGATATTAGGATGCACAGGATATCAAGGTTCCACTGTATTTCATAATACTGTACACATATACATCATTCTGACATACCCACCCTCATGCAGCAAGAAAAGTATTAACAAAATATGTCTGAACTTCCCATCAGCATATGAATCCTGGAAGAACTTTGAAAACTGAACATAGTAACCTCTTAATTATGATGTAAATTTATGTCATTAACTGACAATACATGCTGGTTTGGAGTGGTTCAAGAATACTTATCATGACAGCATGAGATTCAAATTATTTATGTTACCTCATGACCTCTGTTCCTTTATCTCAGTACTTACAGTTGGTGTACATGACTATTGCAGGCCCTTATAAGCAAATAATCATGTCATCTTTTTTAATTTAATATGACATCCATATCTTTCTGAAGATGATGATACAATGAAAATCATGCAATATTTGTTAGATATCTTCCCATAAAACAATGGAATACTATGTACAGTCATTACAGCTGCTGTTGCAAAGCAAGAAGTTATGTTACATTAGTAATTATGTACAGATCTTAGGCTATGAGTTAAACTTCACATTGATAGTAACGAATAGAGTGCAGGAGATGTACAGCTGTATACATTCAGTTCTTTCACATGTGCCCAGTAACAATACATGCACTACATGTAACATTCCAGTGAAAATGTTCCACCCTCAGTGTTTGCAGTTGGCATCTGCCATTCTTGTCCTTGTATTATCTCTCCCACTGAGCATGACTACGTGACAGAAAGGTGCTCTGCAAGGTTGCATAAGTTCCTAACAACCGACATATATTAGGATCCGAGGTTCTCACAGCAGTGGTTATAGAGAGTCAGGTCTGCTAGGATATGATATCAAGTACTCCACTGAAAGTCAACCAATGTTTGAGAGGAACATGTCGCATTAATCTTCACGGTTCAAGGGTAAGCCATGCAAGAAATCAGCATAAAGCAGCTCTTCCTCATGCCTACTTCATACAGGCTTGCCAATGCTTGGCTTACTCTCCAACCATGAAGATGGAGGCAATATGTTCCTCCAAATTATTGGCTGACCTCTAATGGACTACACAGCATTACATCCCAGAAGACAAAACTCATGAATCAACACGCATTACTTACGTATACATACTTGCCTCTTTTGTCAGCAATAAAAAAAACATTAACATTTGTTAATTTTATATTAAGGATGCAGGACTCAAAACATTTCACAACATCCACTTTATCAGCAGCCTCTGCCCCCATGACTGCTACAACACTCTCTTGAGAGGACATCCGACTCCTCTGCACTGCATCTCTGTATTCAGATATACACCTGCAAACAGCAAAATATCACCACCACACATTACAGGAAATATGACTACAGATTTTACTAACACTTTCACACAAGCAAGACTCTCTTCTGGCAGCCCACCACAGCACAGGGTACTGAGAGCTTCTTTTCATAAAAATAACAAGAGTAATTAAAAATGAGACACTAATACAAGTGGATCTATACATCCACTCTCCCATACACCTTCATGCCAAAGTACTTAGGTAGTTAAGCACTGGAACAACTTTGCCGTTTTTTACACTAATACAAGTTAAAATAAGGATAAACTTTCCATTTTGACTTTAATGGTTTATGTTTAGTCAAAAAACTTACGAGGTATCATAACTCCTTTCACACTCTGAAGCTTTCATATTAACAATTACACGGGCTGTGCCTGTGCCCATATTTCATGATCTGATTAAGCACTGTGAATTACTGTGGAAGCCTCAACAGGTGTATGTTCGAATGTATAGACAAACAGGAGACTAGCACTATGTGAAGTTGCAAATTATACTGTTGTGTTGACTGAGTGCAGGGGGGGAGGGAAGGCTAATCACATTCTCATGTGTGCGCATACATTGCCATCAAATGTTCCACAGTCCTCCTCTTCTCACAACTTCCAGAAACTCAGTATGCCTCACTTCTCACAGGCATATTCAAGAAATACATGCATGTCTAACTTGTATAAAGCCAAAGTTGCAAGGCAAGGAAAGAAAGCACAGTTGTGTCTGTGCTTAAGAGCAGCATGCAGCATTTGTGTGTATGGTGAAACAGTACATGCTATGAAAAGCAAGCAGCGTAAGCTAGTGAATGTAAGTACAGAATACTTCAGTATTGTACAAATGTAATAGCAGTAAACTACAACAAACTGATGTCAAGATTGTAACGAACTGCAAATCAGTTCTCCACACCAACATAAGCATTACAATATGATTAATTCTTTATATTCACAATTATTAAACAAAACTTTGTGGCCAAAGACAGGAGGTAAAATCAGAGCATTTAATTTTTTCCAAATTTTCTTGTACAAAAGTTGAGATGCATAAACTATGTAGAGGCATTAATTTTGCAAGTAAACACAGCAGTTCATTTCCAAAAGTCATGAGTATTCCAGAATACATTATATAAAATGTAGAGGGTAGTTACTGTCCCAAAGCATCCTCTGTCCATTTATATAAGCATACAAAATATAAGAACATCTTTCAAATAGTCATTCTCATACAAATACATTACCTAAAACCTTGAGTGATGAACTGACCAAACGGTGGACTCCATTCAAAACGAACAGTGTCCATCATAGCATTGAACTTAGATTGACTGGACCCTTGATTACGCAGCTTAACCAGAAACACCCCAAAAAACAACGGAGTGCTCCAAGTGTGGTACTTCTTCAACAGAGGAGCATCAGATAAAAGAGATGAGTTTCCAAGGTGGCACCAAAGCGATTCAACTAGTAACTCTGCACTCCACTGACAGCCTTCAATCAGCAGCCTCAGAAAATGCCAATTAGCTCCATATTCTGCATATACATAGAACATTGTTAAATAATGGCAAGGACATATTTGTCTCACAACTGCCATACTAGAATGAAACATCCACATTTCAAATTTCTCTACAATAAGAGACAATGCAATGCAATTAGACAGGGTTATTCAAAATGTCATATAACATTTGAAACATTTGTTGAGAGAAAAATGTGATAGAACCATGAAACAGGGAACACTTCATAGCTCCAGTTGCAACACTGTCCAGCAAAGGTAAATACGCAGCATTTGTTGAAAATCACTAAGCAAGGTGCATACAGCGGTTCGTTCAGAATGAATCAATTATTACAATAGTTCTTGAAATCAATTTTGCATGAATGCATCAACAAAGAAGAGAATTTAAAAGTGACACAAACAGTTCTTGGAGACTAGATATTTCTGGAAAGGTAAAAATACTGGTTGACAAAAAGAGGCTGATGTAACTGACAAATTAGTAACAGCTGTATATTTGTACATTCTCAAGTTAACAGCACATGCTAATCATGAACTGCACATCCCACAGATACTATGCGGAGGTCTTGGAGATGATGGCATGCAGATGAGGGAACACATAAACTAGGGTGAAGTGATTTTTGTTAGTTGTGACCAACAGGAGTGAATATATTCGATTTAAGGGTGAGAAACTCTGATAGAATTAGTTAACACTGAGGGATTTGTATTAGCATTAGAAGCACCACTGGGAAGACCAAGGCATAGGTGGGTGGACAATATTAAAATGGATCTTAGAGATATAGGATGGGATGGTATGGATTAGACTGATCTGGCTCAGTGCTCCCCCATGGCCACAGACTGCAACCACTGCATTAGGACACCATTATCCTAAAATAGCTGTTACTTCCTTGCCTTACTTCATTAACAACATGTGAATGACTACACCTTCCTCCTCATTTACAACAAACTAGGATTACAGCTTTGTTTTATTTTGTCGCCACAATAGGAATATGGACACACTACAAATTCATCAATTCTTATAACATGTCTCAGCTCATTCAGCCAGCATCGGGTGTTTACATTCACTTGTATTCATTTGGTAGTATTCCTATATTCACAACCACCATATACATAACAGGTAGTATTCCTATATTCACAACCACCATATACATAACAGAACACTTCTCCGACATAAATGAAAAAAAAAAGGAGAAAACATAATCACATATCCACAAAACACATACTGCATCAATGCAAGGCAAGGAAGAATCCCAAAGAAATAAATCAGCAGAAGAGAGACATCTACACACAGCTACTACACTCAGACAAAATATAAAAAATAAAATTTTATATATGTTTAATTTCAATTTTAATGGTTTAACGTTTTAACAATTAACATTTAATCTCAGAGGTGAACACACCTTTATAATAATATTATATTATAATATTACTAAAATACCAGTATTCCCATATGTAAACATCAGCCAATGTACGAGGGTTGGAACTTTAATAGTGGCAACTATTTATTTACAACTGATACAAAACAGATGCATGTTTCGAAATTTTTCTGTCCTTCAACATAGTCACCAGCATTGTGTACAACCCACTGCCAGCGATGTGGAAGTCATAGGATACCTTTAGCAGCGCCTGTTGTGTTGACAGTTCAAATGGAGCGGTCTACTCCCTGAAGAATCTCTGGAACAGTTCTGAAGTGAATGCCATGAAGGAGTTCCTTCATCTTAGTAATCAAGTCGAAGTCACAGGGGCTTCAGTCCAGGGAGTATGGTGGATGGTACAGCACTTCCCAGCCCCATCAATCAAACAAATCAGCCACAGCTTGCGCTGCATGCGGCCAAACACTGTCCTGCAAAATGATGGGTGGGTTCTGCAGAAAGTGTCCCTGTTTCTTTCTCAAAGCTGGTCGCAGGTTGTGTTCCAAAAATGAACAGTAATACTGCGCATTGAGGGTCTGCTGTCAGGGAACGGTACGCGTTAGGATAACACCATCACAGACGTACACGAGAATCACCATAACTTTCACAATGCTGGGGTTCTGACGAACTTTTGATTTTCGTGGTGACCCATAATGACGTCATTCGTTTAATTTTCCTTTCATTTGTGGCTCATACAATTTGGCCCATGTCTCATCCAGCGTAATGATACGGTGTAAGAAAGCCTTTCCTTTGCGCTCATATCACTCCAAGTTGTTATGAGCAGCATCGTATAGTAGCTATTTCTGCATTTCCATCAAATCATGCGGAACCCATTGTGATGAAGTTTTTCTCATGCCCAGGTGTTCCTTCAGAATGTGAAGCACAGTCGTATGTGCTAATCCTGTCTCTTGGGCCAGCTCACGACTCGTATGGCGTCGATCACTCCCCAGTAATGTGGAGAGAGCATACACTTCTTCTTCACAGACACTAGGACGACCTGGCCGACGCATGTATGCCACATTTTGGCGTCACTCGTTGAAGGCTTTTACCCACCTTGCCACTGTTCTGTAAGGCAATGCAGATTCTCCACAAGCCTCTTGAAGACCTTGATGACACTGTCGTGCTGTACGACCTCTGGCACACTCAATCTTTATCCAACTCCATTGTTCCTGTTTCAAAAACATCGTGACAACACTACATTAGACCGCCAGCTAACACAAGGCTCTGTTCTTCTTGTCACTGCGCATGTGCATGATGTGGGAAGGGAGAGTCAATTTGCTCTGAAGTAAGGTAGGTATGTAACTGATGTGTGGTATAAGCGACATTATTTGGTTCTGTTGCATGGTGTCTCTACAGCAGTGTTGCCACTTTTAAAGTTCCAACCCTCGTACGAACACCAGCAGACTACAGGTGAATGTAAACCCATCACGTTCCTGATGATGGCTTAATGTGCCGAAACATGTTGTAAGACATGAAGAATATATGGTGTGTCCATTTCCTATTGTGGTGATGAACTAAAATAAAGAACTTTGACACATATAACATGACACTAAAGTATACTACTTCTGGGATTACAACATAATACATTAAAGTAAGAGAAATTATGTCCTTATGCCATCTATCAAAATACATCATGACCAAGGCTGATTACTGCTGACCCTAGTGGCAGTTACTAGAATTACAGGATAACTGAACTGCAAAATATTAAGTATATGCAGAAATAAAAGAATTTCCATCTGAAGAGGCACATTACCTTGTACATCAGGATGCTGCTTAAGAAGAAACTTTGCATTTGTGTGACTAAAGCCCATAGAGGCACAGTGTGCATCACCTGAGAGTCGCATCAAAGCAGACACACTCCACAATTCTGCAATGCCTTTTATTTGGCATTGACTTGCCAGAGTTTCAAACCAAGTGCTTGCAGAGCTCACAGTGTCTTGTTTTACTGGCACTGTCTCCTCTGGTAACTTGTCCATTCCCTGTAAATGGTGGAAAAACTTCAGAAATTAACACAACTAATGTAACTTAAAATTCTCTGTTACATAACTAAGTAGTAATATTATATAAGTGACAAAAATGTACTATAACATTGTTGTACTGCAGCATCCTCCTGTACATCACTTATCAATTCTTATTCACTGTCTCACATACGAACTTTTGTCTTTTGAATTTTAAATTATTTTTCACATCACTGGTACACTACAGGTTTCAACCAATATGGTCACCATTGGATGCTCTGAATATATCTGCTGAGGACTGCTGCACTTCTGTCATTGAATACAGTTCTGAAGTATACCCTCAGTACCCCTGTTAACAGCAGCAAACAACATGTAAGTGGAATTACCCAGCACTACATATCCACAACACATTCGCACATAAACAAGGATATACTTTGGAATTGTATTCAATGACAGAAGTGTAGCAATTTTCAACAGCAATTTTTTAAGCACCTTCTAATGACAATATCAGTTGAAACATGTGATATGAAAATAATTTAAAATAAAAAAAAGCATGAACTGTAAGATTTTAACATAAGTTTGCATATGAGATGGTCAGTAAGAAGTGATATTAATAACAAAATAATTTAGTAACCTATTTTAGCACTAACATGCACTCTTGAATACCAGTACTAGAAAAGCAGTGCCTGTTTACAGATATGCATAAACATACATAATGTTCACAACTTGAAAATCCTAGCACAGACCAACATCACTAGACCTTGCACGCAGGCCTCAACATACCTGGGATGAAAAGGCCTGTTTCAATTTACAGAACGTGTGGCAGGCAGCATGCAACATGCAGTCTTTCCTGCTTCCTAAGAAAAATTTCTTCCCATATTTTAGTCTTCTGTAAATCATATTGTCATCTGTTTCAATTCCATTCAAGTAAGTGTCACAGTCAATAATCATATTAGGCACAATCTGTTCCTTGTTACTGTGGCAACTCCTTTTTGTTTTGAATGGCTTTTTCCTTAATTTGTAAGAAGATCTACATGGTAATGTAGCAGAGTGGATTAGATTTTGGGTAGTACTGCTACCTGTGTATTGTAACTGTTGAGGAAACTTGTAACAGTCCATGAATAAATATCCTTGTGGTTATAGGTAACATCAAGTGTGTTGAGAAGGATGTAGATGCTGAGAATGCTGTCCTCCAGCTGCAACAGAAAACAATATTCTTTTCATTATATAAGGGACAGTCAAATGAAAACGGGTCACCACGCATAACTCACATGGCGCGCAAGTTGATAACACTGGAATTTGCTTATAGTACGAACATCTAGCGGAGACTCAGGAAAGCACAGTGACAACGTGCCCTTGCACACTAGTCGTTTGTTTATTGTGCTGGAAGTAAGGTTAGCACTATGTGTGTGGTAGTCCAACATCAGTTATTGAGACGGGTAAAGAAGAACAGTGAAGGGTAGTGCACTTTTTGAATGCTGAAGGAGTAGGAGGATGAGAAATTCATTGCCACATGACTGTTGTTTATGGCAAACACAGCATGTCATGTTCGCATGTGCTGGCATGGCATAAGAGATTCCAAGAGGGACATGCGTTACTGCAAGATGATGCTCGCCCAGTACGGGCTCATCGTGTCATCACTCCTGATGTTATTGCTGTGTTGGATGGTCATATCTGGGAAAACCAAGGGATCACTGTGGAAGAAATTAGTCTTTTGATGGGAATAAGTCACGGTTCATTGTGACAAAACACATGCTGTACCACAAAATCTGTGTGCAGTGGGTTCCACATCAACTCATGGAGGAACAGAAGACTCAGAGAATGGCTGCATCATTGGGTCACTTGCAACATTACCATGATGAAGAGAATGCTTTTCTGTCCCGTATTGCCACTAGGGACGAAACTTGGTGCCACCATTTTGAACCTGAGAGCAAACGGCAGAGCCAACAGTGGAAACACGTGAATTATCCCCCACCGTAGAAATCCAAAGCCATACACACAAGTTCCACTAAAGTGACGATGTTCTTCTTCAACTGCAAGGGCCCTCTGCTTGTTGAATTTCTTGAGCATGGGGCAACAATCAGTGCACAGCGCTATGAAGACACTTTGCAGAAACTGAGACATGCCATAAAGTCAAAACGCCCTGGAATGCTATTGAACGGCATTATTCTTCTTCACGGTAATGCGCGCCCCCACACTGCCAACTCTGTGAGAAATATGCTACAGAGATTTGGTTGGGAAGTGGTTCAACATCCCCCCTACAGCCCACATCTCTCCCCATGTGATTTTCACATTTTTGGAGACCTGTAGAGACATTCGTGGACATCAGTTTGCATCGGATGAAGACATGTGTGGCTGGGTAAAGATGTGGTTCCGTAGACAGCCCATAAGCTTTTTCAAGGATGGGATTGACCGTCTTATCTCCCAGCAGGATAAATGTACATATTAACAGTTTTGGAGATTACTTTTGAGGTAAGAAATGTTCTTTAATATGTTTTGCATTCTGACCCATTTTCATTTGACTGCCCCTCATATTTACAAGGGGGTGTCGAAAAGTAATTCCTCTGTTCTTTTTCTAAGAAAGAAATCCACAAAGTGTGAATTAAACTGAACTAATTCAGTCAGACCATGCCATCAAATGTAAGTTTACACAAACTAGCACAGGAGAGAAAAGCATATGTTACAACAAAAATTATGAAAAAATATTCCCTTTAAAACTAAAGAACTGTTCTATGCTTAACAGGAGTAAATTGACAGTATATATGGGCTCACTCATTACATGATTCTACTGTAATTACATTTCCTGTGCCATTCAACAGGTTCACCATGTCTGATAATTTTTACTTTAACAGGTTCTTTGCCTTTAAAGGCAAGGGTCTTAGTTTTATCAGTATAATGACTTCCACTTGCCCAACTATCAGAGTGAAACCAACTCTTGTATCTCGTGCACATTACTACACCCACGACAATGGACAACTTCCAGCACCATATCCATACAGTGAAGCAACCACTGCCACAAACCTTTACACAATCATTACGTACATACCTTACTATCAACTGCAAGCTTTCTGAGCAGTAACACTGTTTCCCTGTTGCACTTCACATTCAGTTCATCGACTTGAACAGCTACAATTATCTGCGGCAACATGTCATCCACTACAAAATCAAGAGACATTCAAAGATACTGACAGAACTGTGAAATGTTTTGGGTTTTCAATGGGTGCTGGAAGAAATTAGTTACTTTTAATATTCGGTTTTGGAAGAAATAAAATATCAGGTCTGAAAAAATGTCATACAATTGTGCATTTTCTGGAAAAGTATCCTGTGCGTAACTTTGGGCATTACTGGTTGCAGTTGAACTCCTTATTTACACATCTTTAGGACTGATGAAAAATGGTGTAAACTGCAAAAAAATGCAAAATCTTTAGCTAATCTTTAATTCTTAACTGCAATGCTCAGCAAATAATATGGGTAAAGTAATAGCAGCGTACAGACACTTTTAAAACATACTGTTCCCAAAAACTAAAATATGCAGAATCATGATGCAAGAAAGACTGGTCAAAGAGTATGGAAGTCTTTGCACAGACTCTCTTATAGCTCTTCAAGGTTGAATTTCTTAATACACATACACACACATACAGGTAGGTCTCAATTAATGTGGATATATGTGGTCTGACAATAAAGTTCACAAACTCATTGAGGTAGAAGTGCTACATACCTCATTGCTGAATATCACTGTGGTCACCTTCAAAGTACTCACCTTGGGAAGCTATGCACCAATACCAGCATCTAGTCCACCCTTCAAAACAATTTTGGAACTGGTTTTGTGGAATGGCCTCAGAGCTGCTGTCGTATTACTCCTGATGTCATCAAAATGCCTTCCTTTCAATAGTCCCTTTAGGGGCCGTGCCATAGTTCAAGCGGTTAGTCGCTGGCTTCCCACCGCGGCAGCCCATGTTCAAACCCAGGTCTGATCAAGTGAGATTTGTGGTGGACAAAGTGGCACTGGGGCAGGTTTGCTCCAAATACTTCAGTTTCCCTTGCCAATCTTCATTCCACCAAATTCTCCATCATCATAATCTCCCAGGGCAGGCTACAATAGCCCAACCAGTGGCCGCTGTGCCGAGTGGACCCAACTGGACTCCACCCCCCACTATGCGAATTAAAAAAATAGTCCCTTTACCTCCAGGAACAGACAAAAGTCACTGGGGGCTAGATCCGGTGAATAGGGAGTGTGTTCCTGCACAGTTATTTGTTCACTAGCTAAAAACTCCCTCACAGTGCCCTGTGAGCAGGTCCTTTTGGACCATTTCTGCACACACCTTCCTCATGTCAAGATCTTCAGTTAAGATTTTTCTGTTTCCTTGTCAAAGTTCACTTGATCTGCTATGTTCCTGACAGTCAGCCGACAATTTTCACACACAATTTGACGAACTTTTCCAAATATTTTCTTCACTTCTGTTTGTTGCTGGCCATCCTGATCTCTCTTTGTCACTGACACTTTCTCTTCCCTCAGGAAAACGTGTCATCCATGTGTAAACTGCTATTTCCGTCACAGCATTATCCCCATAGACTTGCCATAACATCTCTCTGATTTTGCTTCCACTTTTGCCAAGTTTAACAAGAAATTTAATGTTCATTTGTTGCTCTAATTCAAGGTCCAACATTCTCACAACTGCACATCAAAACACACTCTTACAATAATAGATATATAACTCAGAAAGAGACTGCCACAAATCAGCAACACAGCTGTAAAACACTGATATGTCAACATCATCAAACCATAATGAGGTTTCCGTCCATTGTTGCCATGGCAAGCACATGGTGGCGAGTTCATGAACTGTAGTGTCAGACCTCATAATTTACATAAAATATGGTAATTGGTTCCAGCTCAATGGAAATGGGCAGTGAGAAATTCTAAAAATAATTTTTTATGTTTGTTAACGAAAAGTTACAGTAGAGGAGGCATCTGTCCACATACATTTGCATTTATTTTAATCACATGAAAGTTTGTTAAAATAGTGTTCACAGTTGACACCAACTGTTTCACCAAGGAAATACAATTCCCCTCATGTCTGTCAACAGCCTATAACATGCTTTATTCCAACCGTCTTACAGTGCATACAGTGCGTGTGAGTATAACACACGCAGTCACAGGAGCAAGAAACAACACAAAGCACAATACACACACGAAAGTAGGAAGAGTACTCCAATAGAAGAAGATAGGTGTGACTCGCGTATTGAGATATGACATAAGGATCACAAATGCGAACAGTTTTAATATTTTTAATATTTAATACTTATCAATATATATGACGAATATATATTTTAGTTATTTTAGTATGAAGACAGCAGGGCATGCAATGAAGTAGTTTGACGTACATCGAAAAGCACCTGAAGATGGCACTTTTGTGCTGCAACAAGTAGTGCAAGAGAGAAGAGTAAGGTGAATAAATGTATGCACTGTAAGACGGTTGGAATAAAGCATGGACATAAATCAGTGCAACAGGACGCTAAAATATAACATTATCCTATAACATGTTGAGTTTTCCTCCTAAGGAAATGAATTTGCTTACCTTTTGTGTTGCCAGTATGTCTTACTAAACGGACAGCTTTGAATAAAACAACTGCAGTGCACAAAGCAGCTCAGCTAATAGATTACTGATGGCTGATGACTTATAACTATAATGTCAATGATGACAACAACTAGCTTCAAAACAATCAAATATCAAAAGCTAAGATGCTGCTTCCAAGATGACAAAAAGAAAAACTGATCAGTCACAATAAAAATGGCAACAAAACCCAGCAAATTAACTGAAATGACATGTACTTGAGGAAACTAAAACCACTGAAATGGCAAGAAAATTAATGGGGTAGAAGGAAGAAGTGACAAATTACAGGAAAACATACATTGCACAGATATAAATATAGTTTTTACTTTGTATTTCCCTATTTCTGTGACAGTTAAAAAAGAATCTTTCAAAGTTGCACAGAAACTTTGTTTTACCTTCTGTTTCTACTGAACCAACAATTGGTGGGTAGAACCTAGTCTCAACTTGAAAACATTGGAGTGTGGCACTGAAGTCTGCATGGTTATCCCTCATTCCTGTTAAGACTGAGTCTTCAATACTCAAGTTGAAATTCTGCAGGAAAAAAAAAAAAAAGGAAGAAAGAAAGAAAGAAGAAAAGAAAGCTTGGTTCCAAAGGCTAACTTCAGATGAATGACATGCCATATATATCATCAAAGTATAGATATTGCACATTATCAAACCTTTGGAATGACTGGAGACAGCCTTTGAAAAATATCAGTTTCAGCTGAATGTAAAGATGATTTCACTGGACTTTTGACAGCCTCTTTCATTTTCCTGCGCTCCTGGGCAAAATTATAGAAACCTTCGTTGATAACAGCTTTTGTATGATCCATTCCGACATTAAGTTTCTGAAAATGTGCAAGAACAATGACTTCATCCGTTGTATTCCAGCTTTCTATTTGATGATAACCAATAATGACCATGTCAACACATTTTTATCAGTACTTGATTGCGACTGTTACTGCTATTGCTGGAGCTACTGCTACTGCTACTGCTACTTCTACTGCTACTGCTAGCTCCTACCACTATTATCACTCTCTGCTAGTCCTGTTACCTCTACAACTCCTTGCACAGTTACAGATCAGAATTACCATATCCCCCTAATAACATGGAACCTTACAGTCCACCACAAAAGAGACCATCATGGATTCTGTTTCCTGAAATCCATTTAACATTGTTCTCCCATTTATGTCATGGTCTACCAAGTGTCCTACTGATATTTTGAACATAATCTTTACCGCCAAGTGGGGCTTCTATTTCATCACCATTACAGCATTTGATAAAAAAATGTTGATAGAGAAACCTGCTGCAAAGTGACTCCCTACGGAAATCGAAGGATACAGTGAAGATACATCTTAAACAGGATATGACAATAGAAGGTGGATGGAAGTGAGTTAGGATTGTATCCAGTGGCATTATTCCTGGTGCTGAAACTTCCACGTTCTAATACAGGGATAGTTGGTTAGTGGATGGAAGTGATCATGGTGTATTTTAAGGTACTGTTACATGTACACCCATTGCTAGGCAACATGTTGGTAAACAAGTACCCACAAAGAGTGATTCCTGGTAAACTGTCCACTGTTAGGTTACATAACAATAGATAAGGCTCTCTTTCCTATGTTATTTGTGCCAGGCAATAGTAGGAACTGGATTCTCTGTGACATTTGCTAGGCTTCGCAACAGTTCTTACAACAGAACTGTGTTTTCTGTGTGGTCTGTGCCTTGGCTATAAAACAAGATTCCCAGAATAAACGGTCCGTGTGGAGGCGGGTTCGAATACCTCCACCGTGACCCTGTGAGCTGTAGGAGGTGATGAAAAGGGAAGTCTCAAATTTGAGACAGTAATATATGGTCTCGAGTACCAAGGGACTTGGACCCGAGAAAGGCTGCACTGGCAAGGACCAGCAGCATATACAAAAGACAGACCAGTCCTCTTGTCAGAGAGGGCACCCCACAAAAACAAGACCATAACTGTCAAACACTAATGAATATCTGGTCATGAGCCCCAGACAAGATTCAACAAAAAGACTTACTGACTGACTGACCGTCAGTTGCAATGTGACTTTGACTTTGATTTGATTGAACTGAGGGAGTGCCCATCCTCTCGTCAGAGAGGGCGCCCCACAAAAACAAAACCGAAACTGTCAAACAATAATAAATATCTGGTCATAAGCCCCAGATTGTGCTCGATACCCTGACTGACTGACTGACTGACTGACTGACTGACTGACTGACCATCAGTCGCAATGTGACTTTGACTTTGGTTTAACCGAGGGAGTGACAGAATTCGTTCAAGGGCAGTTACGAGTCAGTCGTAAGCTGGAGGAGTGAGTCCACAAGAATTTTTAGTTCCAACGTTCCAGAGTGATTGAAGACGAAATAGCAAGACTTCATAGTGATTTGAAGTGCTAGTTTCTGTGTTGAGATCCATTGCTAGGAGACAATTAGTGGAAACAGAATCCTAGTGCAAGCACAACGGTGAACTGGAAAGTGAATAAATCAGGGATGGCACTGTATTAATTGTAATTAAGAGAACTTGTAACTGATATGCTAATAAATCCAATCATCCAATCTAGAACCCGTTATTTTTGTCACACACATCCCCCATACAAGTGGGAGTACTATCTACCTGGACAGACTGAGGAAGATGATGCAAAACCTTGATCACAATAGCCAGTCATCAGGAGATTTGAATCCATGACCTCCTGACAACCGAGCAGGAAAGCCAACTACTCAACTGAAATGTACAGCCTATCTGTAATATCTGGGAACTAAAGACATACCTCTACAGATAATGGTCCCTGTGCAATAAGTACTGCTTCCATTGAGATCCCAAATGACAGTTCTCCAAGACAGGTCTGAACACTGTCATCTCTCTTCTCTGCATGTCTCAGCATTTTTGCTGTAGCAGCTGCTATCGTCACGTTTACCAGCAACGAGCGAGCATTATGAACAATGCTACCATCAAGATGGACCTCTCCAGCTGTTGCATGGACCAACCATTCTGGTGACTCAGCGCGGAGGAACATGGTGTTCACATTATAAATGTGAATAGCCATGAACTGTGCAAATGTGATTATCATTGGAGGAACCTTCTTGTTGTGGAAGTTAACTGGTCTGCCACCTTCCAAACCAGAAAAGTGTTCCTGATATTCTGCTTTATCAGTTTTCTGGTCCTTCTTACCACCAGCTCCTCCCACATCTTTGTTGATTCGTACATCTCTCACTACAACTGCTAAAAGCTTTGTGACTTCACTGCTGAAGAAGCTGCTTCGAAAACCAATCTCATCAATGTGCTGTAATCAAAAAGGTACTTCATTCAATATTGCTGAATTGAGTAATGTTAAAATGTGATTTGGATTAAATGGAAACCTGACTTTTCAGAGAGATCCCCTGCTCCCATGAATACTGAGCAAACACTAATGTAAAAATTTGTCATAGTTCTAGTCCTAGTCCTCATCCTCCTTCTCATTGGCATCCTTGTTGTCATTGGCAAATCAGCCCTTTTTGAGCCACAGCCTTCCTTAGAAGATTCTGCTAGATATGTCTATTAAATTTTTCATATCTTTGGATTTCACAACTGTAATTTTTTTACAGAGCACGGTCATCAGCCTTGCATCCAACCCCCAACCTGGAACACTGGGCACCAGTATTCATGTATCCCAGTGACAAGGTGGCCCAGTTATACTCACAGGTACAAGGCTCCCTTCTAGTCCCCTTCTATGACTCGCAGGGATCCAGTGAAGGTGTTCTAACCCACATCCACAAGGGGCATAACGTAAAATTATCTCTAAAAAATCGGGACTGTTTAATGAGAAAACCGAAATTTAAAACAAGACAGTAAGAGAAAACTGTCTGCTTGATTAAGTATTGTCCTTCTAACATAATTTTGTTCTATACTATGCTGCCTGGGAGCAGTCCTGTCAGAAATGGGAAAGAGTGCTCCACCACTGACAAAATGTATGCAGAATTCTGTAGGGGACTATGAAAAAACATTTAAAAAAATGAAAATGTGTGCTACTGAAGGGAAAAACAGCATACATGTAGCATGAATTTCTGGTTTACAATATGGATTATTATTTATGTTTCTCTGGGGCATGTGGTAGCATAGTTGGTTGAAGCACTATGCTACAAGCCGGAAGGTCGCAGGTTCAGTTCCTGATGAACTCATTTGATTTTTCAACTGACCTGATCCTTAAAGCTGCACTATGGCCCTAATGTTCACTCAGCCTCTAACAGAAATAAGTACAAGGAATCTTCCTGGGAATAAAACAAATAAATGGATGGATGGACAGACAGATGAATGAATGTTTATCAAACAGGTTCTGTATTCAAAGTGGATTATAGATGCTTATTTGGTAATAGAAATAATCTCATGATTTTACTTTGTTCCTCCATCTTTATTTTCAGTACATGCTAGGAAGAGGACCAGAAATCTAGCTTGGTGCAGGTCCCAAGCTTCCTAGATAAGATATTTGGTTATATTTTTTATTATTTCCACTATGCACATAAATATGAATTTAATGAAATGAAAAAAAAAATGGTCTTGCGATGGACTAGTATTCAAAGGGGTAAAAGGAACCATGATATGGGTACATGTCTTACCACAGAAAACCCATTCTTTGAAATATGTACATCTCTCAAAGTCAGGTATGGAATTGTAATCCTTCCTATCTGCACTTCAATCAAGAACTTTCGTTTCAGAAGCCAAGCTAGAACTTTCGGCAACAACCTAAACAAAAGACATGCAAATTTACTAGTGCAAAGCATTTTGAATGCTATCATTTAAAGTAGCCTAACACATATAAACACAGACAAAGTATTTGTGCATCTCCTATGAAAGAAAAAAAATTAAAATGTTCATTATCAGAACTGCCAGTCAGCATGTGTACCCTTCTTACAGTGTATGTCCCCTAACACGACATTTTTACTGTTACTTAAATGCTATCTGGCTGCAGAGTACCCTATATTAAACCAAGTGAGCACATTTTGATATCCCTGTAACATTTTACCAAAGCACATACAGCTATAAAAATTTCTAATACTGAAATTCAAATTTCTTCAACACGCTCATTTCTTTACTTTATTACTTAATGTGGGTGGATGGTGGAGGATAGAAAAAATTTGTGAAATTTCTAAAAGAAACTTATCAGATTTATATGTATCTTTATATATCTATTTTCAAAGGGACCATTTCCACATCCTAAGTTTGTTACCTGTATGAATATATGGAAAATAAAGGAAATGAATGAATGTATGGTGGTCTGTACCCTCTGAAGAACAGTTCTGTGTGCAAAATACTGCATACATATGAGCAGCTGTTGCACACGGTAACATACTTGGTTGAGGCACTATGTTACAAGCAGGAAGGTCGCGGGTTCAAATCCCGATGAGGTCATTGGATTTTTTTCAGTTGACCTGATCCTTTCAGCCCCACTATGGCCTGGGGTCGACTCAGCCTCTAACAGAAATGAGTAACTGGAATATTTTTGGAATGTTCTTGAGGGTAAAGGGCTGCTGGCACGTAGGGCTGACAACCTTACCGCCATCTATGAGCCGATTGTTTAGAAAATGTTGGAACCTCAACATCTCACAACCCTATCGACCTCCACGGCCTGTTACAGGAATACCTTTACTTTTTTTAACATCAACCACAACGTCAAAGTTGACAGAAATAAAAAATTGCACTTACCACGAAACACTCCATAACAAAAAAACACAAAGTAAACAAAATGTCGCAAACCCATTCATAGTTTTTAATAATTACGCTGTACCGCACAATAAATTACAATTATAATTAAAACTTATCATTAATTAATTACACTTGTCAGCATGACATTTCTATCAGCTGATCTTCAAACCCTATTCCAACGATTCCAACGTCCACATCCATTTTTACCATTGTAAACCTGTGGCAACCAAAATCCCCGTGATGAATTTTAAGCGCGATATTACATGGATAGAATTTGGCAGACCTACATACAACCATATTCCCTGAGCATTTGCGTAGCATGAGTTTCGTCAATGCCACCGTAGAGAACTCAAGCTGTGGACCAATGCCACAAACAAATTAAGAACACAAGAATGGAACGAGGAGAAAGAGATATGGTTCTATTCCACGGAAGCTATCATGCATCGGGACGATCCGAATATCCGAATGAATGCTCTGAACGATTGGGAACGATTGGGAAGAAAGGAGGTAGAATGGCATTAACTGGAAAGGAAAAGAAAGAGGACAAAACTGATACAGAAAAACCCGTCATTGCAAGAACGGCATATGACTTGCAGAGACTGAAATTAGAGAAATTAATGAAGAATGTGGTGTGTAATTTAAATTTATTTAGTGATGTATATTATAACCTCAATGTAATTCATGTCTGGAAGGTCAGTGTCTAAAGTATGTGTAACTTCAATATGAATACATCATGCTATAACTTGAAATAAGCTTCTGTTAATTATGTAATTGTTCGCCACGATATTAAGCGTGGTAGATAATGCTGGCCCAATATGTGTTGTCTTAAACGTTGTAGTTTCACATCGGGCTCTGGAAGGGGGAATTTATTTTGTCGTTATACTGACAAATTTCGACGTTATATTACCACAGCAGGACATTTATTTTCAGTTATTCCGAATTACATTGGAGGTTAAGGTTAAGCTTAAATGTTTCAAGTTATGGTTGAAGGGTGTTTTAGTAAACTAACTGAATAAAGAAGGGTTCTGCTTGAGAAGCTAAGACTAATAGTTTCTTACATACTGTATACATTCCCTGCCTGCAATGGAATCCCATTTTCATAGGAGCCTATCAGTGATATCCGAATTTAAGACAGATGAACTTAGTATATCCTTCCACAACCTATCATTAAGGGACATTTTAATTTTATTGTGCCATTTATGTTGAGGTTTTTGAAGAAGTCTTTGTCCTTCATGTTTCTGGCAAACTGTTGTATGTATTTCATCTCTCCTATGTGTGCCACGTGCCCCCACCATCCCTTCACGGCCTCTGTATTTATGGTTCATTTTAATTCTGTCCAGCTATTTATGTCAAGGTTATTCCAAGAGGTGTTTTTCCTTCATGTTTTTGGCAAGAATATCATATGCATTTTTGATCTGTCCCAAGTGTGCCACATGTCCCCAATATCCACATCCTGCTTGATTTAATTACCGTAATAATGCTCGTCAAAGTGTGAAAATTATAAACCTTCTCATTTTACAGTTTTATCCAACCTTGTGTCTCTTTCTTCCTTTTATGGCCAAATTTTGTCAGCACCCAGTTCTCAAGCCCACAATATATATATATATATATATTCCTTAATGCGAGAGACTGAGTTTCACACCTACACAAAACTACAGGTATAGTTATAGTTTGTGTTGGTGTGTGTGTGTGTGTATATATACAATATATATTTGTGTTTGTAGATGAAAGGACAAAAAGGATTGTGAACTGAATAGTTTGAATGAAACCTCTGAAATGTATCTGCCCCTGATGTCTTCATAGATATTTTACTCTCTTTATTAGAGTACTGAGCGGCCATTTATCTCATTGCATTTCTCTCACCACCTCCAACAGCATTCCAATTCAGTAAAAACTTTTCATATGCATTCTTTTACAGGAAAAGCCTGCACCAATTCCTGAGGGACCAAAGGAAAAGAATATGCCCCATGTGCCTGATTTTGTGCGAAATGTAATGGGTTCAAGTGCTGGTGCAGGTAGTGGTGAGTTTCATGTTTACCGACACTTGCGAAGAAAAGAATATGCTCGACAGAAATTTATCCAAGAGAAGGGAGAAAAGGTGTGTAATAAGTAATCCTGTAAGCTGTATGTGAGGAAATCTTCTTATCTTCTGACTGTCTTTTAATAATTTAAGCTACTTGAATTCCTGATCCTGCATGGCCATGCCATGTGTGTGAATATGTATAGAGGAATTATTACCTTGAAATATTAACTCGAAGGTTTTTTGGGGGATGAAATTACTCCATGGATTCTTAAACTGTTCCTGTAACACTAATTTGCTAAGCATGCTCTTTAGAGCACTGCTTACAAATCTTATTACTCTTTCCTGCCATCTTAAAGTTTGACGAAAGCAGTCTTATGGGATGTGGCACTGTGTAAATGTGGTGTTAACTGATGTTTCGGAGGAACGTATTGCCTCCATCTTAAAGTTTGTTCGTGCAGATCTCTTGTGTTTCTTTGTACCTTTTAACTACTTAGTGCAAGAATCTTGGAACCAACTTCACACAATCTCGAAGGGTTGGTGATAGTAATTGAATCATCATACAGTGTCTTTCTTGAATGGACGAATCTGGCTACCCCAGCCATCTGAGAAATGAGTAAGAGGGAGGGTGAATGATAAATGGATGGACATGATCCTGTCTGCTTCATTGCTACGCAATTATAGTTTATCATTCATGGCTCCACCAGAAAATTTTTCATTTTAAAATGTGTCAGTTTTCCTAATTCTTCTGTTCATGCAAGACATTCAGATATCTGTTTTGCTGTAAATATTGTTTGAATATATGGTTTGAATCCCAATCTCATCAGTGATTTCCAAATTGGTGAAGAAAGCATATTCGACTGGATCTTTCTTAGACATGAAAAACACTAGACAGAATTCTGTACCAACTAAGGAATTAATCCTTAATAAACCTCTATGAGCTTGTCAGTCATGTACAGATATGTATAAGATTATATTTTGTCCACATTGTAAACATTTCTTTTTCTGCATCTTAATTTTTCCTTTGCTATAGGAACTCTTGGAAGAAGCTTACCACCTGAAGATAGAAGAAAACCGCAAAGCTGCAGAAGAAAGGACAGCAAAGAAAAGGGCAAAGCGACTCAAGAAAAAAGGAAATAAGGGGAAGAAGCAAAAGAAAGACAGTACCATAAGTGACACTATAGATGAACCTCCTAGTGACAGTGAATCGGAAGCTGATGACAATGGTGCTGAAAATTGAACAGATAAAACAGTATTTATTTTTGTAATGAAAATCATTACATCCATTAATGTCATCACAAATATAATATTTCAAGGACTGGTGGTATTTTCTGTAACATAATATTACCTTACAATTTCATTCATTGTAAATAATCATTATATATTGAAGCTGTGTATATAAATAAAATAATATAAATAAACAGAATCTTTTGTATTGTTAATACAATATGACATAAGAGATTCTAGCTTCCTAATATTACAGTGATTTTAAGTAATATTCACAAAGATAAACTGAAATAATCAGGTCTAAAAATATATTCTGAAATCATATATTTTACTACATATAAAGTTAACAATGTGAAGTTTTATTTATATATATATAAGTATGGAGGTAAGGCTAGCTCTCATCCTCAGCATTAGGTTAAGGCAAGAGGCTTGCTTCATAAGCACATTCTGAATCAGAAGGTATACACTGTGTTGTGGTGATGTAGTAGCATTTGCACACAATCCAGCAGGATGAATGCTGCATTTCTTCAGTGCCAAGACTGTCATCTCTGAGTTGAAGTTTGGCTACCAGCACTGTAATACCAAGGGATTTAAAATCCTATAATCACCCAATAAAGGTTGAATGTGGGTCTTGTAGGGTAAAATGTTAGGATGACTGTGAATGATGAATTTGAAGCAATGCAGAATGAAGTGGATGTAACCTCTTTATGAGCCCAGCATTTGTGTGGAGAAGGAATATTATATAGTAAACCTCAAATATGTCATCTCTGGGCTGAGATTCATAACTCCATAATATGAAGTAAAAATGCTGACAACACAACATTTTGTGTGGAAGATTAGAATAATCCCATCAGGCCATGGTTACACTGTTTACTGCTCATGTTGCCCTCAAATGGTGAAATGAAAAAATAACATGTCAAAATGACAGGCTCTTTAAAATGTCTTTTACCATTTAAAATTCCGAAAATAGTTGCTCATGCAGGATCATAAGATAAATGTAACAGGATGAATTTAGTGTGTATTTCAGCCTTTCACCTAACTCAGCGAGTATGAATTATCATCTTTTCTGGCACACTTGCAACAAGAGGTTACATAAACATGCCTTTCTGCTTTGCCACATCAATCTGATCATCTACCCACACTTAGAAACTTGAGAACTACCGAATGGACTCGATAAATTTGATATTTGGGAGTTCTACTAAAATTTGTCAACACATTCAAATATTTGGTTATAATCAGAGAATAACAATACTTTAGATGAAGACCTACACGCATTTCTGCACAAAATGTCAAATGTAACTTGCTAAGATTTTTAAGGAATGAATCCTGTTGTGTTTTCTATAAAACTTCATTTTGTTTCCATCTCAACACAACAACTATCAGAATCTCATTCACATTTAATGTGTATAATGAGTTTACTGGTCTTTATAGTATGACCATGTGCTACATGTTTTGACTTGTCCCATGTCATGTATAATGATCCATGGATGTGAAGTGAATAAATAAATAAATAAATAAATAAAAAATAAACACATGTTTTGGCCTATAAAGCCACTATCAGGCAATACAAATTAACAAACATTTTCAAACTACTGAATTGTGCTTTATATGAATTCATATGTTACAATATAGTAACTGTTACTAATGTACCTGACTTTCCACTCTGTTAGTACATTCAACTTTCCTCTGAATTAGTCTAAATACAAATGGATGCCTAGATATGTACATAAATGCAGAACTTTCATTCCAGTTTTAATGCATTTATAAAGCTTGTACGCTATGCAAATGCAAAAAAATGTCAGATACCTAATTCCTATATCCACTAACAGATGGAAATGAATGAAGGCCTCTGAATGTGAAAATAAAGTAAAAACAAGTCAGTTCTGATAATAAAATATATTTATTTCACATACTTTAAATGAAGATTCAGAATAAACACGTATAGATGATAATATAACACCATTCCATAAAGTTCCTGAAGGAAAACATATCTATCTTTTATAAAATTACCATCGGCCATTGTAAATGACACTTTGTATGTATGATACTGATCCAAAATTATAATTTTCTGACTAGACAACTTTCATAAATAAACCAAAATAATATTGGCACCACTTTCTCCATACAAACTAAAAACTGTTGACAGCAAATGATACAAAAATTACATACAAGTTCACCTCATTGGGAGACTGCTGTCTTCTGGGATGACACCATGTAGAGTGGTAAAAAGGTATCAACATTTGGAGGAACCTACATGCCAAACTACTCTGTCATATCCCAGAACAGTAATCTTCACAGTCAGTGCCCTAAAACCTCAAACTGTATACCCCATGCAACAAGTGATGGTGTATGGTCATGCACCAAAGGAGAAGGTGAAGGGAAGCAGTAATGTGGTAGGGGTACTTCTTAATGCGAAAGCAGTAGAAATTTGTCTACTGTACAACTGTTACCAGACAATTTGCTCTGCACAGAGTCGGGCACCAGATAAAGGTAAAGGTATCCCTGTGACAAGCTGTGGTGGCTCATAGGGTTGTGAGATGTTAGGCTCTCACATTTTCTAAACAATCGGCTCACAGATGGTGGTGAGGTTATAAGCCTTACATGCTAGCTGCACTTTACTCCCCAGAAAGATTCCTGGTACTCATTTCTGTTAGAGGCTGAGGTGACCCCAGGGCCATAGTGCAGCTGGAAGAGTTAGGTCAATTGGAAAATCCATTGAGATCGGAATCGAACCTGCAACCTTCCAGCTTGTAGCACAGTGCCTCAACTATGCTACCATGTGCCCCCATTTCATCCCTGAACAATTAAAAATAATGAATAGCAGCATGTGTGTAGGAGCTGGGCATGAATAATAGTTTTGGTGGAGGAAGTCACAGTTGACCTAAAAATGAAATGCCCTATTTATAATACAAGGATATTGAAATAATTATGAAAATACTGGGCAATTTGAAAGCATTATTTAAAAATAGGGTTAAAGGCTGGTAAATGGCTCTGGTGGGGCGCATTGATGCCAGTAGATGCACACCATTAAGTACCAAAATGCCACCTGTTAAGTAGGGCTCTGCCAGCAAATCCTAGCTCCCCCACTTCATGGTGACCCCTGGCCAACATATTCCAGGATGAGAGCGAGTGGCAGACAGAGTGGGGTGAAAGACGAGTGTCCGCTGCCTTCAAATTGGACTCTGAATAAGGGAAAGAAAACCCCTATAGGAAAACTGAGGGTGGGGGGGGCTCTTTAGGTGGGGTGGTGCCAACTCCCCTAAAGGGGTACACCCTGACAGAAAAACACTGGTCCTCCTAAGTTAAGGGGATTGGGTAAAGGCTAACAACCTCTCCCCAGAAAACATTACTTGTTCAAAAACCCAACAAATCCTGCCGGGCTGTTTTAAGATGATCCTGCGAGAAAAGGAAATGTGATTGGATTATGGCTTCCTGGAATGTGAGAATTTTAAACCAAACTGAAGCAATGAGGAATTTGATTGGTAAGCCAAAGAAGTATGGTATTATAACTGCTGCCATACAAATGATAGAATGGAGAGGTAATAACGTGTTTTATAGTGAAGATTACACAATCTGTTATAGTGGAGTTCTGGAGCAGGGAACATTTTTATGCTGGATTCTTTGTACATAAGAAGCTGAAACAACATGTAATGAAGTTTGAACCACAAGTGTTTATGCCATCTCCATATGAAGGGAAGACTCTTTAACAGTGTAATATGTGCACATGTGCCCACAGAGGATAAAGAAGAAGAAATTCAAAGTGTATTCTATGATGAGCTAGACCAGTTATACTTGCGAGTCCCAAAACATGACATCAAATTTATTATGGGGGATATGAATGCGAAGGTAGGTAAAGAACCTAGAGTACCATATGTAGGATGAATTTAATAACAAAGGAATAATAATGACCAATTTTGCAGTCACCAGGAATTCAGTTATAAATAGTATGATGCTTCCACATAAAAGTGTCCATAAGGAAATGTGGATATCTCCCGATGGTTGAACAAGAAATCAAATCGACCATGTTATGATAGATGCACGACATGCAAGCATCATAACTGATGTACGATCCTACAGAGCCACTGTTTGTAACTCATCACTTTATAGTAAAACTAAAATACAGATCTCGATTATCAGTAGTTAACAAAACCACTGGACAGAGGAAACTTTAAGTTCAACGCTGACAAACTCCAGAAGACTACAACTTCCTGGGAATATAAGGTAATAGTAAATGAGAAACTGGATGAAGTATAGAGATATTAGGTTTTCGGACTTTATCCACTGTCCTGGTTTTAAGATAACTAAGAAAAACACAACGTTTCGGAAACTGGATCTGTTTCCGAAACGTCGTGTTTTTCTTAGTTATCTTAAAACCAGGACAATGGATAAAGTCTGAAAACCCACTATCTCTGTGTGTTATAAACCATCGTCAGAATCCTATAGTAACTATTCGGATGAAGTATGTATGGATGGGAACAGAAATGTTAACTCATGGTGAAAAAAAAAATTAAGGAAAATATAAAACATCAGCTGAAAAAATCTAGGTTTTGAAGAACAAAAGAAACAACTGTCATGGTTTGATGATGAATGGGAAGAAAAGATCACTATTGGGCAAGAAGCTAGAAATGTTCGAGAGAACAGCTGTCAAAACAATGGAGGAATATAGTATAGCTAGAAATGGGGCAAAGAATATGTGTCATAGGAAGAAGAAACTGTTTTAGGAAAACTTGCTGCAAGATCTTCAGGATAAATTTGAAAGAAACGGAATGAGAAAGTACTATAAAAGCATTTTTAACATTAAACATGGCTTCAAACTGAGGACAAACATGTGCCAAGACAAGCTGGGAAATCTAGTTGCTGGCAATGCAGAGGTACTAAACACCTCAACTCTAATGTTATTAGAAACTCAGAAGCCAGTGATAACATTTATTTTGGCCCAGAACTAGAAAAAATATAACCAAGAGATAAGATGTGATCAGGAACCTTAAATAGAGAAGAGCCCCAAGCGAAGATGTCATTAGTGCCAAATTTATTAAGATTGGAGGACAGAAATTGTGGAAAGAAATTTATGAGTTGATCCGAATACTCTGGAACACTAAAGACTTTTCTGAAGATTGAAGAACAGCCACAAACTGTCCTATACACAAGAAGGGTAGCAAGTTAACATGCAACAACTATAGATGCATATCCCTTCTAAATTATCACCTATAAGAGTTTTAGCACCATCCTCGCCAACTATATTGAACCCTTTGCTGAGAACATACTAGGTTAATACCAGTGTGGCTTCCACAAAAGATGTTCCATAATGGTTCACGTGTTCACAATACAGCAAGTCCTGGAAAAATGCTACAAGCAAAATATACATATCCACCAGCTCTATATAGCTTTTAGACAAGCTTTTGCTAGCATTAAGCTATAGGAGAATTCAGAATTCCATCTAAACTAATAGTCTCACTAATGTGACCCTTGAAACGACATACAACAAAGTTAAAATTCAAAACAAGCTCTCAGACAGCTTCATGACTAATACAGGCATGAGATGGATACATTCTCTCCACTGTCCTTTTGGAAAATGTTCTTAGAGAAATACATGTGAACCCAAGCAGCACAAATGTCAATAGAACACGGCAGGTACTGGCATATGAAGATGATATAGCCATCCTTACTGCAATACAAATGCTTTGAATGAAGTCCTTGAACTTAAGCAGGCAACATCATCTTCTACTGTGTTAAATGAATAAATGCATAAAGAGTGGGTCACAATTATCCAGTCCTTGCACTACCCCTTCTAGTTATTCCTTTATAAATCATTTGAATGAAATGCAGGACTCTGTGTATAGGGACGTCATATTAGTCACTTGGTTCCATAAAAAATGGGCCCAAGTGATTAAATCTTAAGTAAGGTACGGCCTCAGCGGCCTCAGTAGTCTAGAGGCAACATTCCCACCTCATGACTCGTAGTACACGGGTTCAAATACCCGGCGGAGGTCGTCGAATTTTTAAGGGTGGAAAAATTCAGGGAACAAGTCCTCCGGGAGGGACTTTAAGCCGTGGGTCCTGTGTCGTAGCTTTACGGCACGTAAAAGAACCTCATACCTCCAAAGGAGGTCACTGAGCCAAATTAACGGATGTTTCCCACCCAACAGCAGTCTCTAATACCTCTGGTAGATGGGGGAAGCATTACAGACACCTCTCAGCTAGTAGAGCCAGTTTCGCTGGCTGGGCGGGACTGATGGTAAGCACTAGTACTGGTAGGATATAGAGACTGGTAGAAATCATAGAGGGAAGCACAATGGACCAATACAGGTCTCAGTGCATGGGGAAACCCACCCTCTCCAATAACTAACTAAGGTATGGCCTCACAATCACATAGGATGTGTGTGGCACATTTCACAAATAGGTCTATCCGTCAGTCCCAATTTGAAAAGGTGAAATGCTCACATGCAGCCATAAACAGCTGTAACAATGTCCTACTACAGTCTTAAAAATCTGCCAATGCTTCTGAGAGTTCTGATAACTATCTGGAGATGTTCTGGAATTCCTTAAAAAATACAGTTAATATAAATGGATTAAAACAAGATGGCAGATGACGGACTCCTTGTCACACAGAGAAAGAGATAAAAGACTGCTTCCACTCAAGCACTGCAATATTAACATCATCAACAATTTTTTTTTTAATTGATTTAGTTTCTGCTATGTGACAAGCAGTGCTACTATGGAACTGTCACCCACAATTTTGTTCAACTTTTGGTATAACACTGTTCATATAACTGTTACATAAAAATCTGTAATTTTTGGATGACTGACTTCAAAAAGTAAGGAAGACTTTCTTTACATTCATAATACCATAATACCTAATTTTAAATAACAATATCGGATGTGTTCATGCTTTACTACATCAGTAACATATTCCACACTTATACATTTTTCACAACTGAGTGTTCAGTTTTGCTGTCTATCTGATCTCTAACTGAAGTTTTAGCAGATAATTGCCTCTGCAGTGTTGCCATTTCCTGTTTAAGTAAGTCCAGACAAGACTGCAAATTACTTAAAGGCTTATTGTGTGGCAGTACAGTACTCTGATGCAATAATTCGGCAATCTGGGTCTCATCATATTTCAATGGTGCCAGTGGAAGACTTGATGTCAAATCTGGAAGCCTGTCTTTGTTCTCACAGCCAAAAGTCTCCAACTTTAGTCGCAGTACCTAGACAAAGAAATGATGTGTTGTGCTTAATGTAGACATGGTCAGGGTCATGATGAGTGGAGTGCTTTTTTTTACCAAATGAATTCATTTAGCATAGATACAGAGCTCCCGTTGTGAAGCTAATCACACTGGGAAGGGTTTCAAACAAAACTAGCTTATCAAGATTAGTCTTGTGGGAGAATACCAGTGTGTCAGAGGAACATGATGCTATGATCTTCAGGGTCAAAGTAAGTGGGGAAAGGACACAGGTTATACATGCAGCCTGCATGCAATGTGGTCACTCAGATCCATGGGACAGTAGATGATATTCACTGTTTAGTGGATGGTGCTTTTAAAGGTATTACATCAGAAATAAGTATTTCATGATTAATTAACTGATGTTCAAGAATAAACGATAATATTATTCCAGATATTCAAGAGGGACATGCAGTGGCATAGTTGGTTGAGGCACTATACTACAAGCCAGAAGGTCGCAGGTTTGATTCCTGACAAGGTCACTAGATTATCCAATTGGCCTCATCCTTCCAGCCACAATAACCCTGAGGTCAACTCAGCCTCCAACAAAAATGAGTACCAGGAATCTTCCTGGGGGTAAAGGGCAATAGGTGTGTAAGGCTGACAACCTCAGCACCGTCTGTGAGCCAACTGTGGCAGCCTCGACATCTCACAACTCCATGGGCTTCCATGGCCTGTTACAGGAATATCTTTACCTTTTATCAGATACTCAAAAAAATGTAAGAAAATCTGAACTGAAATATGCCTATTCATTGACTTTAAAGCAGTATATGATAGCACAGACAGAACTAGGTTCTATTTTTCAACAGAGGAAATGCAGATCCTAGAAGGTCATTAACCTGATAAGAGCACCATGAGAAATATGAAATCACAAATAAAAATTCAAGCAATGCTATGAGGTAGAGAGAGTAATACATTGTTGTTGTTGTTATTATCATTATTATATTATTATTATTATTACAACAACAACAATTATGTACCTTGTTTTGCTCGACACTGGAATGAAGGGCTGCTCTTAACTCTGCTACCTGAGTCTGCGACATGAACTTATCGCTGCGGACTAAGTCGAGCTCCACACGCAGTGAGTTAAGTTCATCCTGTAAGGCACTCATGCTTTGCTGCAAGCCAGTCTCAGTTGACAGCCATCGTTCTTCTGACAATTTTATTTTATCTTCTAGGCCAGCTGCTTCCTGTGATTTCTGGTGCAAATGGTAGCTCAGCATCTGAGACCAAAATAATTTTATGTACACACAATACATTCATAGTAAAAAGGTGATGAGGTATGGCAACATTAAAATACTGAAGTAACAGCCATTAAAGAGTTAAAGCTGCGGCATCCATTCATCATAGGCTGTAAGATTTCTGAAACAACTTATAACAACTGTGAGAGCACTCAACTAATTTCAGCAACACAATGAGCATCTGAACACAGAGATTTCAAATACCATCTCAAAACCACAGTTGTATAATGATATAATTATTTGCACAATGTATTTTGGTCATAAGACCATTGTCATATGGATCTTATACAATTTCTTGAAAAAACAACAAAACTGTAAGCATAACAAGTTTTTGGCAAAGCCATTCCATTAGTGTACATACCATATCAGACTTTATCTTATAATTTTACAGACTTATAACATTAGTATACCAGAAATATTCCTTATCAATACATATTGGGAAGACAAATAAGAAACCAATAAAACTGTGTCACAACATATGAACCTCAGCAGGATTTCATGCACCTTATATTCTTATTGTCAAGCACCAGCTTGCAAATGAAACCTGTACTGTGACATGATGCCTGAAAGATGAAATGGTTCATTTCTAGGCAACAGCTTGGTAAACACATTCCCACAGAAGCGAACACAGGCAATAACAGGAGAGTGGTTCACGCTGTGTGCATTGTTACACAATGGTATGGTAAACATATCTCTGCAGCAGTGAACCGACATGCAACAATAAAGGAAGCAGTGTTTTCTGTGGGGGTCTCCCTGAGGCTATATAATGAGGATCTCGCAGAGCTAGAGATAGAAATGAGTTAAATTCTGGAGTTGACAATTGCAGCAGAGACTTGAGTTCTGTTCCGGAGTTGGCAGTTGCAGCAGGGAATTTGGAGAGTCTCTGGAGTTGGCAGTTGGCAGAATAACTGAGAAGAAATGGCAAGAAATGAATTAGGCCACGCAAAGAAGAATTCATGTGTGATTTGAAGTGACAGTGAGACTTTAAGGATCCATTGCCAGGACACAAGTAGTGAAGACCGAGAACAATAGCGGATGTAACAGAGTAGAAATAGCGATAGCACTGTAATTATGTGTAGTTCAAAGTGCTGTGTATAAGGTGTCAACAAATCCAATCATCCCATCCAAAGCCCCATCTAACAGTCACAACCCCTACATGTCTGGTAATTAGAAGATATTCAAGTTAGAAATCTTTACTTTAGTTAACTCCAATATTGTTCACAGTCTGAAGATTTAAATATACTTCCATACATTCTTAGAAACATACTCACCTCCATTTAGTACAGAGGTCAAGAATGGTGAAGCTACACCTCCACTCCCCTACATGTCTTCATGGTGCTTAATTAATTATGCACAGGGACAATTTTACCTTTACACACTTAAAAACAAAACTGTGATGTGCCAAATACAACAAAGTTACTGTCACACCCAATAAAGGAATTCTGGTATCTGTCAACATCCTTCCAGCAGAACTGCTCTTAAAGATAATTATTGTGAGAGCAGCATAGCACTTCTAAGAAAAGAAAGAGATATCAGTACCTTGATCTGATCAGCCAGAACTGGGTCCTTTGCTCTTGTCTCCTCCAAGTCTTCACGCAGTTTTTCAACTTCCAGCTTACATTCTTCATGCGCTTGTTGCTCTGTTTCCAGTTGCTTCTTAAGGTGAGAGATGTTAGTTCGTAGCACACAGCACAGGGATTCTGTCCGGCCAAGATCTACCTTTTTTGTATCCAGCATGTCATTGGCTGTTTCCAGTCCCATCTGCACGCTAGCCAACTGCTTTCTCAACTGTGAAGTCTCACACTTCTCAGTAAAGATCTGTAACATTTAAGTTTTTTAACAGATTAGACGAAGCCACAACTACGGTCATTGTGCACTAACTGAACATTTCTTTAAGATGAGAGAGAGAGAGGGAGAGAGAATGTGTGTGGCTGTGTGTAAGCATGAGTGCTTGAGTGCATACATGTACTGAGTATCAGATTGTACAAAGACTCTTCTTGCTGACCAAATAACAAATGTACAGTACTGGTATTAAGTGATCTTAATTAGAAATGCAAAAAAGCTGAACTCACCTCCAACTAGTGCAAAGGTTATGAATGCGTGGATCTATACTTCCACTCCCCAGTATATCTTCATGGCATAGTGCTTAATTAGTTAAGCATAGGGACAAATTTATCTTTTTTTTTTTTTAAGAAGCTCCATAGAATGGCTACAGAATCTTCTTGAGCAGCTGACAAATATTCAGTTGGTCAAGAAATTCTCTTCCTTTATATAGAAAACAACATTCATCAGCACATTCACAGATTCCCACCACTGTGCCCTAACCTGTGTCGGCTAAGTCTGCATACTCTCACACACCCTATGATCTACACTTGTGTCAACAAGGTCTCTTCCCTTGAAATTTTCCAATCAAAATATTGTCGCGTATCGGGCGTATATCGCGACAAATAACTTCACGCCGTATTTTGTATAGCGAATTTTATTTCACATTCGCACTTACAATCACCCAAATTACAGATTTACGGTTACTGCTATCTGCAGTATCACAATTAGTACACTCCAAATGCCAGAATACAACTGACTAGTTGCTGGCTAACTCGGCGGTAGCTCCAGGACTCACTGACTGACTCAGTACAACTGACTGGTACCAGCTGTGCAGCTCACTTATATAGCTGCAGTGCTTGCCTGTTGCATAATGAGTGCCACGTCATCCTGTTACGTCACCGCTGTTGACTCGCCTTGCATAGTTACCAGGTTACGGGGGCTCGGCTATCTTCGGCTCCGCTCGGCTCTCTTCGGCTCCGCTCGTGACGTCACCGCGCATAGCTGCCAGGATGCGGGGTGATTACTCGCCTATTACACGAGCGTTACGTTACCGCTACGTGCAGCTGGGGAGGTAGGGGTCAACATGTCACAATATTATGGGCATTTCTGAACTCCACTATGCATGTTATGTATCCTGCCAAATCCATTCCTATTGCTTTTCACGCAACAATATAAAGCAGAGAGCTGAAATTATGAAGTGCTTTATTAAGTAAGTATGTCTGGTATTTTATTTACCAAATATCTTCCTATGCTGTCAGTTCTCAGACACCCCCAACTTATATTCTTCCTTCCAAGTGACAATATTTCATGTAAATATACAACATGCAATATTATAGGGTCAAAATAAGGTATCCAAAAAGTGGACACTACTAATATTACTCTGTAGGTGCTACAGTCTATGATGAACTTTAATAATTGTTTCTTGTATCCTGCTGTGTATTTAATCAATATTAGAGGCAATTTTATCGACCACACAACATATTTTTATTATTATTATTACACTACATGTTTCGACCTCAAGAGGTCATCCTCAGGTGTACGAACACAGCTGTATAATTACACGCAATCACATTCGTCTTCTCACTATTCGATCCTGTATTTTATTCAGGCTCACACTCAATAATATATCAAGCTCTCTCATAAAACACAAGTTAAAATTTTTCTAAATGTCAAAAGTTAAAATTTAAATTTAAAATTTTTAAAAAATTTTTAAAGTTTGCGAATCGAATTTCAATTCAGGTCACTAGTTATGCTATCACTTTCACTTGTATTCAGTCACTTCCTACTTACGTTCATCACTGCGTCAAGTTCACTTTAACTAGTTTAATTATGTTATTGATTAACGTTCATGAATTAAAGTTCAATTAATTATAGATTGCACTTTTTCACTTTTGGAGGTCTTGCTGTTCTACTGGGTCTTCTGAAGTTGTGGATCTGTTATGGTCCATGTCGTGATGAGTAGCGGCGCGCGCCAGTAGGGAGAGAGGTTAGTTGCGGTAATTTGACTGGCCACAGCGCGGCGGTTGCTGGAGGTTGCTTGATCGCCGTGCGGCAGGTGAGTTGAAGTTGTGTGGTTGCACAGCGTGGTCGTAGGAGTGATGAGGCAGTGGCTACGCCAGATGCCCAGTGCATCGGACAGGGACACAATCACCGGCGAGTCCAGGCGAGGTGCCCCAGTGAGTCGGGTGTGAGAGCCGGAGGGCCGAGGCAGTCGTGCCTGGTGCAGCCTGCCGATGCCTCCGAAGACCGAGCGCTGGCAACGAAGCCTGCTGGCTGATGTTGCTTGAGTGTGGCTTGATCGAAGACTGAAGTCAGACTGATGATGCTGGTTTGCGGCTGCTCCTTTTTATACACTGCTCGGTGGCCAGAGCGAAACTTGAAATTGAGGAGGAAGAATTTGCAGGGCGCTGATTGGCTAGCACGCGTGATGATGTAGATGCGGGGCTAGCAGCAAGCGCAGTATAAATGCGAATGTTTGGAGCAATTTGATTGGTTAGCGCGCGTGATGGTGAAAAGTGATGTGAAGGGTGTGTGTTGCAGAAAATGTGTGATACTGTGGGATGTTCCCACACATACATACATACATACATCAGCGTTTCAGAGTATTCACAAGTGTGCAACTGGCACTGAATATAAAACTTGTCAAACAACAGTCACAAGACAATCACAGATAAAATCACAGAAACCTCAATTCAACCATAGTTAAAATCTAAACTGAATACCTCAGATAAATAGATACAATGTTACACATACAATTATACCAACAAGATAATTAGCAATACATAATACTACTGCAGAGTGCAAAGAGAATATATAAAATCTGTGAAGGATGGATGGGACAACAGACCAAGTTTTCAAACAGTTTCTAGTGCGATCTGAATAAGGAAATTGGTTGAGGTTAACAACAACCCTATCTCAGTGCTGGTATAGGTGCCCAGAGATAGGAACTAGCTCTATCAATTGGGCCCAAATGAGTAGGTTTTACCTGAAGACAGAGACAAAATCCAGTCCCTGAAAAACTCTGTTTCAAATATAAACAGGATGATGTCTTACATAAAAATAGGACAATGGATAAAGTCCAGAAACATAATATTTCTACTAATGTACCATCATCACAAACTTTTAGATCTCATTAACAGCTCTGCTGCTGCCATAGAAAGCAGAAATAACAATAATAATGGGCAAAATATAGATCAATATCAAGTGGGAATAATGATATCCAATTGTCAGAAGACATGAGAAGTACGATCCACAGCACCACATACGTCAAACATACTCCAGACAATGGATAATGCTGTGCCTGCAGCATATACTGATGTACATAATGTAGCACATAAAATGACAAGATGAAATGAAAAATACTGAAGTTTCCTATATCAAATTTCAATAAAATGTGTGAAATGGTTTATGTGATATACATTTACAGACATATACAAACCAGGCTTTATTAAGGACCAATAAGCCTGGAAGTCAGAACTGACCAGCAGCTTCTGATGCAAGCCTCCCATGCAGAATTGCAACAAAATCTGTGAAACAATTTATGAAATACACTGCTATTGCTCTATGTAAACCAGATTACATTATGGGTCAGTATGGATGAATTGAAACTGCCTGGCAACTTTTGCTGCAAGTCTTCCACTTGTAATTTTAAGGAAATCTATTCAGTGGTCTACAAACTGATACACAACAGGGAAGTCCATAGACAAGACGTCTACATATGGTTTTTCCTTTTTACTTTGTAAATAATACCTGAAAATACACCGACAGTTTTTCTGCAAGCAACAGTGACAAACATTGTATAGCCCAAGTAACGTAATTTACTTACCTCTTTCCGTAGCTCTTTGATGATAATGTGAGACTTCCGAACTTCCTCCTCTAGTTCAGTAATCCTGCCCTGGGTCTGAAGTAACTGTAGCTCCCGAGCCTTCTGGTCAAACTCATTACTGAAAGCCACTTCCTCGCTCTCTGGTTCTGCAGGCAACTTCTCCCTTGAAATGCTGCAACTCTGGGCAAGTTTGCCTTGTTCCTTCTCCAGTACCAACAGTGCTTCCTGGTTTCTATTTGCAATTCTTTTCTGCTCTTCACAACTCTTCTTACTAACCTCCAATTCTGCTTGCAGTTTGCTCAATTCACAATTTAGGGTAAACAATTCCATATTCTCCTCAGTCTTTCCACGAAGTTCTTCCAGTGCCTGCTCCATACGTTTCCTTCCTCGCATGTGCTCCTTTACTTTCTTTAACAGTGTTCGAACATTGGACTCGTATTTATGACGTCTCTCACAATGCTCAATATCGCTCATTTTCAGACAGCCCTTTAATTTGGTGATTTCTTTCTGGAATGCATCAATCTGTTCTTTGTAATTCAAGATGTCATTATTCACAGTCTGGGAACCAATGCTTTCAGTGTTTACTTTCTCTGCCTGAGCATCATATGATACCTTGTTTAGTTTTTCCCCATTGAGGATGTTTACCCCAGTCCCTTGTTTCAAATCAGAAAGTTCATTTCTAAGTGCTTCATTTGACTGTTTCTCTGTTTCCATTTCCATCACGAGTTTGTCTCGCCATTCCAGAACCTTACTTATAGAATCGCTTATATTTATAAGCACTGACTCAAATGAATCAAATTCATTTACACTGTTAATGGGTGTTATATTTACTTGTTGTTTCTGGAAGTCCTTCTCCTGTGTGTCACATCCTTCTGACAATAGTGAAGTTAATTTGGACTCAATATTCTGCAGCAGTCCATACAAATCACACAACTTGGTCTGAATGCATCCATTTTCATGTGAAGATAAGGGCTTTTGGATAGCTCGTAACATTTCAGGAGATGGACATGCACTTTCTGCAGCTACATTTTGGGGAGTTCTAGGAGCCCCATGTTCCTCTACCATTTTCTTTATTTGCTTCTTGAGCAGACTCTTCTCTTCCTCAGACCTCCTGCACAGCAGATTGAACTGTTCAATGGCACTACTGGCACTCGATAGTTGTTTCTGGACAGAGGCTGTTTCGGCTTCTAGTTTCTCATTTTGAGTCACCAGCTCTTGAATCTTTGCCTGGAGCCTCCTAACATGTTCCTCATGAGCAGCCTTTTCATTACCTAACTCAGCCAGAGACTGTTCTTTGGCTTTTAGTTCTTCACTGTGCACTTCAAAAATGTGAGTTTGGTTCAGAAGTTGCTCTTCACGCACTGCTATGGTCTCCCTCATCACTGACATCTGCTGTTTAACATAACTGTGTGCTTCTTTTAACTCATTTACTTTTAACTTTAGCTCCATGTTAGCTTTTGACATGTCCTCTGTCTGCTGTTCCAGTGCCTGTGTTTGTGATATTCTGCTCTGCAATCTTTTGTATGCCTCTTCAAATTTCTCAAGTTCATTCATTTTCTCTATGTGACTCTTATTCTCCCTTTGGACTTCATTTATGTCTGCTTTCAAATTTGTAATTTGTTTCTCTTTCTCTCTAAGTTCTGCTTTCATTACCTGGTAGCTTGTAGTTATTCGAGCAAAGTCATCCTTCAGCTTGCTAACAGCCATGTCAACTTCTGTCTTCTCCCTTCCTGCTGCTGCTAGTGCAACTTCAACTGCCACCTTTTCATTCTTCAATTCAAGCAGTGTTTGCTCCTTCAATTTCAAATTTTCTACAAGATGATTATATGACATTTCAATATTTTTATATTTGTTCTCAAGAAGCTGCAATGCCAACTCCTTTTCATTCAGTGTTTTCTGTAACATTGTCATCCTTGTCATCAGCTGTGCATTTTCTGTTCCTGCAGCATCTAAAGCTGTTTCTTTTGTTTGCATTTCATTTTTCAGATGTGCAACTTCTTCCTTAAGTTCTTGAACTGCTGTGTCTGATAAACTTAACAGTCTGGCCTTCTCTTCCTCTGCCATCTTTAACTTTGCTGCAATATTGTTGACTGTGTCCACAGTGGATTCATTATGAATCTGACTAAAGATGGTAGCCTCTCGCTCCAGCATGTCAGCTTGTATGACTTCCAGTTTTCGCATTAGTGCCTCTTTCTCTCGCACAGCCCTGTACTGTGTTGTCTCAACTGCCTGATGCAATTTTGCAATCTCTCCTTTCATTCTTTCATTCTGACAACTGTGAGACACAACTTCAGCTTGGCTTGCCATGAGCTCTTGCTGCACTTTCATTCTGGTTGCTTGACATGCATGCAGCTGATCCCTGTACCAGTATCCAGACTTCCTTGTCATTTCTATTTCATTCTTCAAGCTAGTCAGGTTATTCTCTGCCTTAAGTTTAGCTTGAAGAAGAGACTGACACTCTACGTGCTGGTCTGAAATCTTACTTTCAAGGTTCTGGATTGATTCATCTTTAGATTCAGCTTCTATTTTCAACTCTTGCAATTCAATTCTCAGTTTCTCGTTGGCATCCTCTGTAGCTTGCACAGCTCCCTTCAACTGAGTGATCTCTGAATCTCTAAGTTCTAACTGCAAAGCCAGATCTTGACTCCGACTGTCTCCCTCCCGAACTGTTTGTTGCAATCTGTTTATCTCCAGGGCCAATTTCTCAATCTCCTGTAAAGCTGCCTTGCTGTCTGCAGCAGTCTTCAATTTCAGCTCCTGTTCGCGAGTTTGTGCACGACCCAAAACCTCATTCTGCCCTGAAACCAATGTTGTCATTTCAGCCTGAACTGTCTCAAGACGTCCTTCCAGGTGAGCTTTCTGTCGAAGAGCCTCTTGATATTTTTCTTGCCACTCTAAAGCTACTTTGGTTTCTGCTTCTAATGCTTCAATTCTGTATTTCTCTTTTTCCTCCTGGGCATTCTGAAGCTGAATAGTAAGCCTGTGGATCTGCATATCAGCATTCTCTTTAGTTAGCAATGTCTCAGTCCTAAGCATGACAGGGAAAGACTTCTGATCTTTCCTTTTCTCATATTCCCCTGAAGATGGTGTTGGTGTTGCTGCAGAATCTAGAAGCAGTAGTCTCTTGATACGAAACATTTCTTCTTCATACCCACTAACATCTGAGATAGTTGACATTGTTTCAGCTTTTTCTGAATAACTGGAATCTAACTCAAAACGAGAACATCCAGAGATATTGGATGCAGTGTCCAACCTATCCCTGGCCCTCCTGAACTCCCAGGCCAATTGATCAGCCACTGTCACCGGGTGGTCAAGTCTGCAATTCAACTCGCTAACCATACTGCTAGGGCTCTGGGTTGAAGTTAAGTTGCTTTTACAAGGAACATGATCTGAAGCTATGCTTGCTGTGACGATGGATTCGTGGCTCAATCCTGCACTCAGATAACTGCCTGGGGCCACAGGAAGTATGTTGTCTTTGCCTGTTAGGGCCTTTGGTCTACGGCCAGAATCTGGTGACTTTACTGGGTATGAACATTTTTCTGTTACCACAGTAATCCTGTCTGATGGATATTTCAGTAACTTAACAGGTTCAGCTTTAACAGAAGTCTCGGTATTGAGCATCATGAGAACGGAATTATCCACTTCATGGTGAGTCTTTTCTTCTTGTGTTGGCAAGTGAGTTGAAGAGTAAACATGCACTTTTGCAACATGTGAAGAATCTGATATATTTCTTTTCTGTCGAATTTTGAAACCTTTGATTAAAGAAAGAAATTATTAAAACACTTTTAAGAATATGGTAGCATAATAACCATATTAAGAAACAGAACTAATTTTAAAATAAAGGGATGAAGTTTTCCAGTTCCTAAGACCAAACTGTGCTAATATATAGAACAACTTGGCTCAAGGGGCAATGCTTCTAACTTGTATCTGCGAAACATCCTGGAAGAGGACCTTCCCTGAATGTTACTATTCCCTCAGCTGATCTCAAAATTCCCTGACTTTAAGGAATCTCTTGCTCTGTAACTTGGGCGCAGACGTCCTCATGTATGTGCTATTAAGTTGTTGATGAAAATGGTAACAATTCTTGCAGCCATAGAGCTATACAGAGTAAGGACAGTGGACACATGTGAGAGGATGTTTGTGCAAATACGGAGAATGCTAGGTTACCTGCTGCCTCACACTGCTGGAAAGGCCAATGGATGATCACTTACATACCTTCCAAAGTCTCCTCAAGTTCTCTGCTCAGGCAATCAAACTGAAGTTGTTGAATCAATTCTGCCACCAAATTCTTTTGCTCTGTAGGCTGTTGTTCTGTTACCACCTTCCCTTCCACCAAATCTGTTGATTCTATATCTAAACCATAGCTGTGTGAAGGATTATGAGAAGCTGCACTTTTCTCAGACACTGCAGACTGTAGACAAAAGGAGAAAACAATGAAAGAAATGACAGCAAACAAATGAAAGAACAGCTCCTAATATTAACTCCCCCCCCCAAAAAAAAGTTCGTGGAATATCAGAAATGAGAGCTATGTCACAGGCATGAAATTACACCACTCATTTATTTGCATCATGCACCAATGGCCTTCAAATTGGGTGCCTACTTCCAATTGTTACGAATATTTTCAGTTTTGCTACAGCATGAATATGAATCCATTTCTTTCCATGATGGGAATGTAACCATATGTATAGAACCCAACTTCTTAAATGTTTAAAAAATGAACACTAAACTAACCAACTCCATGGAGATGAGTTCTTCTTGATAAGTTGCCAACTGCTCAACTACTCAAGAATTTCCCAACATACCAGCTTCACAATAGCTCTTCACTGGTCCCTATCCTGAGCCAGATAAATCCAGTCCATACCACCCCATCCTATTTCTCTAAGATCCACTTTAACATTATCTTCCCGCTTACATTTTTCAATTGACCTAATCCTTCCAGTCGCACCATGGTCCTGGGATCGACTCAGCCAGGAATCTACCTGGGGGGTAAAGGGCGGCCGGCACGTAGGGCTGACAACCTTACTACCATACATGAGCCGATTGTCTAGATAATGTCTCACAACCCTATGGGCCTCCATGGCCTGTTACAGGGATAGCTTTACCTTACCTTACCTCCCACCTACATCTAGTTCTTCCTAGTGGTATATTTCCTTCTGGCTTTCCCTCCGAAACACTACATGTATTCCTCTTCTCCCCATGCATGCTACAAGTCATGCCATCTCATCTGTCTTGACTTGATCGTGCTAATTATATCTGATGAAGAATACAAGAAATGAAGATCCTCATTATGCAGTTTTCACCAACCACTCATCATTTCATCCCTCTTCAGTCCAAATATTCTCCTCAATACCCTGTTCACAAACATCCTCAGTCTATGTTCCTCCCTTAATGTCAGAGATCAAGTTTCACACCCACACACAGCCATAAGCAAAATTATAGTTTCAATATATATTTTAATTTTTAAGTTTTTAGACAGCCAGAGGATCCAACAAAATCTGAGGGCCTGTGAATTATTTGGAACAGTCATTTATGGTGATGAGTCACCAGCCTCATGCTCAACCTGCCCCAGCTGGAGGACAACCTCTTTTTGGCTTATTCAATACTTGCAGCTACCTTCCATATCTGGAGGCCATCTCCTCATCTGCAACCTGAGGATGCACCATGCCATGGCGACATGAAACCCACGTTAAAAAATGTGAGATAAGTGCTGTAAAACAAAATACAGTCTACTTGATTAACTGATTTTTTGTTTTGGCAATGTCCAGTTTACATTCCAACACACTGTATGCCAAAGGTGGTGGTAGTCATGATCCTAAACCAATAGTTATCCACACCCACCATACAAGCAAACAGCCTTCATAAGAAACAGACTGTTCCCACACTGCCATAACAAAGCTCGTGATGTTTTTAGTAACAGAATTTCCTCAGTGATGAATGAGCTGTTGAGACCCAGTCTCATCACTGAATTTCTTTTAGGTATGCCTGTGTTAAACATGAAATAAACCAACTCAGTCAGAAGAGTGGCTTGACAAAGGCTGGATGAATGGGTGTCTGATTCTTGGCACCACATCGCCACCATTGTGTAAAGTGAGAAACTAATTGCACATCTCAATCTCCAATCAGCACATTCCTGTTGGATTTTTCCTTTCTGTCACAAACTGAACCCGCAGTCCACCACTTTCTGCAAAGTTTCGATATGCATGACCCTGCAGGAACTAATTCTTGCAGATTTTTACAGCTGACTCTCTGAATGCACTTTCTGTAAGCTTCTTTTCTTCTGTAAAGTAAAAGTACAGTTCTCGCTATGCTTAATTAAGCACACTGTGAAGACATATGGGGGAGTGGATATTTAACCTCTGCACTATATGAGGATAGTTAGATTCATGCTCCAACTGCTTCATCGCCAGGGAAAGAGCCCTTCATACCTGCAGGGCAGGAGGCTGTCTGGACCCTAGTCATCTGGATGAAACAGATGACAGATAAAACTGTTGCCTCTGCCTAGAATCGAACCCAAATTCCTCAGTCATTCAGCCCATAGCCTAGTTATGCAAACTCACTCTTGAATCATTGTACCACTGTATGCCTCATTGCAAGAGCAATGGAATTCAGAATTTTAAACAAGATATCTCAGCACACATAACCTTTAATCACTATCATACTGATCGCCCTATGTTTGTTGTATGCACAAACAAATTTTCAACATATCAGAAAGTTATGCAAGTGATCACCAGCCAAAACAACTGCTGTAGTCACAGTGCTACTGTGTTTCCTTTCAGTTTTAACTCTCTTTACTTATGCAAACAACCCTACTGAACCTGCTACAAGTTTATGTCACAATTCTAAAGTGACTTTCAGCAACCAGGAAGTAGGATGGGAACACTAATTTCTTGGCTGTGATTCCATGTTGTATAGTGAAACTGCATCTTTGCAGCTGAAGATTAAACAAAGCAAGCAGCAAACAGAGTAAGCAGAGGGTGGCGTGATATGGATATTGGTTGGCAGCACTAAACCAACCAATAAGAACAGAGGAGAAGGGCATAATATATAAGTCTACTTTGTTTTATTATTCCTGTTAATTCTTGTGTCTGGTGGAATAGTTCCATTCTTCAAAGATGGTTTTTAGGAAGTTTTAATATTTATTGTTTTGGGGCAAAAAAATGTTCTAGATTAAAGAGGGCTATTCTAGTTTATTATTATTATCATCATTATTATTATTATTATTATTATTACTGATTTGTGTAAAGGGAGACAGCTGCATGCAAGCCACTGTGTTGATTCTGCTTAAGAATGACATACAAAAGACACCTGGCTGTATACATGGTTCTCGAAATTTCAGTATAATGAGGTAACAATGTCATATAACAAAGAACGGTGGGATATAATACAAAAAAACGAATATTACCTTGAATTCTGTGTTTGGGTCTATAACAATATTCAACGCCAGTTCTTGGTTTTCTTCCCACTTATCTACAATGGTGCTGTCAGCTTCATGATTTAGTTGTTCCACATATACACTGAGGTTAAATTTGTCCATAATTTTGAGACTGGGAACTCTGTCATGCTTTCCACTGTGATGGAAAATGTTTACACATCATACTGAAACAAAACGTTTTATGTGACATTAATTTGTTCACCCATCCTAAGCGATTAACTTTGTTTCTTTTTTTAGTCATCTCCGCCGAAACATATTCCGATGACTGTAGCAGTCGCATACGTATACAGTTACGAAAATACTGTTACTATTGTAGGGTAGTATGTTTTTGACGTGGATGTATGCGAAGCAAAGTTTCAGTGATATGTCATTTTCGTCTGCTGTCTGTTTTATCATAGGACATCCAAAATCATTACTTCAATGCACGTACTCCTGCCCTAATACATAATTTAATACCCACTAATAATGTTCATGTGATCTACTTACCTCAGTTAAAAGATTGCACTTATTTATCACGCCCCCCACAACACTAGACAAAACCCATCCTTCTACGTGGCTACCTACGCCCCCTCCCCACTCCCGCCCAATAGTTCACTTCTCACATGATATGTTAGCATACCTTCTTACCGATTGTACTCTCGGCTATGGAGGACTTTTGTATTTAGTCAGTATTGAATGCTTAGAGATTGCAGCAGTAATGATTCCGATGGTGTCATGGCGGCTGTGTTCTCCATCAATAACGAAGAGTTCTCAGGGGCTGCATGCTGCGGCCTGCTACCACAGCTACTCTCCGACCAATGACTGCAACCAACGGACGAGACCGGTGCGACCAGATGCGACTGACGGCGACTACTAGAAAAGTACTTCATCCCGAAGATCCCGAGGGAACTACTGTACAAGAGGTACAGAGTAGTATTCTTTGAGTCCCAGAGGAAAGAAGGTAGTGGTAGATTACGACCAGGTAATACACGTTTTCTGTACGTTCTGCTACATCGGTACGAAGCTTAAAAAATGCATTTTGTATTAAGTTAAATCCGTTGTACTTTTAAACAAATCGGACATTAATAAATAATTAAAAATTTGTTCTTATTGTGGAGTTGTATATCAAACAGTCCTTTCTCAATATTTTTTAAGGGTTGTTTTTTAAAATCATGGTGTTTTATTCCGATTCAAATATATGAGTACATGCACCTCTGTTTCAACAAATGACAAGTGGGTACCCTGTTACATCTGTTTTAGAATTTAATGGCGGCCCATTTGCCTTAGAAGGATAAGAAACAAGTCTGAAAATGCTCATAAGAATAATTTAGATCCTCTAAATATGAGTAATTATCCTGTGTTATAATTAATGTCTTTAAGTGTACCTACCTTATGTCAGAATACATCTATCCAGCTGTTCATAACTTGGGATTAACTGGGTTGGTGTAGCAGTAACACTGTACATGTAAAGGTAAAGTTGTCCCTGTGCTTAACTAATTAACTCTTTGACTGGCGCGAAGGGTATTTAAATCCCACCCCTGTCCTGGCAGGCCCTTTAAACCTTATGTCGCTAAAATGCATGTAGTTACTTTTTCCTAAACAACTTCAACAAAAATTGGTTTTTAAAAATGAAATTTTCAGGAACTAATTAAAATACAATATATTATGCAATAAATGCCTTTCCATACCTCTTTATTAGTTTTTCTTCGTGTGATAAACATTGAAACATGAAAGTTTGTAGAGAGCCACACCACAGCCTGCACACATGATACTTGTTTCTTTTGTAACCTTGTGCTTAGCACTCACGCCACACTTTCTCAGGGCACCATTCTTCTTATTGTTACTGGGAGGAACATGGACCATTTTGTGAATCTTCAAGCCACCCTCTAGACGATTTACTGGCTCTTTCACTGGTGGCCTTTTCAAGGTCGAGGGCGGAGGCGTGACTTCACTCTAGTCTGACGCAATAAATTCGTCATCCACTTCATTCCTTGACTTTTCTCCCTCTCCACACTGTTTGTTTGGTTCAGTCATTTTTCTACACAGTCCAATATAAAATCTTTGAATCTGTAATTTCTCTTCTTGTATTTTTCGTTTGTTGTGTTCTTTTTGAATAGAATGAAACTATTCAACTGCAAAGACATGTTTTGTCCATACCATGGGTGTGAAATAGGGGCCTAGTGGACAAATATTCTTCAATTTCAGGGCGTTTGTCGATTCCTGTCATGAACACAATTCCTAAGTATGTCCAGATTTCATCTGATGTGACATAATTGTAATTGTGTTTTCGAGAGTGAGGAGCTAACTCATGTGTGTTGAAGTGCTGGTGAGCATAGCGATTGGTTTCAGTTGTGATGTGATTTACCAAGTCGTCATCCAGAAAAAATTTTAATCCATGAAAAGGGATGCATTTTATGTGTTATATCAATTTTGATCCCGAAACTATTAGCAAATGAAAATATTGGGGGTACAATGTCTCCGTACGTTCATGAGATGGGCGTGTCAGGCACCGCACTCGTGGTAAGTAAACGTTCATGATTACTGTCTTGTGGATCATTGTCTATCACTGTATTATTGTCACTATCAACTTCAATTCAGGAATCATGATTTCATCGCCACTATCATCATCAGAACAAATCTCGTTCACAACATTTTCCAGCTGGTCTGTAGGAACACGAAGATACTTGCTGCAAGAAGCCATGGTGAAACTGAATGAATGTGAAATATTTTCTGACCTTTTCCTTCTCAGAGGGTTCTGACAGTAATATAGACCCCCACAAAGTTTACAAGGGTTCTTTACAAACATGCACAAAAACTATCATATATATGTCTTTGGTTGATGAGTGCCAAGAGAGCAAAGAAGGGAAGAGATTGTCAAAGCGTCAAAACACGCCAATGCCAGGGAACGGCTGGCATCATCCGGGCGTTAAAACACGCCCGCGCCAGTCAAAGAGTTAAATACTTCACCATAAAGGCATATGGGGGAGTGGGTGCATAGATCCATATTTTCCTGACCTCGGCACTAGTTTGAGGTGCTTGGTCAGCTTCATGCCCCGGCAACACTGTACGGGTGTATCAGTAAACTACCTATTACACAGCACATATGGGAAATGGGGGTGTCCCAGTTGCATGAGAAAAACTCTTACAGAAAGCCAATACAAACTCAAAACGACACAGTTTTGCTTCAGTTCTTTCACAGGGATCTTCCTAGGCAACATAGTAGATTGATGAATACAAATCCAAGTAGCATCCACTGTAATAACATCTGCATGGTAGAAGATGGGTAGTGCTGCTAGTGGTGGCTGGGAGGACAACCATTTGGCTGGTGAACATGTACACATCTCAAATTTGCCTTTGAATAACTTTATAAAAGCAGTAAATTTCCTTTGAAGTATTGTTGATTGGATGAGAATTCAAGATGCTTGGATACCAGATAACTGGGAGTTACTGTACTTGATTGTAATGACTGCTTCCTTTGAAATGTTTTCCATTTCGTCAGTCATTGTACCACTTGATGCTACATAGTCTAGATACTGACAGTATCATAAAATAAACCACAAAATGCCCTTCTGTCTAATTTTAGTGTCTTATTATTTACAGATAAAGATCACCCTGCACCTAAGGGATATGTTTCGTTTGCTCGTTAGATTGCTGGTCTTCAGAAGTGTCCTTATGATGGAAGATGGCATGAACTATCATGTATGTATGTGTAGTACAGTGTAATGTAATGTGTAACATGTGACTGATACAGGAACAGCTTTGCAGTTACTGAACCTAAACCAGACTATTCCACTCATAATCTGTCACTGGATTTGAGTTTTGTTTAATATAAATGCAAACTCTTTCTGACTTCATGTCAGGGGCATAGGTAATATAGTGTCAGGAGGTCTCAGCAATTTATTTATTTCGTCTCTATAGATCATTATTACAGGATATAGGACAAGTCAGTTACTGTACATCAGCTGATTACAATAAGAGAATAAAGTTACATTACTTAAAATTGTTTACGATAGATTACAGTAGATTACAATAGTTAAGATTTCATATAGTGTGAGGTGGAATCCATATTAGGCCCCTCGGCACATCTGCTTCCATATATTATACCTGTACTGGTGATAATGCTTATGGAGAATTTGATGGAATGAGGATTGGCAGGGGAAACCAAAGTACTCGGGGAAAACCTGCCCCAGCGCCACTTTGTCCATCACAAATCCCACTTGACTAGACTGCAGCGGTGGGAAGCCAGCGACTAACCGCTTAAGTTATGGCGCAGCCTTTGAGATGATATTGGTTAATTTGGTGATAGTACTTTTATAATATTTCACTGTAGACTCTACACTGCAACATCTCATTACATCAGGCTCTGAGCCTCAGGAGGTCCCCTTCTGCCTTCAGGCAGTCCAGTTTGTCAGTATTATTAATTTTTAAGATTATTTTCTATTTCAGCTGAATCTTTTAATATTCCTGCTCATATGTCTGTCATCCCTTGCTGTAATTACTTTATGTCCCTGATGATAATTAACTACATTTTTATTGCCAAGTAGTGTGATTTTTATAAAATAAAATAGGTTTTTGTATTTTAAATACTGATGTGATGTGTTTGTCAGAGATATAATCATGCAGGGAGACCCAAATTCTTGAGCTGCATGTAGGCTCCCAGAAACATTATTGTACTAGTTCTTAATATAATAAGTCTCTTTCGAGTAAAGATGTATCATATTGCTAGGTGATCTACTGAGCAGTGCCTGGGCATATTGTTCATATATAATTAGAGAGTATAATACATTGAAATGTTGTAATGTTCAGTTGATCTTAATTATATTAATGTAAAGTAATATAATTGTAAGGAAATGAACTACTCAATTACACTGTAAATCCTCGCCATTAGGAAAGTTTTTAAACACTGACATTTATTTTTGGGAAACTTAAGATTAAATATCTCAGAAACTGTAACAGGTAGACATAAAGAGGGAATGAGGCATCTTTTTCTCTTGTGAAGTTTTATTATGCACCAAAAAATTTTAGTACATTAAGATGAACGTTTCTTGAGCAGCAAGCAAAAAGAGTATTCTGGCATTGAAGGGGAGGGGGGTGCAGAAAGTTGGGGAATTTTCAAGTACCTGAAACCTTCCCAGTTTGGACCTCTACCATCAAGCCAAAGTTTGGTTTGAAATAGGTGCAGTGGTGTGGAACAAACAATGAAAGGGACACCCACTCTTTATGAATGTTCTATTGTGCAATGTGTTGCTAAAGTGAGTATAACTCTGTAATTGATATAATTCATTCATTCATTCATTTCATTTATTCACCTTCCATAAATCCTGTCGAGAATACAGTCTCATGTGGATGTGGAGATCATCCTAGTTATTAGATATTGACATACAGATATTTTAGCAGTTTTAAGTTTATTCCAAATTCAGATCTCTGCAATTCTGAACTATTAACCGAGTAATTTGGCTTAAGCAGCAATGCTAGTGGCTTGTATTTGGAAGGTGCCCACATGCTTCCTTTCTTATCCATCCCTATTCATTATTTGTTTTCATCAGTCATTCTGTTCTGTATAGCTTTAGTTAGTGATGGTGTCATTAAATAAACCACAGAAACATAAATAAGTGAATAAATTCATTTTCCTATAAGTTTTCATGAATATTTGTCTTTTTGGCTGTGCTATTTAAACACCATGTTGTTGCTTACATTTTGAAGGTATAATCTGTTTTTGCATAAGCATTATCACCAGTACAGGTACAATAGGACATATGGAAGCTGACGTGCTGAGGGGACCTAATATGGATTCCACCTCACACTATATGAAATCTTAACTATTGTAATCTACTGTAATCTAGTGTAAACAATTTTAAGTATTGTAACTTTATTCTCTTATTGTAATCAGCTGATATACAGTAACTGACTTGTCCTATATCATGTAACAATGATCTATAGAGATGAAATAAATAAATAAATAAATATATGGAGAGGAAGTTTTATAGTACATCATGCCCACCTATCCCTGTCCCCCCCCCCAACTTTGAAGTAAATTGTTCTTCCATGAAACTTGACATAAGAATTATGCCACTAGAGGTTCCCCACTTTTGTACCATTTTCTGTTCACACCACCAATAAGCCTAACATTTCAGCTGTTTGAACTTCTGAAATAGAAATAACAAAGAAAAAGGCTGTAAGATTTGAAACTTTCAAGGCAAATAAATGAGCTAAAGTCTTCTTGGCTGATCAGCCATGTCAGTGTTTTGTTAAACACCAACATTCCAGATATCTCCCTCTCCATCGGTGGTTGGTTGATTGACGCCAGTGTAGAAGACAGAGATCTCAGAAACATTGTTTTTTAACACCACATTGTCATGGCTGATAGCTCAGGAATATTTCAGGTAACTTCCCAGCCATCCCAGAGATGAAGCCCCATGAAGTGACACTAGGTACATGTAGTATAGGATCCTTGTTCTCTGTGTGAAATTTACATTGATGATAGATTAGATTAGTTTAGAGAGGTGAGTATTGTATTGCCCTTGTAGTGACTGTCTTTGATATACTGTACTTTACCTTTATAAAATTTTTTATTGCTAGTGGGGTGGGACTAAGTCCCTTGTACTGCGGCCACTTCTGGCCTATTGTACCAGCCCCAGATGATAGGTGAGGGTGATTGTGGAGTAATTGGTGGAATGAAGATTGACAGGGGAAACTGAAGTACTCAGAGAAAACCTGCCCCAGTGCCACTTTGTCCACCACAAATCTCACTTGACCAGACCCGGGATCGAACCCGGGCCGCCGCAGTGGAAAGCCAGTGACTAACCACTTGAGCTATGGCACAGCCTTTATAAGATTTACTTCCAGTAGTCCTGCAGCCTTGGGTTGAAGCCCAGTACCATGCTTAATGGGGCCTCATGATAATCATTAGGTTTCATGAAATGGAGTCCCAGGTGATCAAATCTGAATTCAACCAGAACCTTCAAGTCACCCAAAGGCTGTTTCTTATTTGTCAGGACACCTTTCACAGGTGTCCCTGGAAGTGATATTTTCCTACTAGTAGTCCTGTCACATGTCTGTTACTCCTGCTCACTCCCTTAGTACCCTAGTTGTTTTTAACAGAGGACTTACGAAGCAATTGCTTCTCATGTTTTTACCAGGTGTGGGCTGCCTGTGTTCCTGGTGTTTCTGTTCTTCCATACCTAGAGGGCCTGCTTAGTGACTGTTTCCAAGATGCCTCAGTCTGATGGAGAACCTGTAAATCAGTGTTTGATTCCTGTGTTAGTCTGTTAGTCATCAGTCTTGTCCCATTCAATTTCCATATCCTGGCACCCATATCACATGTACTCTGGTACATTGAGCCTGTTTCAGTAGGGACTGCTGATAGTCACAGCATTCATCTGGTAATTGTCAAACACTTGAATCACATCTTGTTTGTTTGATAATATGAGAGTTGACAGTGGTAAATAATGAATCAATCAATGGAGATTATTTTCATATATGGTTAGCTTAGCCATTGCCAAAACAAAAATATATAATCAATCAGTATTTTACGATTGAATATTTATTTCCTACTACACATTTTGGTTTTGTAGGACCACCATCAGGTTGATTCTTTTGTTTTGAGATTCTTTTGTTCTCTTTGGCTCTTGATTGGCAACACTCTTACTCATATAAAAATAAGATATACAATAAAAGATATTGCATTTTTAGCCTATTTTCCTTATTTTGAAAGAATAAAAGTAGGCTTATCAGATCACCTTGCAATGTGTATATGTATCCTCCCCAACAACTTTTGAACCCCTAAACCAGTCTTTATGAAACTTGTCATTTTTAGATCGTAAGTATTCTGTCTATAATGCAACAAAGCCAACCTTTTGTGACATGCCATAAAATATATTTAATAGACTAAAAGTGTTTGTTAAATACTTTGTACTTTAAATGTCATTAACTATATACATTCATTTCTTATTGTTACATGTTTTGGCCACACATGGGCCATCATCAGGCAACACTTATTATTGGGGAGACCACTGCACTGTACACTTTGTCTTCTGTGCCTGTAGGCACATCATTGTTTTTGTTGTTAATTTCTTTGATAGGATATTTCCATCGTTATCTTTTTGGCGGCTATTTCAGTCTTTTTTATGTTGTTTACTTTTGTCATGTATGCTTGGCTTGTATATCATGTTACATGATAACCATCTTAACAGCGTAATTAGTAAATCCTTCCCATTAGTCATACCAACACTGCAGCATTTCAGTATGTTGATACAGGACTTTGATATGGCTTGAAAACATGAAGCAATTTCCATGAAACTTGGCATGTGTATCATGCCACCTGAGGCCGTCTTAACAGCATTCTTCATAAATCTCTCCCATCAGTGATACCAAAATTACAGCTTCTTATATTTCTATGGCAAAACCTTAATATTGCTTGAATGCCTGTACCAATCTTCATGAAACTTTGTATGTATATCATGCCTTATGAAGCCAACTGAGGGCATACTTCATAAATCCCACCCATCAATAATATGAATATTGAAGTCTCGTAAAATGTTGAAGTAATGATCTTAATATCACTTGACTGCCTGAACCAGTAACCACTAAACTTGGCATGTGTAACATGCCATGTGAGACCATCTCAATGGTGTACTCCATAAATCCTTCCCATCAGTAATACCAACACTGAAGCTTGTCTTACAGCCATCCTCACCTTCCCATGGTGCACCGTGTTCTCACTGACAAGGCTCTGGTGACAACTTTGCCGCTTTAAACTGTTTTAATACACTCACAATTCAGGCTCTATAAAAATCAAGTTTATATCATTCTTATATTGACTTACTTATGCACATATAATAAAGTTTTACCCCACTTGTCATACCAGATACTCAATTTGTAGTGAAAGGAATACAGATGATTAGTTCTTCCCAGAACCTCTTGTTATAAATGTTGTTGACAAACCACAGGAATCAATACTGCAGAATGTGACACTCTATAGAACTGATAGCTCTGCCTCTGAAATTCCACTTTTGATGCTGAAGACGAATTCATCCACATTCGAGGCCATATGCTTCAGAAAGTCATCGGTCCAACAGCTGACGTCCCTCTCTTTGGCTATATGCAGGACACTTGGATATGTAGCATTGCAAAGGTATAGTATATTTTCCAGTGCATGCATAAAGAAGAAAATGTTTTATACAAGCACACACTTATTATACTGTGTTCTAGGTCTTCTACATTCATCAAATATTGGAGAACAAAATGGAAACACGATGGTATATGATAATTAGGTTTAAAGTTGCCAGAAACTGACCACAGACCACTTCAAGATTGCTGAATTATTATAGTCATTTATTATTATATTGTCATATTGAATTGAATGGCCACGCCACAGCTTAAGCGGTTAGTCGCTGGCTTCCCACCGCTGCGATCTAGTCATGTGGGATTTGTGATGGACAAAGTGGCGCTGGGGCAGGTTTTCCCCGAGTACTTCGGTTTCCCCTGCCAATCCTCATTCCATCAAATCTCCATAGGCATTACCACCAGTAAAGGTACAATAGGACATATGGAGGATTTAAGACCACAGAAACTGTTTCCAAGACTGATTATACTGTCATATTATTATCGCTGTATTACTATAGTATTATTATTATTATCATTCATTATAATTTGGCATACTATTTCTGTATTATTATATTCTTATTACTATTTAGTATTAGTATTAATATTAATCTTTCACTTGTCCTGTATCATGTATAATGATTCATGGATGAAATAAAATTGAATTGAATTGAATATATTGTGTAGTACTGCTGCAGACTTTAAAACTCTCCAGCTGAATCTGATATATTGAGGAATCTAGTTAAATTAAAATGCATTTGAAAAAAGCTACAGGAATTTTGTGTAGTTAGGCATTTGTCTGATATTGATCTCAGAATGTTGTGAAAGAAGAGTGCTGTATTACCATTACTCTTCAGCCTAGTTTTACAGTGTGTAATTAAGAAGGCATAGGCAAGGATGTATTGGTTACTGACTGGAACATATCAACTGCTGATCTGTGCTGCTAAACTGGCTAAAATATATAACTGGGTAGGAGGGTACCTACTCGCCAGAGTGCAGGAACAAATTGTATTCCGTGGATAGGCCTACATCAAGGATATAAAATATTTCATACATGTTTAAGAAGTAACTATCAAAAGAGTTTGCTGTATATTTAGGACACTTTGTATTGTGATGACTAATTTTGACTGAATGGACTGTCTTCTATTCTAAAATGTTCAGGTGTTCACATTTTTACAAAGTTTGACATTGTTATTTCTTCATTATTGGGCCCTAATATCTGTCTATTATTTTGCATAATATAAGCATAGCTAACAAATCACTTGAAATGTATAATTGTTCAGCTACACAGGGGAATGATAGAAACTGTAAGGCTTGAAACGTACTCTACCTTTCAATTGAGTTCAGTTTATTTTTGTTCATCAGACCTACATTTGGCAATGGCGCCTCCAGATATAGAACACATCAAAGCCCAAGTTACTATAAAATCAATCCAGAGGACAACATCCTAAAGATATTACAACTTATATACAAACACTGTTGCAATAACTATTGATACAAGTAAATTTACCATCATTGTCAACACTATGCTCCATGGTGCCACACTGAAATACAAAACACATCAGTATTCCCCCCTTTTTCCTTTTTTTATTTTTTCTTCTTACAATTCAAACCCAAAAGGACAATGTTATAATTAAATACAACATTCATATAACACTTCAATTCATTTATCCTACTTAAGACTAAAATATATAAAAAAAAATTTGTTTGTTGATTTTTTGTGTCTGAAATTTGCTTCCTCATTTTGAGGAAACATGTACACTTAAGGTGTATGAAGACAAAATGCCAAGAAAAATATTTGTGTCTAAGTAGCAAAGGATGGGAGACTGGACAGCACATTTATAATAAAATTTACATTGGGTTCCCCTTGTCAATTCATAAATAGGGCTGGTCATATCACAGGCTTTACTACCATGTTACATTATGGTGGCCTGTGGTCTGTGTCAGATAGAGGTGGAATGCAGAACAGAGTTCACACATCTGTACTGGAAGGAGAGGTAGTGACAACATAGGATATTGGGAAATTGACCGTTAACTGTTGTGAGATTTGTTGGGATACTGTCACAGAAATGTTACTGTTTCACCACATGATGCATCTCTGACTGCACAGTTTCATCTTTTAATGTACTTAACATGGGGAGCATGTAAGAACATTTTTTTTTCTTAGTAGTATCACTGAGCTAAACTCTTCACACTGCATCAAATTGATTTACATGCCTCTCTCCCCCTCCCCAGGAGGTAGGTTTGTGTGAATGGTCTGAAGCAAGTTTCTGGAACAGCTAGAAACTCCACGGCATTACTGGACCCTGACAGACTTAACTGTCCACATCACTGTGAAATTAAGCGACAATTTATTTTTATACAGAGCCTACTCTGTTGATGCACGTCTCCTGGATGGTATGAACCATAGCAGAGGACTGCTGCTGGATGTAAACTGTATCACTCCAGAACTAGAGTTGCAGCATTGCAAATGGCGATATGCCAAGAGGGTTTCTTGTTTCCTGTATCTTGGAGTTAACTGTGCAGGTAAAATTAAGGAATACTCGTAAGGTTAACTTCCCAGTGTGCTGTACCTAATCAGGTGGTAGAGGAAATTCTCTGTTGCTGTGGTACCTAAAGCCTCGTCCCTGTCCGTACAGAAACTGAACCAGAAGTTACATCCTTCCTCAGGATCCTTCTCAGTGTTATTATCCATAGTGGAGTCTTTCTGTTATGTTTATCATTGTGTATTCACCCTTGTTGTAACCAGTTTGAAAAACTGTTGACAGTTGTCATGCATGAAGCTTTGAATGTAGCCAACACTCTAAATGGTAACCCATTGAATATACATTTCCCTTGTGACATTAGATAAGGTTCTCTTTTATACACTGGTTTACTGATAAACTTCTTTCTATTTCCAGAATGTAATCACACAGTGGAAATAACTGAGGGTAGTGAACAAGAAATTGTGTTTCCTGTGCATATGCCATGCTCTCCACATGCATATTGTGACTGGAATATTCACAACAACCAGATAATGAAGGTATTGTAGCAACAGAAATTTGAAATGAAGATAGTAATTATCACTAATCACTAATCCATAAAGGCACATATTTTTTTCTTCTCTGATTTAATAATCATTTTAAAAGAAAAATAATCTATGAGGGTTTATCAGACTGTCTGAAACTGTCAGCCTTCCTGTTGTCATCTTATGTTGCCCTCTCTGACAACCAATATGATGTTCAGCAGTCTGGCTTTATAGTATGGTAGTCCCAAGTTTGAATCTTGGTCTGGATGAAGACTACTAGCCAAGCTTTTCATGTATTTCCCAGGGCACTCCAGACAAATTCTGTGATTAATAAAAGGTAAAGGTATCCCTGTAACAGGCCATGGAGGCCCATAGGGTTTTGAGATGTTGAGGCTCCCATGTCTTCTAGACAATTGGCTCACAGATGGCAGTGAGGTTGCCAGCCTTACGTGCTGGCTGCCCTTTACCCGCAGGAATATTCATGGTACTCATTTATGTTAGAGGCTGATTTGACCCCAGGGACATAATGTGGCTGGAAGGATTAGGTAAATTTAAAAAAAAAATCCTCATCGGGATTCAACCCCGCGACCTTCCGGCTTGTAGCATAGTGCCTCAACCAACTACACTACCACATGCCCCTCTGTGATTAGTATTAGTATTATATTCATGGATGTTCAGTGATACAGTTTTCCAAATAGAATACACTGTTTTGGAAACTGGATCTGTTTCCATCCTGAGGTGTGAAGGTGCTGAGATAATTGCTGTTTGTTTGGTAATGCTGAGATAAGCTCAAGTCACTGCATCAGTGAGTCAGAAATTTCTGCTCTTCACCTGGGAATGGAAACAGTGAGTTTTCAGAACATAGTGTTTTATTTAGAATGCTAAGATGATGGACAAAATCCATAAACCCAGCAATACTAACTGTATTGTATCATTTTTAGAATCGTATAGAATAAATTTGCAATGGTAGCACAAAATTCACCATGACTTTATCCTTTTACAACTTTTCTGATTCATAATTCACAGTCATCCTGATATTTGATACTGTATAAATTATAGATGAGAGAACACTGTTAAATGAATGAAGAATGTTTGGATCTCTGAAGCACATTGCATGGCTGTTTGCTGTAGTCCCTCAAATATGCAAATGTTTTTGAAGTTCCATGATGCTTCTGTTACAGTGATGTGTCCACATGTATGGATGTGTGATTTGTGAAAAGGCCTGTCATTACAGATGAACATGTGTATGCATTATGTATGTGGTGTATGTGATCATGTGTATCTCTAAATATGTAGATGGAACCATGCATATTTAAGGTCATATTGGATTTTGAGTTCATTTCTGTCTTACAGTAATGGATACAGTTCTGTTAAGAACTTCAGAATAATTTCAAAACATGACATTTTTTGGCCATGTATGGAGAAGATTACATGTGAACATTGTTATTAGTACATTTCTGCATAACAGGCTTATTCCATTAGTTATTGTTCATCTGTGATTCAGTATTCAAATACTGAAATTTTGAACCTCTTAGCCTACTCTTCATCCTTAAAGAAAGATATAGGCTTATGAGCTCAGCATGCTGTCTGTTTTTATCTCCCCAGCTCAACGTTTATAGTTGTTGATAAATATTAACAAAACTATGTGTAAATGTTATGCTGTTTGTGGCCAGGATACCCATAAATCATAGCTTCAAATTACCCACAATCATTAATAACAATTCAGTGGGCTCATGAACTTCAGAGGTGGGAGCAACACTAATGTAAATTAATTTAGGATCCTGAAATGATGCATGGTAACAGATCTTAAAAAATCAAACAAACAACAGACTTCATGGTTTTAGTCTGCAAGCGAACTATACCGACCGAGCGACAGCCGCTTGTTGGTGAAGTTAGTGAAAACTTTAGCGGATAGATGGTGTTGCATGGTCAGTGCAACGAATCCCCACGGCCATTAATTTTTGTTTTCTAGACCGGAGCCGCTATTTCCTTGAAATAGCTCCTCAATTATCCTCATGAGGCTGACTGGACCCCGTTCCAGACCCACTACTTCTCAGAAAATCTGGTAGCGCCGGGAATCGAACCCAGACCTCTGGATCTGTAGCCAGGAACTCTGACCGCTAGACCACAGAGACGGTCGGGTCTTAAAAAATCATGCAACTCCTATTAAGACAGTTCTTTGCAAGAAGTGAAATAACGATGTAATGGCAATGCAGAACTTATCTTTCACTTTCAGTTGAATGTGATATTTTGTAGAAGATAGTATAGAAGATAGTGTATATAAACACAGAGTTCTTTCATGAAATGTTGTTTATAAGTCAACAATCACGTGTATAGTGGTGGTGTGAAACTTTATGGTCATACTTTCTCACTTACTTACTTACTCATGGAGCTGAGCCCTTCTGGAGGAGCATCCAATTCTGCACCTACTCAAGAATTTCCCACCATTTTATGGAACCTGAAGGTTCATTATCATGTTCACAAGAGCCCTCCACTCTTCCCTATCCTGAGCCAGATTAATCCAATCCATGCCATCCCATTCTATCTCTCTAAGTTCCATATTAATATTGTCCACCCACCTATGCCTTGGTCTCCCCCATTCGTGCTACATGGCCTGCCCATCTCATCCTCCTCGACTTGATTATTCTAATTATACTGGAGAAGAGTACAAGTTATGAAGCTCATTGTGCAGTTTTCTCCAACCTNTTATGAAGCTCATTATGCAGCTTTCTCCAACCTCCTGTCACTTCGTCTCTCTTTGGTCGAAATATTCTCCTCAAACACCCTCAATCTGTANTCCATGCCATCCCATTCTATCTCTCTAAGTTCCATATTAATATTGTCCACCCACCTATGCCTTGGTCTCCCCCATTCGTGCTACATGGCCTGCCCATCTCATCCTCCTCGACTTGATTATTCTAATTATACTGGAGAAGAGTACAAGTTATGAAGCTCATTGTGCAGTTTTCTCCAACCTCCTGTCACTTCATTCCTCTTCGGTCCAAATATTCTCCTCAACACCCTGTTCTCAAACACCCTCAGNGTCATATCCATCAAATTTAATAATCTGTACTTAAATAATAAGTTCTTCACAGAAATAAACTAGCCATAATAATAGTAATAGGTCTGTATCACTAGAAACGTACGTGGTGCTATCCAAAAGTTCCATAAATATATTAATAAAAACTGTTATGTCTTACCTGGATCTTATTCTGCACCATCACCTTCAAAGTAGTCCCCTTGGGAGCACATACACCGACCCCTGTGTTTCTGCCACTTTTGAAATGCATCCTGGAAGTCTTTCTTTGTTAGGGTGTTTAGTACCATCCGCGTTTCAGCTTGAATTTCCTCAACTGTCTCAAATCTTCGCCCCTTCAACTTGATTTTCATCTTGGGGAAGAGAAAGAAGTCGCATGGAGCTAAGTCTGGTGAGTACGGTGGGTGAGTACCCAGTCATTCGTGCGCCATTTCTCTGGACGATTTCTCCTCATGTCCTCCCTCAAACGCCTTAGAAAATGGTGATAGAACTCTTTATTGACTGTCTAACCAGGAGCGACGAACTCCTTATGGACAGTTCTGTCAATATCAAAAAAAACAGATCAACATGGACTTAATGTTGCTCTTGACTTGTCAAGCTTTTTTTGGCTGAGGTGAAGAAGGGCTCTTCCATTGTGATGATTGCTGCTTACTTTCAGGGTCGTAGCCATAAACCCAACTTTCGTCACCAGTGACAAACCTTCAAAAGAAAGTTTGGATGAAGACTTCCAAGTGATGCTGCTTCTGTTCATTTTGCAGCAGTCATGGCACAAACTTTGCCGCGATCCTCCTCATGTTCACTTCCTCTGACAAAATTTGTTGACATGTACCATAAGTTGGTCCCAAGGTATTACAGAGGTCTTGGGATGGTCAGTCTGCAATCTTGCAGAACCAGATCCCTAACTTACGTGACATCATCTGGTGTGGTGCCAGTTGATGGCCATCCCGAATGATTGTCATCATCAGTCGATGTTCAGCCATTTTTGAAATGCTTATACCAGTTGTAAGTTTGTGTCTGGCCTAAACTGTTGTCACCAAAAGCTTGCTTCAGCATTTGGTGCGTTTCTGCAGCAGTTTTCCCAAGTTTAAAACAAAACTTTTTACAGACACGCTGCCCTCTCAGGTTAGCCATCGCAAAATCGGAAACTCACAGAAACACAACAATGGAAATATGTTCACCAACAATAAACCCAATGACAACTCAACAGCGCTTGCCACACTAATTCAAGAAGGGTATGTGGGGAGAAACCTAGCGATATTTCGATGTACTCATAACCATTTGCACGCAAAATTCAAATTTCGGGAACTTTTTGATAGCACCACTTATGTAGTGAAAAAGTAAGCTTCATGAGATCTGCTTGAAATTCCTTGTTTCATTCAGAAAACTGTATTGGAGTTCAACAAACAAAATGCAGATCCTACAGTTCCTGTTGCTTCAGTGTCATCTAATGCTGCCCAGATGTTAGAAGTTCACTGGTTTGATATTGGTAATGGTACCTGGACTAAAATAAGGGGAACATTTACAAGGATTGCTAATATGGGTAAGATAAAGGGTTTTAATAACTTACTTTTATGAGCATGTTTTGTGTGTGTCTGTACATCTCTATGTATGTTTGTATGTGTTTATGTACATGTGTGTGCATGCCATGAACAGAGAAAGTGTAGAATGTCATAGAGTCATCAGAAGTGAGAGTGATAAATCCAAATGATGGTAGTCAAACTGGCACAAACTGATTAGGCAAAACAAGCTCTTATGTGATACTATAGTGAAATAATGTGAAACTAAGCCTCAAACAGGGGCCATTGGGATGCCTCAGTATGGTTTGTGGTTTTCTTCATAAATGCACTTATATCTCATGTTTTCTTACAGGTCCAATAAAGATTCAGTCAGATCGCATTATGGTACGCTATTTTTTTGTGGACTGTAACTTTCGTGATCCCACAAGGATTATGGAAGGAAATATTGCATATCTCAAATACTATAATGAAGGTATTGCATACACTTTTATTTCTAAGAAACACTTACAGAGCAAACTCCAGATGGTAAATAGGTAAATACATAAGAGCTTAATGACAGTTTTTACAATAACTTCAATGTAAAACTAAAATAACCTACTTAATAATGAAACATGTAGCCTGCAACTGGAATGCTAATTCAGCACTGCATATTGCTGGAGTGGTTACAGCCTCACTAATGTGGGTTTTGTTTTCAGTGTTACCTCCAGTGATCAATGATGGAGTACATTTTTCCCCCTTGGTCTTTGTATGTAGATCAGACCTTTCATGTGGCTCCAAAGATAACAACCTAAGGATGTTCAAATTGGAGGATCTTGGAAGCTGCATATGACATTCAAGTGAACATCCTTCTTGGGGCTGTAACCACTTCAGTCAGATGCCCTGCTTAGATGTGTATCACATTGAACAAATTTTGTAACATATGTTATTATTAAGTAACAGTTATTTGAGTTTTGCATTGAAGTTATTTTAAAAGCTATCATTAAAATTTCTTACTTCTGATAGTGTTTGCTTTGCTTTTAAACTGTCATTACTTCTTGAACGTTCCATATTGGATCCATGTTAATGGAACTTCATTTACTCAAACTAATGTAACCATAAATTTTGTCAGATTCTTCCCTGAATCACCTTCTGTATGTGATTATGGAAGGAGCGCAGTGGCCCTTAATGACAGTGAAAGCTCAGTGTTAGTTACTGTGGTCATAGTACCACTCATACCTAACCTCTTTCCATGGCAGTTCTCAAGGTTCATGACAAGGTCTGATTTATTACCTCACAGCATGGGCATTGCTCCTTGTCTGAGGCATAATGAAAATTTTCATGAAACACCTTCCGATACGTCTTTTATTTTAATTTTCAGACTCAGTCTCATTTAAATTTTCTGAATTGGAGTCATGTCAGTACACCTTTTTTTTTTTTAATTCAAAATCACTTCATTAATATACCCACAAAGTTTTGGGAAACAAAAAGGGTGTTAAAACTGACTGTAGTAATTATCATGGGATATCACTGCTATCAACTTCATACAAAATTTTATCCAATATTCTTCTCTCAAGGTTAAGTCCATATATAGATGAAATTATTGGGGATCATCGGTGTGGGTTTCGATGAAACAGATCAACTACTGATCAGTCTTTTGCATTCATCAGATTCTGGAGAAAAATGGAAGTACAATGAGACAGTACATCAGCTATTCATAGACTTCACATAGAGTTTGGGGTACCCATGAAACTAGTCAGGCTGATTAAAATGTGTTAAACAAAATGTATAGTAAAGTCTATAGGTAAACATTTGTCTGATAATCTTCCTATCGAGAATGGGCTCTATCGCCACTACTTTTCAAATTTGCTTTAGAATATGCCATTAGGAAGGTCCAGGAAAACTAGGTGGGGCTGAAATTAAATTGGACACATCAGCTGCTGGTCTGTGCTGATGATTTGAATCTGCTGTGTGATAACATAGATAGCATATAGAAAAAAACAGAATGTTTAATTGACGCTAGTAAACTGGTTTAGAAGTAAACTCAGAGAAAACTTAAGTATATGTTGCCGTATCATCACCAAAATGCAGGTCAAAATAATGACATAAAGATAGCTAACACATTTTGAAAATGTGGCACAGTTCAGATATTTGGGTACAACTATAACAAATCAAAACGTGATTCAGGAGGAAATTAAGGAGAGATTGACCTCGAGTAATGCTTGCTACCATTCAGTCCAGAACCTTTTGTCTTCTCGTCTGCTGTCTAAAAACATAAAAATTAGAATATACAAAACTAATTTTGCCTGTGGTTCTGTATGGGTGTGAAACTTGGTCTCTGACATTAAGGGAGAAACATCGACTGAGGGTGTTTGAGAACAGAGTGCTGAGGAGAATATTTGGATCAAAGAGAGATGAAGTTACAGGAGACTGGAATAAACTACATAACTTTTACTCTTCACGAAGTATAGTTACAGTGGTCAAATCAAGGAGTATGAGATGGGCAGGGCATGTAGCATGAATGGGGAGAAGATGAATGCATATAACATATTGGCAGGAAAGCCAGATGGAAAAAGACCACTGGGAAAACCAAGACATAGGTGGGTGGACAGTATTAAAATGGATCTTAGATAGGGTGGGATTGTATAGACCGGATCGATCTGACTCAGGGTAGGGACCGGTGGAGGGCTCTTGCGAATATGGTGATGAGCCTTTGGGTTCTATAACATGCTGGGAAGTTCTTGAATACCTGCACAATTGGCGGCTTCTCAAGAAGGGCTCAGTGCCATGAGTGATATTGACATTTGTACTATTTATATGATGGATGATGAAATATTTCATTCATGTTTCAGAGTATACAGCCCACGAAGCAGAAGCAGCCAGTTACTTCATGCCACTGGCACTGTGCACTTTTGTTGCAACACTCATGATGCTCATTACATGCGCATGGTAAGGTGTGACCTAGCAAATTAACATTATAAAGGTGACTGAATAAGCACTTGGCCATAATAGATATGTTTATGTCCCTTTTAGGTGCTATGTAAGAAAAAGGAAGCAGAAGATGTACAGTAAGCATGCCTTTACTATGACATATATACCAGGCCTGAATATAACATATGAGGAAGATGAAACAAAGCCTGCAGGTAAAAACTGTATTAAATATGTTGAGATTCTATCTCTTCCCGTTTCCCCTTTCCTTCCTGTCCGTGTTCCCCCTCCCCCCATTGCTGCTAGGCAACAGGGTCTCCTCTTTGATGAGAGGAGGCATCTGCCTTTCAGTGTAGGCGCTCTGACTGAGCAGAGCAGTGGACCTCCTCCTCTTCTTCCTCTCTATCAGACAGGCTGCATATTGTCTGTCTTGAACATCTACTTAATACATCAGGGCAGGCCAAGGAGAGAGCACTAACTGTAACCCCCCCAAAATTTTGTTTTCTCCTAGACATGTACATGTTTTAGAAATGGGTCTCCTCTTCAACAGGAGGAGGGTTCAGCCTCTCTGTGCATGTGCTTGACTTTAGCAGAGCAGCAGACCCCTTTTCATCTCGTGCAGAGATAATATTGTCAGTTTTGAACATTTAATATATCGGGGTGGACCAAAGAGAGAATACTTAGTGTAACATGCAAAAGACAGAGGAGATGGCCGTTGGTAGGCATCAACAGTAAACACGTTACTGACACTGCAAGGCAACAATCTTTAAATTATTATGTATGCATAGAGAAGTCCAAATGCTTTTTTTAGCCAACTTTCCCTATTTTGAAAAAAATGGAAGCAGGTTTACAAGAGCATTTTACACTGTCCATGTGTGTATTCTCCCATATTATTGTTAGGCAACAGCTCAATGAACATGTTCCTGTGTCAATGAGTACACAGGCAACAATGGGCCTTGTGGTGACCAAATCCTTCTTCCAGTCAGTTCCAAAAAATGTGTGTTATATGAAAGTATGGATTTCAGTCAGATACAAGTTTTATTTTAAAACAGAAAAGAAATAGCTGGGTAAATTTGACAGGAGTTGTCCAGTGATTGAGATTAGCTCTTTCTAAGGGGCCAAACTGAGTAGGCTTCTTCCTTTCTCATCTGAAGACAGAAACAGATTCAGTTTCCAAACGTTGTGTCCTCTTATTACCTAAAATTCTGGACGATGGAAAAAGTCGAAAACACGGTAATTCTGTGTCATCCACCATCATCAGAACCATTTAGAATCTATAAGTTGTATAAAGCCAAGAAGTAATACACAAGATAACATCAACCAGAAAGTGGTGTCTTAGGACTTAACAGTCCTTCATTTTGAAGTAATAACACCGTATCTTTGTTCATGACAGTTTCCCAAATAAGAACAACTTTGAAATAAATTGGTCCAGTTTTAATTTTACAGTGTAACTTTATCATGAATTTTTGTAACTGTTCCACAGATACGTGGCCAGCTGTTTATCATCAGCTCAGTGTGGAAGATGAAAATGCTTATTTGTCATCACTTATTTCATATAATTCTCACAAGCCAAGAACTAGTGAGAAGCAGGTAAGTAGATCTGGTAGAGCAAGTGTCCAAACTTCACGTTCACTCCTGCCACGTGACAATAAGCAGAACAAATTCCTGTCCTCACTTGGAGACCGTCTGCTCTCCTTTTTCTTTAGAAAAACTTCAAATAATTCTGCTACTATTTCAAAGTCTTTATCAGACTCGAGTATAAGTAATTTGTTAGATAACTCATTAGAACGCCAACTTGAAAAGTTTGAATCCCTCATCTTGAGATTTGAGTGGACTGAGTCAACACGAAGTGTAAGTTTTGACAATATGGTCCAGAAAAATAACCAATTGATTGACTCTGTAAATGGTAAAACGACAGATTTTTGTTCTGGACAGTTACTAATGGACACCATGTTTCATCATGTGGAACCTCTGAGAACTGCAGTCGAACAGTTAGCAACGCAGCACAGAAAACCATCTGTGGGTGCGCAGAGGCTTGGATCAGAAGAAGAAATATTCTCATGCAGTTCTCATGAATCACTTCACAGCTTTCATTCTGTATATCCAGTCACATGCAATTCAGTTTCAAGCTCAGACTCCTTCACTAGCATTAACCCTGAGCTTCAAAATCCGCATCCCATGGACATCTGATGAGCACTAAATTTTGCAATTTTGTTTATGTGTAATTAGTTTTCCTGTTTGTAATACTTTTATATTCCCACTTTGTATTCACAGTTACAAACTTGTTAATGAGTTCTTAAGGTTCATATTTAACTTAATGTTATATGTTGCTTCATAACTGTAATTATTAATTTTATATCAGTGTTTTGCTAATAAACAGTTATATATTAACAATGACAAAACTTGAATTATGAAATGCATTATGTAAGGTCAACATGAAAAGAGCAAAAGGAAGCATAATATTTATACTCCTACATACATGTGCCTGTATATGTTCGGTAGATGAATGCAGTCACACAGGAGTCACTTATTAATACAGATGACTATTAAAATGTTAATAGAAACTTGAATTCCAACCAGAATGATAATATATTAGGCTAAACCTGTACAAATTCTGGATGCCAGATTGCATTAGTACCTACAATTTTCTATTATTCTTTAATGCATCAGCCATCAAACAGAATGATGTAAATAATTTCCTTTTTATATCTCTATCTCCTTCCCTCCTTGTTTCCTTTCTATCCCCTTCATTCATTCCATTGTCGTTTCTCTCACTCCAGTTCTGTTCTCTCTATCCCTTTCATACGTGTGTGGGGCACTCTTGTCAACGTGTGTAGTCTTGTCATCTCTTATTTGTACATTATAT